TTTCAGTCCTCAAGAAAACGGTCATTGTAAAAAGCGCCATCACAGCTATCTTAAAAATAATACAAAGACTTTAGAAACATTGGTCATCAATAAGTTTTTGAAAATAAATGAAAAATTCCTTTGTTAAAATCAACGTACTTGGGAAAGTTTGAAGATGTAGTAAAATGAATTGCGCTTCATGAGTAAATATTCTCTTGACAAACATGCTTTGAACAATTCCCACTTTCCCATTCCATACATGTTGGTTGCCAATGCAGCTGGGTAGCTCGTTGATTTGTCAAACTGAGTAGCAAGTTCATTAGCTAGGTTTCTCCCCACATCAGATGACTGAAATGCCTCTGCAAACTCTTTGGCTGTGATAAATCTGTATGGCTTTTCCTCGTTTGCTCAGTATTGCTGCTGATCTTTCACTCATATCACCTTTAACATTGTAGCCAAAATTAAAAGGTTAACACTCTCTTCTAACACTGCAGTTAAGTAAAAACAAAACTTTTATGTACAATTTTGTTTTATTATTATTATTATTATTATTGTATTTTTAAAATGCATGTATAATATCATAATGACCATAAGTTAAAAAAAAGGACTTATCTAACTTACGCTATAAAGTAATTAAATAATCTTATCTCAGGTAGATTTATGGGATTTTTGTCTATAAAAAATTAACTAAAAGTTTGTTATAATTTTCAATATTATGTTTTAACTTTATTAGTTCACTTAAGATAAAATTATTTATGTTATGCCGTAACTTAAATCCAATAAAAAGAATATAGATTTACAAACACTTACTTCTTGCAAAAAATCTGCCACGCCTTTTCTCTCAGGACACTGAAAACCCATTGAAGCGAAAAAATCAAGGACATGTTCACAGGGACCCTGGTACACAAAATGTCCATCAGAAAGTAGAATGATGTCATCAAAAAGATTGTAAGTCTCTGGTGCTGGCTGCAAGAGTGAGATCATAGCAGTTCCTTTGAGAAGGTGCACATATTGCTTAATTGATTTCATAACTTGAAATGTGGTTGAGCTATCTAAGCCAGTAGATATTTCATCCATGAAAAGAGCTCTAGCTGGACCAACAAGCATCTCTCCTATAGTTGCTGATTTATAATTGTTAAAATTCTCACATAAACCAAATTTAAGGTGAATAAACTTTATGCATTTCAATAATAAGATCAATTAAGCTTGTTTTACCTGTTGTAACACGTTTCTTTTGTCCACCTGAGATGCCTCTTAACATTGCATTTCCCACAACAATATCGGCACATGTCTCCAGTCCTAAAATCTGAAATATAAAGCAAATAAAATGATAAATTGGCACAATTTCATAATGACTTTATGATGATCATAGAAGGTTTGAGTGTTTGAATTTTACCTTTAAAATATAATCTGTTAACAGATTTGCTTTCCGCCCTTCAGTTGCTGCAGACTGAGCAACACACGACACGACATTTCAGCCACTTAATTCGTTAATAAGCATTCTATTTGTAAATGGAAAAGAGACAAATGATGCATTCAACTTTAATATCGTAATTTATTGCAAATGTAACAGATCAATTTAAAGATTACATCTTAATTGTTTGCTGTTGCAGCTAATTTACACCTGATTTTTTTTATAAGTTTTTTTTATTCAAATTATAGTTTGATGCCCAAATTTCAATATTTATGTTGTAACAATATTTATAAGGCTGACCTTTTTTTCTCTCATTTAATTGATTTACCATTAATTTATTGAGCAAAGTAATATAAGGAATGTTGTAACAATATTTATAAGGATTGAGCTGGCAAAATTATTTGACTCAACTAGATCAACCCAAACTCACGTAACAAAATATAATATTTGAGCTTTAAATTAAAAAAATTAGTTTTTTAACAAATTTAGATCTTTATAACTTGATAAATTAACTTTGAGGTGAATTTTCTCACAAAAAGCTCAAAAAATTTAAAATATTTTGTTTCTTTTTTATTTTAATTTTTAAAATTTATATTTTAAAATACTGTTTTTAAGAAGAAAATAAAATAAAACTTATGTTAATAAATAATTTTTTTTAAACTTTTGAAAAGTGAAAGCTATTTTTAAAAATAGAAAACAAACAAGCTCTTTATCCTCTTCTTGTTTTTTTTTTTTTCACTTTTGTAACGGGTTATATTAAACCTCTTTGGACTAGAGTTTGACGAACCCTTTTACAATTACAACGTAATTAACTCTTGATTTTAGTTAGGATTTCTTTTAATGTTTAGCTTAGTCCATACATAATGCTTTATATGAATTAGCTAGTCATGGTTTGTTCCAAAGTATAACTTTCTTAATATTGAAAAATTAAATTATGATTTATGTTTCATGAGAATTTATCTTAATTAAACAATGAACATATTGTGTCAGTTAATGTAATTAATTCTGACCTATCAATTCGGTCCCTGAGCTTTAAGAAAAACTTCTCATTGTCCTCTTCACTAATTCTAACCAATCTTTCAAGCAAAGCACTCCTTTCTTGCAACCCAAGTTTGTATATGTCAATCACATTGGATTCCCCTTCTGGGGTTGTAAGCAAACCTTTCCTCAAACGTGAAACTGTGGGAAGCTTCTGAATTGCAGCACATTTGAGAGCTTCTTCATCGTCCTCACAGAAGGTGGAATCAACATCACTGTTCCTTGTCCTCCTAAGCGATGAACCATCAACTCTGAAACTCCTTCCACTGCTTCCTTTCAAACTGCACTGATCACCACCTTCTATTTCCATTTCCCAGATTTGCATTTCTCATTTGCCTCAACACAAAGTGAGGCAGGTAGATGGGATATGTATCTACACATACATGGGATGGTCAATGCATTCCACTTTTCAAGACAAATAAATTGAATGGTTGGATTTATTGCAATGCTCATTTAATAGTACATAAATACTTTTTTCCCATTTTTTATAAAATAAATAATTCATTAAAATTAGTAAAAAAATAATTATATATTATCAATTTATAGAATATTTTAAAAATAAATATAACAATAAAAATAATTAAATTATAATCATAGGTAATAGGTGAATATCTTGTTAATACAAATCTTCCAATAAATGAGGATATAAAATAATTAATATATATAAAAAGTGAATTTTACTTTTAATATTTTAAAAAATTTATTGATAATTATTTCTTATAAACAGAATTGAAGGGCTATTACACACATACTAATTAATACTCTAAATTCTACAAATCAGAGAAACTTTAAAATATGAGGTTATAAAGGTTTTATAAATCTTTTCTCTTTTGTCTAAAAAGTTTTAAATAAAGATAATCATTATATAAATATTCTCATTTTTTTCTATTTCTAAAATTTAGCTCTTAAACAATGTGTAAAAGCATTGATTAACAAGGTAAAAAAAGAAAAATATTTTGTTAAAAATATAAAATATATTTTATCTCATGATTTTTAATAAAATACAACTTAATTTTTTATAAAATAAATTACTTTGAAGTTCTTAACTAATGCTCGAGGGACACTTATAAACAATTTTTTTAATACACTATTTAGGGTGCGTTGCGACACTAGAGTTTTTCTTCTTATTTTATCTGTCTGGAATTTATTTAAGAATAAAAAATATTACTGTTTTTATTTTTTCATTTATATATTTAAATTAGTTATATTTTTATTATAATTTAATTTAAATATTTAAAAATGCTTTTGACAAAAATTTTGTAACATTATAAAAAATTTGAATTAAATTTTAAAATATTTATTAATTTTCTAATTCTTCAATTAATCATGATTAATAAAAAATTATAGACACTTTCAAATATAATAAATTCTTAAAATATAATTTTATTGATTATTTTAAAAATTATTTTTAAGTATTTATATATCATTTATTTTGTTAACCTCATTTATAAATTGAAAATAAAAATAGTTTTATATATTTAAATGTAATTAAAATAATAATTTTATTAAATTATTTATATAATATTATCAATTATTTTTAAGAATTGATTTATATTTTAAAATAAATTAAATATTTAAATTTAAAGTTAATTTAATTTCAAAATTATTATTTATAATTATACAATGTAAATTGTGTTCAAATGAAATTTAGATTGAATATAATTTAAAATAAGTATAATTATTTATTTAAAATAATATATTTTAAAATATATTTAATGTCTTCAAATTAATTGATCAATTGACTTGTTTAAATATGGAAAATAATTTAAATTAATATGTTATTTAACGTGTACAAAAAGTATTTTGTAAAATTATTTGAAAAAATTCAATTTATAGAAAAGATATTAGCATCTATAATAAATTTTTAAAATTTTAAAAATGAAAATAAAAATATTAAAGGTAAATTAAGAGTTTAAAAATAAATTCCATTTTTTAAAAGATCATGCTTTTTTTTCTTTGGGTTTCAGGGCCCATTCATTCATTCTTGTCTTTTGATTCATAGCTTATTTGAATTCATGTTTTAATAATATGAATTTACGCTTACTTTATAACATTGATAATTGTTACTTCTACCTTAAATTTATACCTACAGAATTGTCAACAAGTTTCTAAATACGCATCTAAATAAACTTTCATACCCGGATTAATCTCTCCCACCCAATTCAAATGTTAAATTTATTATCCATTGTTGAGCTCATTCTCAAATTAATCTCTCTAGGTAAGCATTTATATTGATTTGCCAGATTTTATTTTTTGTTCCTTCTCAAAGTTGCTTTCATTTTCATTCATTTGATTTACATTTATTGGAGATAACATTTAAAGTGATATTTACTCTAATTTTATTTATAAAAAACAAATAACTAATTCATTAAAAATAAATAAAAATAATTATATACATAAATTTATATTATATTTTAAAATTACTCATAACATTGAATAGTTAAATCAATGACTCATATCCTGATAACTATTTCTTATAAATAAAAGCGAAGAGCATATGATACACTTAAAATTCGAAAACAAGAGAATACATAAATCCATATTCTTTTTCTTTTCCTGCACCAATTACAATATCCTACTAAAAAGTTGAATGTCATTAATTCTTAACGTCGTTGGAAATTAAACGTCTTTATAGCCATGGCAAAGATGAATGCAAAAGTTAGTGAAAATCCTATAAGCACAGCGGCAACCACTCCCAGAAAATCATGCTTATAACCAAAGTAATTTCTCAAAAAGTCTTCCACTGATGTACTTTTACCATTAAACTCAACGTGTTTTTGTATATCTCCAAACTGTGATGTCACCAACCCATACAAAGTCCAAGCCACTGGATCTGCCCAATAGTACCATCTCCACCACACAGGCATCCTCTGCTCATCCATGCCCAAAAAGAAAGAAAATCAATTAGTCATGTCATATGTGTAAAGATTATGAAAAAGCAAAAGATATAAGTATAAAAAAAAGTATTAAAAAATGTGACCATGCACTTATTTTGTGATTTTCAATCCATCTCTAATGATAAGTTTTTATCAAAAATTTTAGAATTCAATGCATAAATACTGTATTGAATGTTATAATTTAAAACAAAAATATTTTTACTTACTTTTTATTATGTGTAATATTGCATTAGTTAAAAAATTAATAGGATAAAATGGTTGTTAATTCCTTAACTAGTATCTTAAAAATACTGATCAGCGAAGTCCTATGAAAAAAATTGCATTAAACATCAAAAGTAAAACTTACTGGCCGTGGGATTACGAATCCTGAGAAGAGATTCCATACTTCATAGAATCCAGCAGAAAGTATAACAGCAATGGATGTGTTTGGGGTCATGGCTGCTGACATCATGCCATAGTAGGTAAAGTAGAGGAAGGTTAAGTACATAAAGAAAAGGTACCAGAAAAATTTAGTGACAGTCCACTCAAAACCAATCATTGAGTACACTATAATGCTGTACACCACAGTTTGTAAGAGAACATAAGGTAGTTCAATTAAGACCTGAAAATGAAATATGAAGATCAGAAAAGTAAGAAACTAAAGTTAATTATTTACAGTCATTTTTTATATCACATACTGTATATAGATTTTTACTGTATGCCTTTGGATACACGTAGAAAAATCGAATTATTTATATACATAGAAGGGAATTAACAAAGACAAAGGCTCTAAATAAAAAATTGCTTGCCTGAGCAAAAGCATATGCCAAAGCTGAATACGTTCCAGCAGCTTTTTCCCTATAAAACACTGTTCTTTCAACAGCCACCAATGGTTGTGCTGAGTTTGCATTCTTAATACCAAGAAGGAGAACAGCAGCATACATGGAGCCCATGGCATTGAAAAGATCTTGTTGCTTTTTACTGCAATGGATGTGGAAAGATGCTTTTAGAAACATATAGGAACAAGGGTATTGAAGCAATAAAATTTCCAAGTTTTCAGTTTGATGACTTGTTCTCACATTTTAGAGCCAAGGTTCCAATATATGCTTCCAAACAACAAGGCCACAGCTGTTGTGTAGAGAAATCTTAGGGCAGTGTATTGATTATTGCGCCAATAAGACCAGTGTTGTTTCCATAAGCAAGCCATGCATTGGGTGAAAAATGACCTAGAGTACTTAGAAGGAAAATAAAGGTCCTTCGATCCAGGGGCTGGAACACTCAATTCTTTGATAAGTTCTTTGTTTCTCCTGAAACATATGAGACGCATGCACCTATTTAACTCAACAACCATTTCATATTTTTAACATCTTATAACACAATTATTATAGTTTTTGACTTTTCGTAGCATATTATTTGCTTGTTCTAAAGTTTGATTGGACTTCAAACAAAAGAAAATACCTGTATAAGTCTGAATTCTTGTACACCTCAGCAAAATCAATCCCTAATTCTATTTCTTTTGCTGAAGTTGTGACTTCCAACATCCACGTTGCTGGGTTATAGCCATCCTCAATTGTACGGACACCTTGAATTCCCTTCATGAGAAAAGTGTCCACAAGAATGAATTTCTTACCAAGACATGGACTTCAATATATCTTAATTTTTGTAAGAATTTTACCTCAAAGTAACTAATTAAATGAGAAGAATGATGTCCTAATGGTCCCACATATATCTCTTGCCCTCCTCGCTTCATTAGGAAAAGCTGCATTTAGTTGACAATTAAAATTAGAGAATTGTTAATAGATAAGAACAAAGATGATACACTTTTTCTTATGCTTATTTTACCTCATCAAAAGATTCAAATATATCAATGCTAGGTTGATGGATGGTGCAAACAACTGTTCTCCCAGTGTCCACTATGTTCCTAACTGCTCTCATAACAATAGCTGCAGCTCTTGCATCTAGCCCAGAAGTTGGCTCATCCATGAATATTATAGAAGGATTTGCCACTAGTTCAACAGCTATAGTCAACCTTTTGCGCTGCTCCGTTGACAAACCATTAACACCTGGCAATCCAACTATTGCATGCCTTAGTGGCTTCATCTCCACAAGTTCCATGACCTCCTCAATGAAGATCTGCCACCAACCATTGATCATATCCAAACTTAGTAAACCGATAGAACATTCATCAATTTTTTGTTTCCACTCTCTTCTTACTTACCCCAATTTTTTTTATAACACTCCAACTAACAGATAGTGTATGTGAAATGTGCAAGAAATAGTTGAACTGTACATAGAAGCAGGTAATTAATTTTGTAATTTGACTTCATCAAAGTAAAGGGCACTGTACATATTTCAGAAGGAAAAGTATAGTTATAACTACTAACTGAAAAGTTCAATGTTAATATTGTGATGAATTACGTGTACTGTGTACATATTTAATGAACTATAAAATTGTTAAAATCTATTTTGTCGTCAACAATTATAATTTCGTATTCTATTTTTAAAGTATACTTGTCACTTCAGAGGAGCCAAATCATTAATTTTGAATAAGAAAATTGTGTATCAAAGTAAAAAGTAATTTAACTAAGATATTGTATACTCTACATGTGATTCAGAAACTAACCTTCCTAGTTTCAGAATTGATTTCTGCTGATAATCGAAGCCATGCTGAATAGAGCAAGGATTCATATACTGTAACATGAGGAGAGTGGATATCATTTTGTTCACAATATCCAGAAATTCTTGCAAAGGTTTCATGCTTCTTTGGATAGCCAGAAATTGTGATGTTCCCACCAATATATCCTCCAGTCTTTCTTCCAGCTAGTACATCCATAAGAGTCGTTTTGCCAGCACCAGTGGAACCCATTAGTGCTGTGAGAACACCTGGCCTGAAAGCACCACTGACACCCTTCAAAAGCTCTAACCTGTCCTCAAGAACTCCCTGATTCCTCATTTCCTGAAAATTTAGGGCCAGGATTCACTAAATATATATTTTGAACAATAATGTTCTGTTTGTATTTTTCCATTTATTTATTTTGTTTCCATATTACCTGAGGCATGTCAACTGAATATGTAACATCATCGAAGGTGATGGAATGTGGTTCAAAGGGAAGAACCATTCCTCTTCTTCTGTCCTCCTCTTTTCTTCTAGTAGATATACTTCCACCATCTTGCTCATTGCTTTGAGATTGCTCTGATTTGACAGTTTGATGCTGCACAATTGCTGCTAACCAATTTGTGATAATAATATTAGTAGTAGTAAATGCTATAGGCACTCTTGTTCGGTTACAAAACATTTTTAAAGTGAAGAAAGAAAACTCACGGTTCAGGTAAGTGAGAGCAAGGATGTAACCAATATTGAACACTATAGTGTATCCAATCAGTGCCCCAACACCAATCCAATACCACTTTGACTGAGTGAAGAACCCCCGGGATTTCAAAACTTCAATTCCTAGTGGCGTAGTTGAGTTAGGTAGAACCTTTCATAAGAAAATAAATCCACATATCATATTATTTTGATATGGCAAGCACAAAAATGAACATATAGATTAGTATTAAAAAAAACATACATGTCTCCATCTCTTGCCTAGGAACTCATTATTTACAATGGCATTCTGTCCATACATCATAGGTGACGACCAGAAGCCCCATAACCACCATTTTTTCATATTGTCTGTGAACACAAAGCAAAGAAAATAAAATAATAAAATTAGTGTAATGAAAGAAAGACTAAGGTTAATTTATTTTATTTCTGTATTGATATTAAGATACCTTTTGACAGGATGAAACCACTCATAGCAATAAGGATGGCCAATACGAACGACCCAATTGTGAAAGCAACCGTTAGTTCCCTACCAAGTGCTCCGATGAACCGGAACAAGGCAGAAGCCATTTGGTTAACAAATAACAGAAGAAGGAATTGCCTGAAGAATCTGCATTAAGTAGAGACATACATACATGTCATTCTTTTACTCAGTAGCATTTTAACATAATAGAATGGAGGTATAAACTCAATACAAACTTTGCTGAGCATGAGGTGAAAACTTAATAGCTCTTTTACCTTCCAATATATGGATCAAAACCAATAACATAGTAGGTGAGGAATACCCAGATCCCCACTTGTGCAAAAGTCATGGGGATTTTTAGGATCCATGAAGGAAGAGCATAGACCCATGAAGGGAAGAAGAGGAAATCCCTTTGCTTGTAAAATACAGGAAGCTTAGAAACTGTCACGGCAAGGTCAGCAAATCCGTCCAATAAAATCACAAGAAGGCCATAAAACAATGCACCCGCATATATTCCACCATTAGTCACTGAATCTCGGTGCATCTCAGTCCTTAAGAAAACGGTCATGGCAATAAAGGCCACTACAGAAAGCTAAAAGGCGTTGTAAAACGTAAGTTAGTAATGAATATGATTATATAATTAATCTTCACGGTACATGGCACATAAACATGAAAAAATGAACAGTCAAACCTACTTGGCAAAGCTGGAAGATGTGGACAAAAGAATTACGCTTCATGAGTAAATATTCTCTTGACAAACAAGCTTTCAACAGTTCCCATTTTCCTAATCCATACTTTTGGGTTGCCAAAGCTGCTGGGTGGCTTTTAGACTTGTCAAATTGAGTAGCAAGTTCATTAGCAAGGTTTCTCCCAACATGAAATGATTGAAATGCCTCTACAAACTCTTTGGTTGTGACAAATCTGTAAGTTTGATCTCTGTGAGCCCAATATCGCTCTTGATCTTTCCTTGATGTCACCTTTATTAACATAATAAATTAGATGTTTACATTTAACATGTAATTTTGGTTTAGCCTAGTAGACACAGAAAAATAAGTTAAATCCGCACTCACTTCTTGCAAAAAGTCTGCAACACCTTTCCTCTCTGGACATTTGAAACCCATGGAAGCGAAAAACTCAAGAACATGTTCACGGGGACCCTGGTACACAATTTGGCCATCAGAGAGTAGAATTATGTCATCAAAGAGATTGTATGTCTCTGGTGCTGGTTGAAGGAGTGAGACAACAGCTGTTCCTTTGAGAGAGTGGATAAAGTGCTTGAGTGAATTTACAACTTGAAAAGTTGTTGAACTATCCAAACCAGTAGATATTTCATCCATGAATAGAGCCTTAGCTGGTCCAACCAGCATCTCCCCTGCATTTATGGATATATCATATACATATTTACTTATAATTTTTGCACTATGAATGGATTAAGTTAATTAAATATGATTAAGTTCAAATTTTTAAATTAACCTTGTGTTTTACCTGTTGTAACACGTTTTCTTTGCCCACCAGATACACCTCTTAACATTGCATTTCCCACAATAGTATCAGCACAGACCTCCAGTCCCAAAATCTGCAAATATATAGCAAAGCAAAAGAGAAATTAACACCAAGTGACTTTAAGATGATACGAGAATGTTTTGAGTAAACGAATTTTTACCCTCAGAATATAATCGGTAATCAAATTTGCTTTTTGGCCTTCAGTTGCTACAGCCTGTGCATTTTAAGTCACAAGTTCAACTACATAATCATCAATCTTTTTTCATTTTTAGGAATACTAATAAATAGATGATGCATTCTCAAAATAATGCTTCGATCTTAGCATATTTTTCGTTGTGTTTTGGGTAGAAACAGAATTCTCAAGTTTCAACAAATATGTTGTTGCAATTTAAAGCTAACATTTCTCTTTCTTTGGTTTGAACTTTGAAACCTTATCATAAAATGTATAAAAGGAAGGCTAAGTTCTGCAAGCCAAATTGGAAGAACATGCCCCTAAGAATCAATGGTACCTTCATATAAACATCAATATCTGGATCAGGTGTAATATTTGCTTCTTTTTCTCTTCTTGACACCTCTGCTAGCAAGTCTGCAGAAGGTAGAATAGTTGTTAGTTAAAAGTTGATTTTCATTGTGAATTTAAAATTACATCAAATGAAACTATTAACAAAAATGCAATCCTGTAGACTAACCATAACGAGGCCCAACTCCTTGAACTCTTGCTGAGAATGCCAATGTCTCTCTTACAGTCATTTCTCCAATATGAAGATCATTTTGACTGACATAAGCAGCAGTTTTTTGGGGTACAAACTCATTCATCCCGTGACCATTACAAGTCACATTTCCAGTGAACTGATTAAGAAGTCACACCTTATTAGCAACAAATCCGAAATGCAAAAATAAGAGCAGAACCAAGATAACATCATGTTTCAATTAAATATATGTCTTAACCTTTAGTTTTGAATCAAGTCTTCCAGCCAAGGCCAACAGGAGTGTGGTCTTCCCAGAACTTGGAGGGCCCAAAAGCAATGTCATTCTAAAGCGGACAAAATGGAAATAGTTTGTGTTAAAAATCATTGTTTTGTCTCGCAAATGAGATATAATATAATTAATAAAAAAAATTCATAGAAAGTGAGATTGACCAGTCCAACCGTCTCTTATTAAATAGATTAACTTAATAAAATTATCTTTTTTTATGGGTATTATAGTTTCAAAATATAAGTAAAATATTAATTTTTTTATAACATATCTACAAATGTCCAAAATTATGTGAAATTTGATATACATAATCATAGAAATGATATAAGATGATTCAATAGTTAGATTAGTCAATTTAGATTCTATGAGAAGTTATTAAAATGTGTAAAAATTTGACAGTGGTGTGTGTTAATAAATAGAGCATTTTCTGCATTAACTGTTACCTGGCAGGCCTTATGATTCCACTAACTTCATGGAGAATATTTACATGTTGTTTTTTACTTGGGAGTACATGAAGCAAGTTCAATAGCCCCTTTTAAAAAAAAAAGAAGAAGCTATATTTAAATCTCCTTCAAATTGTCGATATACTTCATGTTGAAAGTTTTTACACTTACCTCAACTTTGTTAACCATGTAGTTAGTGAAAGTGGGCAAAGCTCTACTTCCAACATGAACTTCTGCTTCAACATTCATGTTCTCAAATCTGACCTCTATTGTAGGAATAGCAATTCCAACTCTGGCATCATGCAAGGAAGAAAAAGAAAAGAAGAATCCATCAGTGGTGCATTCTTAAGGCCAAGAAAAATGACACTGTAACACTCACCTATCAATTCTGTCCCTAAGCTTGAGCATGAACTTCTCATTGTCCCCTTCAGCAACTTTCACCAATCTTTCAAGCAAACCTTTCCTTTCTTGCAACCCAAGTTTATGAACTTCAATCTCATTTGCAAACCCTTCAGGTGAAGTGAGCAAGCCTGTCCTCAAGCGTGCAACAGTAGGAAGTTTCTGAATGGCTGCCCATTTGAGAGCCTCTTCATCATCTTGATGGTGGAAAGAGTTAGCAAAGATTTCCGCACCACTGTTACTCCAAATTGATGAACTCCCAATCCTGAAACTTATGCTTCCTGCTTTGAAACTGCTTCCAATACTACCTGCTTTTACACTACCCTCGTCCTCCATTTCCCAAGGAACAATCAAAAGTTCAAACCTTCAAGAATCACAAGAAAAAAGAAAAACAATCAAGGCAAATTTGTCAGTTTTTCTAGTGATCACTTTTTTTCTTTTCCAATTTTTTTGCTGGCAATTAAAAAGTTATAGCATAGGGTAACTGGACAAGTTCCTTGGTCTATGTTTGTTTGAATGTGAGACGAGAGGATCATGTGATATATATATATATATATATATATATATATAGAAAGGTAGAGGATATATCATATATATGGTACGGACACATGGGCGGCTTAACTGTTTGGATGTTAGAGGACTTGTAATTCATTAAAATGGATTCTTATTTGACTCTCAGACATGAATTTATAACGTTACTTGTTAACATAAGAGGATCTAATTAGAAAGCTGTCACTGATGACGACAGGTTCAATCCAAGGATTTTCAAGAGCCCAACTATGTGTATGCTTCCTAGCACTATAACACCAAAACTTGTTCTGTTACAATTTCCCTTTCTACTTCATTGGAGGAATAAACAAACAATATCTAAACGATATCATTGATTATATCTTCTGAAAAACAATCTATTCTTCTTCTCGCTATGAAGGGTACATTCATTCCCCCGCATGGTGCTGGGGTCACCGCACTAATCAGGAATGGCTTTAATTCTTTTTTCAATCAATTTTTGGTGTAAAATTTTACAATATTATCTAATTTTACAAAATTAGATTTTAATTCATACAAAATTATTATAAAGATAATCATGAGTTTTTATATAAGAAATCAGCTTGAGTTCATTTAATCATTTATTATACTCGTGATCACCCGTGCAAAAAATTTAATTTTAATGTATTTTCGGTGTATGTACAAAATAAAATGTTATATTCTTTTGTATGAAAAATTTGCACTTAATTACTTGTTTATTTTGAATAGAAGACCATCTAATAAGGATAATAGTAAAGAAAAAGCTTTTATGAAACGAGTAAATATAGTTGCTGATTGTGCGATTAAAATAAACAAATTAAAAGAAACATACTATTTATCTCATTAAATGTAGGTAAATAAAATACAAATGCAAACCCGTTGAATTGACTAATTAATAATGAAGCTTTTTAATGATAAATTAGTAAACATGTTTAATAATCTATAATTTTTATACCAAAATTGTTGATGGTTAAACCTTCTGCCCCAAAATATTTGGTCAATTGTTTTTTTCAAAAGAAATTTATAATGTTATCGTAGACATATGCTGTAATGCATTGCGACATGGTTTCAGTAGCTTACAGTCTTGCTAATTTAATATCAATTAACAAGTAAACATCACCAATTTTTTTTTTCTTTTTCTCTTTCACTCTACAACTAGATTCCAAGTTTCTGGAAGAAAGTGTAATAACCTCAATTATCATCCACTATCAATTCTTCATTAAACAAATTAGCATGCTGATTTCACTGATTATGCCTCCCCTTACTCTCAGTATAAAAAATTGAAAGTTGCTAATGCACCCATCAAAGTATTGTTTTCTTAGAAATATTTTATCATTGCTTGATATCCATTTTGTCTCCACTCACTCAGGTTCATTGTTTTGTCTCATCAGAGTGCAGATTGTTTTCATGATGTGATCACAAAGAATATCTTTACCTCTTTAGTTAATGTCAAACTCCATTCATAAAAAGTAATGCCAAGATCATTATTTTTTTATGAACAAGATTATCGTGTGATGCCACCACATTCCGAAAGGTGCTCATGGATTGCAACAAAAGCTCAACTCAATCTTGTGTCAGACAAAATTATAAATATCATTTAGTACTTAAAATGCATATAAAAAACTTGGAAATCAACCTTTTGCATTAAAAGTGAATTTTATTTTATTTACACCCACAAGAAATATATCAAGTGAAAGATAAGAATGTAAAAAGATGAATTTCAATGGTATAAATTAAAATAAACAACTGATATTTTAACAAAAATAATTTTGACTATTTATATATAATTGTATAGCTAAAATCAATTCCTATAACCTCTTATTCCTTAGTTAAATACAAGAGAGACAATCAATTCTTTTGATTATATATTACACCAATGTGAAAGAGTTGGTTTTGGAAAAGATTTGGGCCGATTGTGGTTGTGGGCTGAAAAGCAAAGATAAATAGATGGGTCCAAATGGAGCAGAAGGAAGAGGCCCATTGGACATGATGAGAATAATAATAATAATAAAGTATATATATAAATGAAATGTAGCGAAAATGCAACGTTTGGTTGTGCAAAATGGATGAAGAGGGAGACATATATGACGGTGTAAGAGCTCAGTTTCCTCTTTCGTTCGGAAAGCAAACTAAGTCTCAAACCCCTCTCGAAGCAATCCACAATGCTACACGTCGTTCCAACCCCAATCCCAACCCCAATCCCAATTCCAAATCCAAAACGACCAACCAACTTCCCTCTCTCTCTTCTTCTTCCCGGGAATGGCTCAATTCCCTCCGTCCCTCCAAAAACCCTACTCCTCCCCCGGCCGACGACAATCACGCCCCCATGGTGGGACCGCCTCCGCCACCGCCCCGATTCCGTTCTGCCGACGACGAGGAAGAGGACGACGATGGCGACATGATTGGCCCTCCCCCGCCGCCACCGACCGGGGCCGACTCCGAAGACGAATCGGACGAAGAGGATGTAGGGAACCGCTTCCGGATTCCCCTTAGCAACGAGATTGTGCTCAAAGGCCACACCAAGGTATTCCTTCCAACTTCCATATACCCTCTCTGGCTTAATTTCGGGAATTCAAGAACGATAAGATGTCGTGTTGTGCCTGTAAGGTAACAAATATAATAATAGAGCTACTCTGCTGTGATAATAAGTTTAACTATGCTATAAGTTGTAAGTTGCAATTATTATTATTATTATTATTATTATTATTTTTTGAATGGGTGAGGTTGTAACAAAGGAGTAAGTATAGAACTAGAACCCTAGAAGATACAATAGATGCCATGTATATAATCAGCAGTGGCTGCGGTTATTCAGAACCTAGTGATGGGAAAAGAATCTAGTTGTAGTAGTAAGTAATTTATTGTTGATAACATTTTTGAGCAACTATGAACAGGTTGTGTCGGCTCTTGCTGTGGATCACTCTGGATCTAGAGTGCTTTCTGGAAGCTATGACTATACGGTACATATGTATGACTTTCAAGGAATGAATGCTCGTTTGCAATCGTTTCGACAGCTAGAGCCTTTTGAAGGTCATCAAGTTCGTAATTTAAGCTGGAGTCCAACTGCCGATCGATTTTTGTGCGTGACTGGATCAGCTCAAGCAAAGGTAGTGTGTGGCTTCATTATCTTCCCATTTCTTTTATGCTTCATTGCTCTTCCATTAACTGTGTCTATCTTCATTTTGCTGCAGATTTATGATCGTGATGGGCTTACTTTGGGAGAGTTTGTGAAGGGAGACATGTATATTCGTGATCTAAAGAATACCAAGGGCCACATATCTGGATTAACATGTGGAGAGTGGCATCCAAAAGCTAAAGAGACCATTTTAACATCGTCAGAGGATGGTTCACTACGCATATGGGATGTAAATGATTTCAAAAGTCAGAAGCAGGTTTGTGAACTCTACATAAGCCTTCCTCAGTAAAATGTTTTCTCTAGAATAGTTCCTTCTTTTGTGATTTTTTTGTTTTTACAATATCTAATTGAGAGAGGAGAGCTTTCAAACTGAAATTCATATTTGTTAATATTTGAGGATACTTGGATTTTCTTAGAGAAAAGTGGCTGAAAGCATCAACTAATTGCTTGCTTCTGACATTGCTTGTACAATTATTGGCTATGACCTTTGGTCCTATATATAAAAAGACCCTTCTGGAGAGCTTATTATGGTTCTTTTATAAACCCTTTGCAAGTTGTTTGTTGCATTAATTTTTTTCTTTTGATACAAAATCACCTTTAGTGGAGACAAAGTAATTAGTTATATAGAGAAAGAGTAAGACAATGGTTCCTAATAATTTTGAGGTTAGTTTGGGAAAGATGATCCAAATTGATGATATATATAATGTCATAACATATTATTTCACAAAAATTTTGAGCTTATTATTTCACAAAAATTAAGATGATCCTAATAATTTTGAGCTTATTATTTCACAAAAATTAAGAATCATTTCTTAATTTTTGTGAAATAATTAAAAGGATCTTATATTAGAATCAGGGGTAGTACTTTGCATGCAGTTGTGGGGAAGTTATTGGCTTTGTCTTTATAGAATCCCCCTTCATACTTGATGGAAGAAAAATATAGTAAGTTTTGATAAATAAACAGCATATAACACACTATTAACTGCTCCTAATTACTTAATAAAAAAAATATTAAATGTTTTGCGAGTTTCCAATATAATAAATACTTTACTTTTTTTTTCTTTTCATCCAATAACCATTCTCTTCAGTATCTATCAATAGTGCACTATATAACAATGTAGTGGCGCAGAGTGGCCATGAGCCACTAAAAAGTTTTGAATAGCAGCTGTAATTGTGTCCAAAATAACTATAGTGAAGCTTTTCAAAAATTCCTTTTTGCCCTAGAATTTAAATTGGATCTAGTCTTTCACACTTCTATCTACTATGTGACACCCGCGCACCTCTATTTTAAACTATGAACCCTCAACCTCCTCTGTTCTCTTCTCTTTGCAACATTCACCCTAGTAATTTAATGGTGCAAATTAAATAATTTAAATATTCATGATTAAAAGTAAAACATACAAGTAAATAACAATAAAAGTCAATGAAACAAACAAACAATGCCTCTAGTCACAGTGCAGTTGTTACATGGTAGATATAACTAAGCTTGAGAGTAATTTTTTAAATTCTGAAAAGGAGGATGGAAATATCAACCCCCCCCCCCCAACTCTCCCTCTCCCCTCCCCAAACACACACAAATAAAACCCCTCTCATTACAATGTATTTTTTAGGGCAAAAATGGATTTTTCTTATAACATTTCTCTCAAGAGCTACTATGAGTTAACTCACAAGTTCGATCACCATTACTGAAAGATTTATATGTGCATTTGGATTTATCTTGTATGGAAGTTTTATATATCTCTAGATGGAGTTGTGATAATTTATACGGCAATTTATATTTTCACTTTTATGATGGTATTGAAGTTTTTCTGCTATCATTCAATGGATAGGTCATTAAACCAAAGCTTGCAAGACCTGGAAGGGTTCCTGTGACTACATGTGCATGGGACCGTGATGGTAAATGCATTGCTGGTGGTATAGGAGATGGTTCTATACAGGTACCTATCTTTTGTCGCTGATTTTATTGGGTAGTAAATTCACTGTCTATATGCTACTTTTAAACTTGAAAGTTGAAGATGAAATAATGTTAACTTTCTGGTAAATTAATTTTCACAGATTTGGAATATTAAGCCTGGATGGGGGAGTAGGCCAGATATACATATTGAAAAAGGTCATGAGGATGATATTTCTGGTATGAAGTTTTCTAGTGATGGGAGAATCTTATTGTCAAGGAGTTTTGATGGTTCATTGAAGGTAAATGAATGATCACATATTCCAAATCATATCATATAGCTTGTCATTGTTTGCTTTCTTTATAGGCATTTATTTTCGTTATCTCATATTCCTGAATCCTGACTCATCCTGATTAACCGATGAATTATGTCTCAGGTTTGGGATCTCCGTAAAACAAAGGAATCATTGAAGGTATTTGAGGACCTGCCAAATCACTATGGACAAACAAATATTGCCTTCAGTCCTGATGAGCAACTCTTCTTGACTGGAACATCTGTGGAAAGGGAGAGCTCGACTGGAGGTTTATTGTGTTTTTTTGATAGAGCAAACCTTGAGCTTGTTTCAAGAGTTGGCATATCCCCAACTTGTAGTGTTGTTCAGTGTTCTTGGCATCCTAAACTGAATCAGGTAACATTATTTCACAAGTATCTTACCTAACAATTCTCTGCTGTCATCTTTCATTCTCTGAAACAGGATTTGTTGCTTATAGTACTTTTTTATTTTATTTTTATTTGTGAAGATCTTTGCAACTGTTGGTGATAAAAGCCAAGGAGGGACTCACATACTATATGATCCAACCCTAAGTGAGAGAGGAGCTCTTGTATGTGTTGCTCGTGCACCAAGGAAAAAATCAATTGATGACTTTGAGGCAAAACCTGTAATTCACAATCCTCATGCTTTACCACTATTTAGAGATCAGCCTAGCCGCAAGCGTCAGAGAGAGAAAATACTAAAGGATCCACTGAAGTCCCATAAGCCTGAACTGCCCATTACTGGTCCTGGCTTTGGTGGACGAGTTGGTGCAAGTCAAGGAAGCTTACTGACCCAGTATCTTCTAAAGGTTTTTTTTTTTTTTTTCACAGTTCGTTCATATTTTTCTTGACTTTCCAGTTCTAGTGCTTAAGATTATGACAGTGGAAGGTACTTACATTTTTATGCAATTGCAGCAAGGAGGTATGATCAAGGAAACATGGATGGAGGAAGATCCAAGGGAAGCTATCCTGAAATATGCTGATGCTGCAGCAAAGGATCCAAAGTTCATTGCTCCAGCATATGCAGAAACCCAACCTGAGCCAGTTTTTGCTAAGTCAGATTCTGAGGATGAAGAGAAATGATGAAGTTGTAGTTGCTAGTATCACAAGATGGTTAACACACGGAACTGTAGGCAAGAGTGTGCTTTATCACTACCAGTGGGGGGCATTCCCAGCGTGGGACTGCCCACCTTCCCGGCAAAGGTTCATTAATGCACCCAGAATGATGTTCAAATTATTAGCTCTCCAATGTCTGTACATTTATGTGTAAAATTGAATTTTGAAGACTATTACATATGATAATTTGGCATGGCATCATAGCGCCACGGGGGTGAAGCGTTGGCATCGGAAACAATCTTTACAACACAAGTTTCAAATGCTATACAGTGTATTTTAGTTGTAATTTTTGCGCTGGATTTACGTTTAAACGCGCACACACGATGTGAATGGTTGTCATCCGCCTGAAGATTTGTTTTACAGTTGGCAATTGTTAAACAGATAGTTAAGTGCACGGCGAATCATGAGATATGACTCATCTTATCCGAGTTTTCATTGCTTCAAACATCTTGACCTAAAATTTTAAAAATTCTCCCAAGGTTTTAGTCCTTGACCAAGGTATTATTACTAGTAAGCTTAATCCAGTACTCAATCCTGGTTTAATAAGATTCTCTTCAAGTCGTATTTGGGTTTTAAGGTCCCTTGGTTTATTTGCAATCCTATCTTCTGTAGGAACTAGAGCTTCGCAATTGGGCACACTCTAAATCAGAAAAATATGGGAAGGGAGCCAAAGTTCATGTACATATATACACGCAATATATAAAAAGGAAAAAAATGCTTTCCCATGCATGGCCACGTATGTCACAATTCACAATCATCACTTTTCAGAAAATGAACAAGCTATTCAACACATAAAACCGATCATAACATATAGATATGTAGTTAATGAGAATAGGAACCGGATATCAAGAAACACGACTAATAACCCTGAGCCAACAAAGCACCAGACCAAATAGCAAAAAAAAAAACTGAGTTAGTTGATAACGTCTCAAAATTATTTACAATTAATTCAATATCTAAAAGTTGAAAACAGGAATGGAAACTTTCCCCTTATTTCGTACATACAACATTATTCACAAGAAAGCAGTACTTCTTTATAGTCCACTCTACTTGCTAGCTTGAATTGCATCCGTTGCCCAGTTGGATCGGCATGACTGCATCTTATTAACAATATCATTAAGCATACGAATGTTGAAAGGTTTCATGTAGAAGTCATCTAGCCCCGCATCCATAAATTCTTGTATTTTCATTGTAGGGCATGATGACACACCAATAATCACGTTACGAATCCCCATTGAACGAAGTTTCTTCGTTGCCTATATGAAAACATGCATTATACACATGCACGTCCAAATTAACCAAAAACATTCATTATTCTTTCTCCACAAGAAACAATGAATAGAAAGTAAACCAAATCAAGAAAGATACTTCTTTGAACTTCCTAGCGCCTATCATCCAATTAATTACGTACCTCTACTCCATCCATGACTGGCATGTCCCAATCCATAAGAATTAGGTCAAACCTTTTACCAGTGTTATGAATGTCCACAGCTTCTTTGCCATTTTCCACTGCGTGATTTTTCACCCCAATTCTGTTCAACAACTTTTGATGAATCATTCTGACGGTCTTCTCGTCATCTACAACAAGTGCTGTTATTGTTCCTGAACTTTCTGGGTACATTACACCTTTGCCTTTGTCTTTGTACTTAACTTCAACTTCCATACTTGGGTTACACAAAATTTTTCTTTATAAAAGAAAAGTTTTTTATTTTATCTCTGGACAAGATAGAAATATAATCGCTAAATATGTATATGTAGATTTCAAGAGTAACCCTAACCTGCCCGAGAACTCTTTCAAGATTTTGAGACTAGAGCAAGAATGGGTAAGAGACCAAATGATGAACAACTTTTGAGTCATGAGTAATATCATGAATATGCCTTTCAACTTATACATGCCACCCCCTTTATATATATATGACCAAGAAGGAGTTCAAGAACTAACAATGGACAAATATATAGTTTTATTATTTGAATCACTAAAAATTAACATTATATATAATTTCATGTGCTATTATTTTTATCTATAAAATGCATATGGAAAGCGATGGAACTGCAGAGAAAGAGTTCTTGATTTTATTCTATATTACCTACATATATCAATACATATACATCTGCATGTACATATATATATATATATACATATTGGATATACATACGGTAGCTCCACTTTTAATTTGAGGTTTAGAGCTGTACACAAACTGCCAAACTAATAACTAATTTATGTTTTGTTTGTTATTGACAAACTCAATTTCTAATTGTAACTGATTTTGTAAGAGTTAGTTAATTATTCTCTTTGCTAACTCTAGTATTACTTATTTTATTGAAAAAATTGCATTGCGTGGTACGTTATTAGTGTTAATACGTCTAAATATCCTTAATTTTTTATAATGCAACAAATTATTTTATTTTTCTGATATTTATGAGTAAGTAGCTGCAGTTTGTTATGAGAATCGTTAGAAGTGGCAGAACAAAAGAACATGTGGAAGGAAGAGAATGAGCATAACAAAAAAACGAAAAATCCGAGAGATCTCTAGAATTCAGTAAACAACTTGGGAAATCACTCGAAGAAGACTAAGCTTGATGTTGTCGGGTGAATTTGATACGCGACACAAGGAACAAACAAGAAACTTAAAAAATCAACTTATATTATTTATGCAACATTTATATATAGCACTTTCTACAACACTATTTCAACTATCTAATTATCAGTTATTAAGTTCACATATATGAGATTATATTGAGAATCAGATTGGCCTCTCCTTTAGAGGGTAATGCAGTGATTGGCAATTCTTCTGTAATCTCAACCAATTCTTCACATTTCAGCAAACTGATCGAACTGAAAGCAAAGGTCAGTTGGGATCAAAGGAAATAGATTATTTAACCGCTGAATGCAAAGGCAATAGTTTGCACAAAATCAAAGAAAATACGTGAAAATATAAGTTATGACACGGTTTTTAATTAACAAAGTAAATTTGTAGTTAGAAGCAATGCATGCATGCAGCATGATTTAGAACTAGTGGAATGGCATTAGCAAATATATATTTACATATTTACGCCAATCAATATTCTGTGTCATAAATTCCAAGCTTCTTGAGTACTAGTACTACATCTCTAATAACTTGGTTGATAAAAACAAATGGTAGAAACATTCTTTTGCTTTGCGTTTGATGCTGAAAACCCCATTTGAATTCAGAACATGAACTTCAGAAGGAATATACATCATGTCTTTGATAAGGGAAGCAATTAAATGAAATCACTGATTCATGGCAACATAGGCAAGTAGCTATGTACAATCTAATTATCCGTGTTTACAGGATCTGTCAAAGTGATGAAATAAGGTTTATTTATGCACTTTATTTTAGCTCACTTTAGACTACAATCACTGTAGCGGAGTCTATTTGTTTTCTGATTTCTCTCCATTACAAATAAATCAAACAGTTGCTCCAACTTCACGTTTCTGTATATGTTCCACGCTTTCATGATACTCATAAGCCAATCCACCATGGTGGGTTAAATCCAACCCAGCCATCTCCTCATCATGTGATATCCTCAGCAGATTCAGTTTATGCAACAGAAAGAACATTGTTCCCATTGTGACACTCACCCAACCGATGATTGCCAAAATCTGAACAAGATTTGCTGCCAAGAGCTTGCCACCCCCTCCCATAAACAGCCCATAAGGCCTATTAGGGAACCCTGGGTACACCTCATTCACGTACTCTTTCTTAGCAAACAAAGCAGTGAAAATGATCCCCCAAGTGCCACAACCACCATGAAGTTGTGCAGCCTCAAGTGGATCATCATACTTCAATTTCTCTGCCAGCAAGTTGCATCCAATAAGCACCCAAGCAGCCACAAATCCACATATGATTGCAGCCCAAGGATCCACCACAGAACACCCTGCAGTGATAGCAGCAAACCCACCAAGCAAACCATTGCAAACATCTGTGACATTCCAATGCCCAGTTTGCATGCGTTTTCCAAAGAGGGTAGCCAATGCTGCTGCACATCCAGATAAAGTTGTGGTCACTCCAGTCCTCCCAATAGCACTCCATTGCCCATAATAAGAACCTCTCCCTCCATAAGCCTTCAAGATATTAAGAAACGAACCAGGATTGAATCCATACCAACCAAACCACAACATGAATGTCCCCAAAACCACCAAAGTACCACTGTGCCCTCTCATTGGCACAGGTTTCCCTGCATGATCAAACCTCCCAATTCTAGGACCTTCAATGAAAGCACCCCACAATCCAGCAATAGCTCCAACCAAATGAACAACACCAGAACCAGCAAAATCAATAACCCCAGATCCAAACAACAAATTCTCAGCTCTAGCAGGACTACCCCACCCATCAGGAGACCAAAACCAATGTGCCACAATTGGGTACACAAAACCAGTCAAAAACAATGAGTATATCAAATAAGCGACAAACTGTGTCCTCTCAGCTATGGAACCACTCGTGATCCCAGCAGCAGCAATGGCAAAAGCCCATTGAAAGAGAAAGTAACCATAGTCAAAAGAAACTGAAGGAAACTCTTCAAGGCCAAAGAAGTGTTTCCCAATGAAACCATTTGAAGGTGTACCAAATGCAAAAGCAAAGCCAAAGATGTAAAAGAAAATCCCACCAGTAGCAGCATCGAGAACATTGGTGAGCATGATGTTCATGGTGTTCTTGGCACGAACTGAACCAGCACAAAGCATGGCAAACCCAAGTTGCATGGCAAAGACAAGGTACGCAGAGAAGAGAAGGTAAGTGTTGTCAACCGCATAAGATGTGTCAACAAACTTGTTTGATATGGCATCAAAACGACCACATAAGTATTCGGCTGCGGCGGTGGCGTTGCCTCCTCCGCCGAGAAGAGGGCGGAGGTCGGCGGCGGAGCAAGTGTAAGTAACCATGGTGGTGGTGGCAGAAACTAACCTGGCTCGCACGTGACAACCCTGACCCTTTGAATAACTCTACGTAATATAAACACAAGTGATTCACATACGCTGCGAAGGTTGTGGTGTTTGTTTTTAACGGACTGAATATTAAGTAGGTTTTCTGTTTTCTGTTTTCTCTTTGACCATAATCTAGATTTCGATTCCAACTCATAACGGTTTTTTTTTTTTTTCAGCCATACAAATGAATGAAAAATAATGAGATTTTAAGAATTACATGTCAAGTGGTAAAAAGATGAAATTATAATATCAAGTTTCATCCATTTAGGTTATGATTCATTTATTAATTGTATTAAAAGAGTAAACCCAGCAAAATCTTCTTATTTATTTTCTTCCTGTTTTATAAATAAGAAACTGTTGAATAAAAAATCACTATGAGTTGGAATTGGAATCTGCACGTTGATTAAGCTTTAATATCTAAAAAATATAAAAATTGTTCCAAATCTATTTTATCTAATAATAAGAAAATAAGTAAAAATATTATAAAGCCTAGGCATTTCACAATCAATATGTGTTCTGGTTAAACTATTTATCTAATAAAAAATACTTCGAATTATTTTTTACAATCACCATGTATTCTCATTATTTTATAAAAAATATTAAATAAAAATAAATAATTTTAACAGCTTAAAATATAGAAGTTATTCAAAACTTTCCATACCTGATAAATAAGAAAATTAATAAAAATATTATAAAATACTTAGAATCATTTTGGCAATTACCATGTGCTTTTATTACTTTATAAAGAGAATATTAAATAAAAATAAATAAATTTAATATCTTAAAATTTAAAAGGTATTCAATACTTTCTTTATCTAATAAATAAGAAAATTGATAATAAAAAAAATATATTATAAAAATACTTAGAATCATTTTCACAATCATCGTTTGCTCTTATTACTCTATAAGGAAAATATTAAATTAAAAAAATAAATTTACTATCTTAAAAATGTAAAAAGCATTGAAAACTTTTTTTATCTAATAAGAGAATTAATAAGAAAAATATTTAGAATCATTCGCATTAAAATAAAGCTTGGCATTTGACAATCACCATTTGTATTCATTGATCATATTACATGTCACATAATAGAAATATTAAAGTTAATCTAATATACTAATCCCTGAATTATTTGTAAAATTTTAAACTAGTCCAATACTTTAAAAAATTATATATTTTTATTATAAATTATTTTTAATTAAATTGTTAAATTAAGGTATTTGTCAATTCGATGAAATATTATTTTTAATTATAAATATTAAAAAGACATAAATTTATTTTAAAAAATTTAAAAGATTCAGGAACTAAAGGTTTATTTGTTTTTGTTTTTAATTTTTTAAAATCATACTTTAAAAAAAAACAGTTTTTAGGAAGAAAATAGAAATAAAACTTGTTTATTAGTTTAGTTTTTGAAATTGTTAAGATGAGAAAATAAAAATAAAAAACCAAAAAACATTACAAACATTCTTATTTTTAGTTTTAAAAATTGAAAATGGAAGTTTATTTTTAAAAATAATTTTTAAGAATTCATCTTAACAAATAATTTTTTTTAACTTTTAAAAAGAGAAAATTATTTTTAAAATCAGAAAACAAACAAGCCCTAGTAATTAAATTTATCTAGTCAATGAGTGTTAACCATTTTTAAAATTTCAAATAAGTCTTTATGTTATTAAAGTTCATAAAAAGAATTAAGAATACTTTGTCTAACTTTGACATAACTTAGAGGAAACCTTAGACATCGAATCCAATTGAATATATTTATAAGTTAATAAACTCATACAAAAAACTATCGACTAAAGTTATTTTTAAAACTTCTTAAACGATTCAAAGATTTATTAAATAACACGCCTTTTTTATTTAAATAATATAATTTTAAAAACTATTTCTAAAAATAGAGTTAATTAAAAGCCGAATAATGATGTGTTAGTCAGTATAAAATTAATTTACAGAATGAAAAGTAAAACATTTTTTAATGTGTCCAAAACATACAATAAAAGTATAACATATATATATATATATATATATATATATATATATATAATTTCTTATGAAAATCATAGAATATAAGAATTAAAGATCACACAATAACACTAAATACTACAATTTTTAATAAAATACTATTTATTTATTTATTATTTCTTTGAACACATGAAAATATATATATTATTAGCCCACCTCTTATGATTTTCAATGTATTGTAACATGATTTTTATATATAAAAAAAAAATCACTTTTAATTTGTTAACCAGTGCGAGACCCTTGATTAATTTAACCAAATTTTAAATATGCCGAACACAACGTGACTGAAAATGAAATATGAACATAACATTCAAAAATATCGACACAAATATGTAGCCAGTTCTGAGCTCTTCCATTTATAAAGCAGATAAACAGAGTTCTTGAAGATTCATCATATCATTGATAAAATTACTAAGGTGGAGTGCTAGATTAGACATGTGCCAGACAATTCCAAGGGTTCTCCAACCCAAACAAGGGCATGTCTGCATCAAATGTGCTAAGATCAGGATATGGCATATTCAGTTCAGATGCCAAAAGCATCATCAGCTCCAATTGAAACACAGTTTCCTTCATCAAAAAGCCACTGCTTGATCTCATCAAGGGAGCGAAAATTGGTGCTTCCGGTAAACTCGGTGCCAGACTCCTTTGCAGTAGGTGACATCTCTATAGATCTTGAGTTTTGTAGATAATAAATGCTTTGACTGGTATCCTCAACCCAACTTGAGTCAAGAGCTGAAAAATCCACCTTCATTATAGATTCACTATTACTGTCATCATGAGGTTTTTGATGGCAAAAATATTCCTTTGTAGTTCCACATTGGATAATATTTCCACAAGCATATTCATTTTGACTTCCTGTTTGATGCTCATTTAAAACCTGATTTCTATTATGGTCAATCACATTACTTGAAGGAGCATCATTACTCTGACCACAATATGCATAAAAATTCTGGCTACCATTTGATTGGTAATATGCTTGAGTTTCATCATAAGCATTGGTACATTTGCTGGCAGAGCTGAGGTGGTTCTGTTCTTCAGAGCTTGGATGTGAGTACATTAAATTTTCAGGGACCCAAATATCATTTTGTCCATAACAAGTACTTTTATTTGACAATCCTGTTGCAGCAAGATATCTGTCATACTGCCATGCTGAATTGACAAAATTGCGGAAGCCAGAAGCACCATGAGTAGAATGGTTCATTTCCATGATGCTCCCAACATCAACATTACCTACCCGGTTGGGCGTCATGCGAGGACGAAGGAGCTGAGGCCCTAAACTGCTACCTCCATGTCCTCGCACTCTTTGGATGTCATCATTGCACACACCTAGCAACTGCCGTGGAGCAGAATGAAACTGGTATCTGTTTCTCATCAAAGTAGATCCTAAATCTTGACATCTACCATGGTTTGCACCACATGGGATTGTAAAGTTGGTGGCCATGGGGGACTCGGGGACTTTATTTGGACTTGAGACCTGATTCTGTAAGTTAGAATTTAGTGAGGAGCATGCGCGCATTATAATTGGCCAAGAGGCCTCATTTTGAGGTATAGGATTTACCATGGAGTATCTAGGTGATGCAGTTGACCTTGGTGTCTGATTCAGGAACATGGAATTTGGAAACAGTAGCATATTATCAAGAGGTAGCATATGGTTATGTTGGTGATTCCTGACATCACCTGGTGTACCATAATTGGTTGAAGCTGGTAATGGATCAGTCTTTCCCAGCCTGAAATTTTCCCTCAGAGTTTTCCACATCTCAAATTTATCAGTTGCATGACAATGATCTGTACTTGAAAGGCCTGCTCCCCACTTCAGACATGGTGCTAGGGAGTCACAGACAAAACAGTGGCACTGCATGTCATCAAAAATAAAAATCAGTTATATAAGGATAATAATATCCAACACCAAATAGAGGGCGACCTTGTGCACAAAACAAGGCTCCCACCTAGTGGGGGTTGGAAAGGGTAGATGTATGTAGCCTTGCCCCTACAAGTGAAGAGACTGTGCCCAGGACTTGAACCTGTGACCATGTCACAAGGTAGCAACCTTACCATTGGGTCAAGGCTAACCTTCTAGGTGGAAGAATTATAATTAAACCAGCTAATGCATAAATGCTAAATTCTTATATGAATTATTATATTTACCTGGTCACAATGTCTCTCATGGGGGGTGGAAGAATATGGAAATTTAACACAAAGATGTCGCGAATGAGGATAGTCTCTGCATGCAATCTGCTAGTCAAAAACAAAAGCAAAAAAAAAAAAAAAATGAACCTCCGCATCTAAAATGCTCCAGATACGTCTTCAATCAATGCAAACAAAGATTGAAAATTGTAGTTTTGAGTAATCAAACTCAAAGCAAGAAAACCAAAACAGAATTTAGGACCAAAAATGAAAGAAAGAGCATATAGCAATGCTTCACTAAAAGCGACTCAACTAATGCTTTAAATCTAAATTTGAATCAGGATTGCATTCTCAAGCACATGCCGAAAGAGTTATGTAACTTCATTAGGAGTTAAAAATAACTAAATCATCAGTAATCATCATCCCATTCCATTGCAACATATTCTAGATAGAGGATTTCTTTCTTCCAAATTCCAAATACTCTAGATTCAGTCAGCAACCTTCATCCTCACTTCAGTCAGTATCAGCTATTCTAATTTGAATCTTATAGAATATGAATCCATTAAAAAGTGCTTTGCCAGAAACCACAACCATGGTACATGGCCCAGGATCCAAGTCTTCTGCCATCCTAGTTAAATTTCCTCATATGTTTACCAGCAACTCTTTAAAAATCAAATTCTCATAAATATTATTTATTAACAGAACTCTTCAAATAACTTCCTCTTAGGCTCTAGACAATTTTCTGTCATCTTTCTCGCAAACAATTACATTTAAAAAAAATTAAAAGAACAGGATTCCACTGTCACAACAAATTGGAAAAAAATACCTGACCCTTCTCCCCAACTACGAACAACTCCTCTGACCCAGTTGGCGAGTCCTTCACCGAGTTTACACACTTTTGTGGGTCACCATCAAGAACAACACAATCACTAGCATCGTCGTCTTCATCTACGCTTTTCAAAGCCGGTTTTGACTTGCATTCAGGTTTGTCGACATTGTGTAACACAAACCCCACGTTTGGTTCTTCATCCGAAATGCCCAGAAACTCCTTTACCCATTCAAAGTCAATGCCTCTCTCTCCCTTCTCTTCCAAACACGCCCTTTCTTCATCATCATCAGAGCTTACGTCCAACACAACTGGCATGCCCTCCATACTATATCCAAAACCGTTTAAACCTTAAAAAGATTGAATTTTTGGAGCAACCTCGTAGAGAAGTGGAGTGTGGATTGTCCAGATTCTCCAAACACAGATAAATTGTGATATCATCATATGGGAAGCGAAAACCGCAACAACGTAAAGAATAATAAATAAATAAACAAATAAATGGTCTTTTGGACGTTAACGTTGGCCAGAGATTCAGGAAAAAGAGATGTTACCCCGGGGATTGGTTCAAGTGTAAAATTTAAAGTTAGTTAATTTTATCAAATTTTATATAAAAATAAAATGATATTTTTTTAATTTATAATATATTTTTAAAATATAAATAAATATTAAATTTTGAATACTATATTAAAAAAATAAACTATATAAATTTTATATATATATATATATATATAATTATAAAAATAATATAAAATAATTGAATGGATCAATTTTATATTTTATAAAAAGAAATATTATATATATATATATATATATATATATATATAAAAGCTGTTGAAAAGGTTGAAATTTTTTAATACGAAGGTATTTAAAAAAATGATAATAATTTTTTAGATAAGAATGTATTTTTGAAATATAAGTTAAAATTTTAAAAATAACTAATAAAAATTGGTTTGAGTGATAAATAAATAAGTATTATTTAATTAAAATCTTAAATTCGAATTTTATGTATTATTAAAAAAATTTAGTAATAGATTCACCAACTACATTTAAGTATAAAAATGATTGTAATATATGTTTTTAGTTTTATTTTTAAAATAAATAAATAATTATATATCATAGTTTTTTGGATAAAAATATTTAAATAAAACTTTTTGAAAATGACCGATCGGATAAAAAGAAACGTATAATTTTAATTTGATTGAAGGTTGATTTTAGCCTAGTTTCTTCTAAAATATTATATGATTAAAAGGAAAAAATAAAAGAGATAGGTCACACAAAAAAAAGATAAGAGAATAGGTAAGTTTTTTAAAAGAACTTTTTTTTTCTTAAAAGAGAAATAAACAGTTCAAAAGAAGCTTTAAAGATGAACTTTTTAATGAAATGTTTTTTAATATATGTATATCATGAAAAAATAATAAATAGTATTTTTTATAAAAATTATAATACTCAATATTATTAATATATTAAATTTATAATTTTAACAAAATATATATATATATATATTATTCCGTTCTTTTCGATAAAAAAATATTAATGTTGCTGATTAATATATAATTAAATTATTTTATATTTATCTAAATACATCCTCAAATGTTTTCAAATGTTGCCGATCTTTAGTAAATTATTATTAATTTATTTCAAAAAATAAATTAATAGTTCATAATATGAGTAGTTTAATCAAGACTTAATATATGTTTCTTTTATCAATAGTTTTAATACTATAAGAGTATATAAATATAAAAAATAAATTATTCTTCTGAGTCAATTCAAGCTTAATGTTCTAGATCCGATTTAGGTTAGGTTATAGTTCCCAACAAGCAGTTTAGACAATCTCTACCTTTACCCATAGACCATTGCTTGAAAGAATGAACAAATAATTTTCTTTTATTAAAAATTCTGTTTGAGATGTATTGTAAATCATAGAATAAATGTTTTGTTACATTTTTTAATAAAAAAAAATTATATTTTAGTTTAGTAACTAATTCTTAAAAAAAAAAAAAAACTTGTTATATATAATAAAATAATTCAACTTAACATACAACTTAGTTAAATACTCACAGTGAGAGTTTTGTAGCTTAAGATACTTCTCGGTTTAAATAATATTAATTATCATGGAGGATACATGTCTCAGATAAAAAAAATTATATATATATATAATAAAATAAATAATTTTTAATAAAAAATTATTATTTTTATACACTTAAAATCAACTGAAATGAGCAAAAGTATATATTTATGGCATGCAGTGGCTCAGCAGCATAAAAGCTGGGTTGCATGCTTAGAATTCTAAAAGAGTGCCGACAAGTTTGGCAAAACTGAGAAAGAAATGGAACAGTGTCGGATCACAATTAATGCAACTTAGAGGGCAATACTCCCAAAGTCCTAATAATACCATATTCTCTATTCTCTATGTTATGATGTTATGTGGTTTTCTTCACATGACACGACTACACGACACAACTATGTTTGTTTCCTTTGTCATTGTTCCAACTTCAAAGGTCACTTAACCATCTCCTTCATTTCTCTTCCACTTCTATATTTAGCAACTCTTTTCTCTCTTTCTCCCTCTCTCTCGCTCTGTTCTGTCAAAGACAAGGACCGAGCCTTAGCAACCACGAAAAACAGGTACATGTTGTTCCTCATGTTTCTCTTTTCTTTCTTTTTTGTTTTCAACACTGTAACACCTGCAATGTTGTTTACAATGTAAAAGGCTTTTGTATTTTCAAGCATTTAGCAACTCTTGTTTCCGTTACAAGTAATGTGGGTTGGAGGGTTATTCTTTGATTTGTCTCTTCGATTCCCAGCATTGTTCTGCCATTAATAAAGAATATTGGTAATTCCATAGTTGCTAGTTTGCTATCTTTGTTTTAGAATCAGGTTTGTGCCCATTATTACTCTGGTGGAAAAGTTTGAAAATTTGAAAAATAAAAATAAAAATAAAAGTGGAATCTACGTGCCCAGACCCAGAAGAATCACGAGATTCTTTGATCGCTTATTCATATCAAAGGTTTATTGGGATCGGTTATCTGTAAGAAAGGAAGAGCCTTGGAAAAAGTTTTGGTGATAATTTCCATCTGGGGTATGCTCATTCAAATCAGTGTGTGGTAGAATAATCAAATTCAGTGGAATGATCCAAAAGGTGATGGTTTTGGAATTTGGTATGGCAACAGAAGAGTGGAGGCTGGAAGTGATTGGTGCACTGAAATTTGGGAGCATGAGTTAGGTGCATATAAATATGAACACAAAAGAAGAGGCTGAACCTCATGAGGCGCCGTCGTCGCCTATGAGGGTCCTGCAGCAGTTATCTGAGGGGGCATTCAGAGCTGCTGGGGAAGCATTGCACAATATGTACTCTGGTGGTGGTGGTAGTGGTGGTGTTGGTGGTGATGGTGGTGGTGGGTCAAGCATGCCACAAATGGGGCCTGGTGTACACAGACGTACTCAAAGTGAACTTGTTACTAGAGGATTTCAACGAAGTAACAGCTATCAGAAATTAAAATCTAATGTGCAAAGGGCTTGGCGGTGGGGTGGCAAGCCCCGTGGAGAAGACCTGTTGGCGAGTTTCAACCCCGAGATCATGGCAAACCAGAAACGTCAGTGGTGTCAGCTTCATCCTAAAACTCAGGTATTCAATTTTTAGAGTCCCTTCGTGCGCTAAATTTATTTTTGAAAATTCTCATTGCCTGATTAATCTGCAAATAGTAATGGAACCTTTTTGTTTACATTCTACAATGTACAGATAGTAGTAATGAAAAGCTTCCTTTCAATAATTCATGTTACTTCGTGTTTCACCTCAAAGTAGAAAATCTTTTTCCTTCCTTCCATTACTTGTTCTTTGTATTTTAGGCAACAAAATTTACTACTTCGTTTAGGAAACTTCTTTGATCTATAGGAATTTTAACTATTCTTTGAATTCTCTTGTCTGTTTTCAAAATTATAAAATTTCTGCATGCAATATTTTGATGTTAAAAATACACATCATTGAAGTGCATTGGTAGCAGTTGTCTATAAGTCCAACCCTATCAGAAAGTACTTACAGCATGAGTGTTGAGGATTTTGATTGTTATTATATGTAGTTTACCATGTCATGCTGAAATGAGTTATGGGTGTACTGTTAATGCCAAAAGTTATTTTGAAGTTTCTTCCTGTAAACACAGAACATTAGCAACATGTCAATGATGCATTATTGCACTAACTTTTAGGAGGTGACTTTGTGTACCATACATGTTCGTGAAATATGTAAACTTATCATTTTGTTGAAGTAAGCCACTGTGAATATTACTGTAGGATTGTGTAAATTATAAGGAGCCAACATCGCTCTTTGAACATTTTGTGATTGTGGGGCTGCATCCAGATGCTAATTTGGAAGGCGTGGAGCATTCATTTGCAAGAAGGAAGAAGTGGGAAAAAGAGAAAGAATTTATAGATTACAAAAAGCAGCAGCAACAGAGGCCACCAGAACCAATTTTGGAACCTCAGGTTTGTTGGATATCAGTGTTTGTTAACACATATTATTACATAGAAAAGAAAGAAAATACAACTAAGGGAGGATGAGATATCCTCCAAAACAGAGGAAAAAGAAGGAAATAAAGAATAAAAGAGATTAACTGGCTATCCAGTCTCTCTGCATGTCAAAAATAGAAAAATCTAATTTAAGTTTGTCTATTATTGTTTGTTGATAAATTTTTAAAGTTAAATTCTCAAACTTTGTAAATACAGTATTATAGGCTAATAGACATTGTGCATATCTAGTGTCTAGTTATCTACAAATTTAAAAGATTAATTTCATTGACATTCATGAAAGATACTTAGGAATATTACACATGTATTTTGATGGTTAATGAGAATTATTTGTCTATAATGTGCTGCTACCTTACAAATGATGAGTGTGTTTGCAACCTGAAAACAACTTATTTTAATAAGTTATACCATGAAGTTTATTGAAATAAGCTAAAAGATCTTATGAGAGTTATAAGAACCATAAGCTCTTCCAAACCCTCCCAATATCTGCAAACAAATAATTTGATGGTAAAATTCCCTAGTAAACAAAGTAAAACCAATTCCTATTTGTTTATGGGTACAATTCAGTCTATTGCTCTACCTATGGATCAATAGGTTCATTGTAGCTGATACCTTTCTGTAAACATGCAGATACTGTTCAAATATCCTCCTGCTAAGAAGCTAACAATGCGTATGAAGGACCTAGCTTCCTTTTGCTTTCCTGAAGGTGTTAAGGTCTGTTTGATGCTGTTTTACATATTCAGATCTGTCAAATTCTTTTTCTTTGTTAAATGCGACCTAACAAATTGTTTGCTATATCTTTCCATTGCTTACATTTGGAGGTACTAAATTGGTCCTACCATCACATTTGTTACTCTTGCCCCTTCTTTGATGCGATCATGACAAAAATATTTGATTCCTTAATTTGCAGTGACTAAATTGTTTTATTTGTCTTGAAGTTATCAATTTTCATCCTTTTTATCAAACATTGCAACATATAAACATATCACTCCCGTATCTGGAACAGTAAATCTATGGAATCTAGGGAAATCTGACTATACTGACTTGCATTCATAGGTTTAACTTATTAGGATTGACCAATATTCTTGCCTTTAATTTAGATGACTTCTTAATTGTAAATAATAAGAGCATGTTTGATTTCTGTTTTTAAAATAGAAATCAAACATGCTCTAAGTTTTCCATTCTCTATTTTTGGTAGAATTTGGCATTTGTTTAATAAGATGAAAATAAGAGTTTCGATAAACCATAGGTCTATTTTAGTAATGAAATCTGCTTTCCCACAAACTGTTTCATAAGTGTTGATTTACAGGCATGGTTGTTGGAGAGAACGCCATCGCTAAGTGAACTAAATGAAATTGTCTATGGACAGGTATGCCACATCAATATCTTAGCTTATTTTTAAGTAGATATTCTTGCTCTTTGACTGATATTTTTCAGAAAGCAATTTATCATCTTTGACTTGTCAAATCTAGAGTTTTAGATGATGATTTCATACTGTATAAGCATAAGTTAATACTTGGTCTAAGTACTAAGTACTGTTCAACTAATCTTCCATTGACCACTTACCACCTTTGCAACCAGAGATAATATGTTTGTTTTTTTATTGTATCCTCTTCAGGAGCATTTAGGCAGAGATGATCTGTCATTTGTCTTTACAGTCAAGGTAACTTTTTTTATCGATTTTGTCTATCAACTTTAGTATGTTCGCCTGGTATTGTTAGTGACTGTTGTATTGAACTCCTCTACTGCAAATATTTGACTTACCTGTACCCTGGTTGAATTATGCTTTGTCAGAATATGTGAGGTTGTGTCTGTGTACAGTTTGCACATATTCTTTTTTTTATTTCTTTTTTGTGAATTGTAGGGTGTGCTTGTGAGAGAGGAGGGGGGGGGGTTAACTTATCTTACAGCTTATATTTTTTCTTAGCTCTTCGGTATTTCCATGAGATAAAACCTCAGAATAATGTGTCTAACAATTGCCTCAACAGCTCAGATAATTGTGATGTCAAAGAGCATCCTAATGTTATAGTTGAAGTTACGAGTGAGAAAAGGAGAATGAAAAATAAACCTATAATTTATAACATGGACCTTATGGACAAACAAATAGGACCTGAAAGCATGGATCAAATATAAACTTACTGCATACCTTTGTGCTATGATATAATTATTATAATAGGATATTCAATATGTGCCTCTGCATGTGGATTGATTTTTTTCAGTTGCTTCCTTGTTTCTTACAGTATGATTGTTGAAACTCTCTACCTTGATGTCTTGATCAGGCAGCAGACAATGCAATACTTTATGGAGTTTGCTTACATGTGCCTGAAATTGTTCAGAGGCCCCCTGGTATCTTAGGCATATCATCTCCTTTTTCTCATCGCTCTGGAGTATGCAGCCCTTTTCTGGTTACAGCACCTCGCTGTTACTGTCTTCTGACTAGAGTTCCTTTCTTTGAGTTACACTTTGAGATGTTAAACAGGTTAGAATTATTACTGGTTTTTTGGCATGCACTGACTTACTTTTCAGGTCTAAGACATGCTTGTGTCCTTTGTTTTTCCCTAGATCCAATAGAATTCATTAGGTCTTACTTGGATGCAGTCTCATTGCACAGGAGCGTCTGAATCGGATAACTCAGTTTGTAAATGATATGAATCTCAATTGTTGCATTCCATCAACAACCAAACTAGATGATCAAATGAGTTCAAATGCTAACTCTCCAGAGAGGGAGTCATTTAGTGACTGGATGGCTTGCGCAATACCTCTTCATGGTGTAACTGTGATTACTGCTTCTGGGACTACTTCTGATGATGAAATTCCACAGTTATCACCCAAAATAGGGGATTCTCACTCTCAATCTCCAGAAAGTTTGACTGCCAGTGATGCTTCAGATTATTGTCAGGTTAGGGATACAGATAAGGATGGTGGGAAGAATCTGCAAGATCATGATAATTGTGCTTTTGAGGCACCAGAAACTCATGATTCTGTTGAAAGAGTGCATGGAAATTGTGAAAATGACAAAATTTCTCTGAAAGTCGAAACACCCTTTTCTGCTCGTTGTCGTGTCTTCGAGAGTCTTGAAAGTTCTGAATCACTTTTCAGGTAATAAATTTATAATTATAAAGTTCTACATTTCAATCTTAATTTTGAGTAGACATCATCACATTTTTTTTCTTTAATTTATTGTGCTACGTAAGTGGCAATAGTTTGATATGGTGCATAACTCTTCCAGATTTGATATGGTTCATCCGTCTGTTTAATTTGTTACTTCTTTTTTTGTGACATTTAATGTGTACTTTCAATTCAATTTCAATATCACATTGTTTTCACTGGCAGTCCAGTTAGAAGCATAGTATCAGAAGATGAGGATGATCTTTTCTCAAATAATGAAAGAGATTATGGGGATGAATTGTTAATGGAATGGGCTATGGTTAGTGTAAAATGGTTGCCCATTTGTTTTGCGTTGGTTTAGTTGAGGTGATGCTTGATTGGCAATTTACATTTTCTTTTTTGTGAATGGCATTGATAGGAGAATAAGAATGATTTGCTACAGATAGTGTGTAGATATCATGCTCAACCTATTCCACCTCGAGGAAGTGAATTTGTCTTCCGCCCTCTTGAACATCTACAAGCTATTCAGTATATACGACACTCAGTTGCTGCTCTTGGCTTCAGCGAAGATTGCTTAAGTTGTTCTGAACCAGCTCAGGTATTTTTTAAGTGATTTTTAACAATATATTTATCCAAAAATACTTGCACTCCTTACAGCTATACCTGGTAAAAGGTCACTGCAAAGTTGGCAGATGCTGAGGAAGCTCTTGCATTATCAGTATGGACACTGGCAACTACTTGTCGAGTTCTGTCCCTTGAAAGTGTAAGCACAAATATTCCAGTTGATGTTCAACAATGTTAATGTCTGTCAAAACTCAGAAATTCTTTGCAGAAGCTATTCTAAGAATCCATTTCTCACGTACCAAAAATCTTTTTAAAACTATTCTTTTTCCACTAAATTCTATTTTTACAGATTTTTTGTGCAGAAAACTATTGTCAGATTGATTTTCCTCCTCTCATGTTTCCTTTTCCTGTTCCTGTTTTTTTGCAGTTTAGCTATTCTAACTCATATACTGGATAACATTATTTTATTGAATAATAGCTTGCATCATCAGTTTCTGAATTCCTATGTATAGTTTAGGTTGTACTTTGGTTCAATCCAAACCCAAACCCAAGCCAACGACTTTTTTATATCCTCTAACTAAAATGAACCCAAATATATCACAAGAAAAAAGGTAAAAGAAGAACATATCATGTGTATCTCCCAGAACAGTCCATTTTCCCAAGCAAATCCTTACCACTTGGTGAAACAATTTAGTTTGTCCCAGAAGATGCTTTCTTTGCATCATGTAGACTGTTTCCTGTGGCCCCTTAACTTCCTATATAAGCTGCAATTTTCTTAATAGTTTCTTCATTGACTAAAATATTTTCATTTTTATCCATAATTTTACTGGCAGGTGCTGACATTAGTAACAGGAGTGTTGTTAGAAAAACAGGTGGTGGTATTATGCCCAAATCTGGTTAGTCTTTAAAACAATCATAGTAATTGATGGTCATTTATTTTCCTTACAATGTTTTATGCTTAGTACTTAGTTGCTGCAGTTGATTAATTTGGATTGACACACAGAGGAATTATAACCCGCCTTTCATTTTGGCAATTTTTGACACAAAGCAGGGCGTGCTATCTGCCACAGTGCTTTCTCTCATTCCCATGATTCGTCCATTTCAATGGCAGAGTTTACTGCTCCCGGTGAGTCAGTGGATTCAGCAAGCCCTGGTTTCAGACTTTCCTTGTGGCATTGTCACGTATGTCTAACAATATGTCAGTGTTGCTTTTCAGGTTTTACCTGGGACCATGAGTGATTTTCTTGATGCACCAGTTCCATATATTGTGAGTTTCATTTTATTTGAAATTTATGAAATATGTTGCTTCATATTATATTCGTTTTGTAGACTACTACTTTAGTATATACTATTGCTTTCTGATATATTAGTTTAGGATGATTAACTTTCTACTGATGTATTCATACCAGGTAGAATGATTAACTTTCTAGGTTTCTTTTTTTTTTTTTTTTTTTTTTTTTTTTGAGAAATTGTGTCTTTTGAAGTTTAAGATCTAGTATTTTATATTTGCATTGGTGTAGTCTCAAAATTGACCTACAGCAAGCTTTTCATCTTACATCTGGTAATAGGTTTTATGTAGAGATCAAACTGGGTATTTGTGATCCAAATTATTTTCTTTACATCAATGTATTTGTTGCTTTTTTGGATGTGAACTTCCAATTTCATTTTGATTTCAAAATATTTTTGCATTGGATTGAGGATTAGCATGTTCATGATAATAATTCTATCTTTTCTTTCAATATGTGAGAATGATACCCTGCTCTTATATGCAGTTCTGTTTAAGGTTGAAACGATGCATTGTCTTTTTCCATGTCATTCTAAAATTTGAAGGAAAAAATGAGATGAAAAATAGGAGTGGAAAAGGAGGAAAAGAAGGATCAGATTAGAAAAACGGCTGTTTGTGTAGTAGGTTTTCTATTTTCAATGTTCATTCTTGGATTATAAATTCAAACTGAAAATTCTTACCACCTTGCTTCCATGTCTTGTGAGATTTTTTTACTTTCTGAATTCACAACCTTGAGAGTTTATAAGAAGGGTGTCATTTTTTATTTTCTAACGTTCTTGCAGGTTGGCATACAGCAAGCACCAGATGATTTGAACAGGAAAACTACTAATCTTGTTCTTGTTAATATATTGACGAATCAGGTATGTAATGACGTTTTAAAGATAATTACACTGTATTCCACAAGAACTGTGGGGAATTTGTTGGTAGCTTGCTACACGTTACACTGTCATATCTATAACTACTTTTACATTTCAAAATTTGGGATTGCGTATTTTTTGGACCCTACTATGGAACATGTCCAAACAGAGACTAGCATATGCTGTTCCATGTAGAATATTTCTCTCGAATTTCTATCCCAATTAAAATTTTTTCCTTTATGCAGGTTAAAATGTGTCAATTACCCAGACTTCCACAGCAAAAAGAGCTTGTGTCTCAGTTGAGTCCAATTCATGCCAGACTTTCAAGAGAAAGCTCAATTGCTAGAAAGCATCCTATACATAGGTGCAACGAAGTCCAGGTTTTTTAGTTCTCTCACAAACCTGCAGTTTTCCAGCTTCTAGCCACTGATGCTTCTTCCATTGGTGGCAACTGCTAATATGTACTTGTTTACAGGCTGAAGCTGCAACTCAGTTTTTGAATATCATGTGGCATTATTTGGAGTCACTTTGTGCAAATTTGAAATCCCACACGATAACTAGTGTACAATCAAATAACGACAGGGTAAGATAACGAAGTTATAGAGGTTTTTTATTCCTGGTAACTCTGAAATAATTAAGAATAGGTAGTTTACCCACTCTTTCCTAGCTCATCCAGGATCAATTTTTCAGGTCTCTTTACTTTTTAAAGACAGTTTCATTGATTCCTTTCCTTCTAGGGACCAGGCATTCGTTAAGGTAACAACCTTTTATTCCATTGAAGGAAACTCAAAAGAAATTCTCTTTCTACATAAGCATTGAAATGATTGTGTATGTTGCTATCCTTGGTTTGGAATAAAATCTGATTGTTGTATATTTTATATTCCACTTAAGGGTGAGGTAAAAAAAAGAATTTGTTAACATCATGGACAGCGTTACATTAAATATTCATCAATATTCATAGCGTGATTATCAGAAGGTATAAAAATGTTTTATCTTGAGACTGATAAACTCTTTAATAATTACTCTTTCAAAGCTATTGATTATCATTCCATGGCTTTGCAGCTATTTGTAGATACACAGCTCTTCACTGCTTTATCAGACTCTCGTCTTTCAAGCTTTGAGAGTGGCGAGTCATAGTACTATCACATTATTTTAAGATCAAAACGTGCAATAGATCGCTTAGACACGTTCATTGGCACTGAGAAAGATAGAGTTTTTGATTTCTTTGGTGAACACCTCCAGTCCAGAAGAAATTTTGCTAATCTAAGAAGAGAGGTGTTAAGAATACACTCTATAACATATTCTTTCTTACACACTTTTTATTACTAGTTAAATTTTATTAGAAACTACAAAAATATTAATTATAATCATTAAATTACAATTCACGTTATTTTTATAATTTTCAATAAATTTTAGTTTATAATAAAGAGTGTGTTTGAAAGAGTATCTAATAGGTGTGGGTAAGATTTTCTCAATTTAAGAATCCAATGTTTGGAATGACACACGGTAGGTTGACATGTGGATTAAAAATTTTGTACAATGTTGATAGTAATAGTACACATGCCATGTACTAAATCACTGGCGCTGACCCAGAGGAAACAATCACGGTCCCTAATTTTTATTGAGGGATATGTTCTTGGTTTTAGCTGCTCATGTTTTTTGTAATTGAGTAATTGTGAGTACATATTATTCCCGTGCCTATAGCATACATATCATTCATTTAATTTTTTTGTTTCTTCTTTTTTCTAGATTATGCAATGCATCATATTCTTTTCTAACGTTTTCTTGTGGTACCACGTCATATTGTCTTCTTTTCTGATTGATGACTAAAAAAAGTGTCCTTGCACAAGGCTGAATCATGGGTTGGTATTGGGTCATGTTGTTTCAATAAAACTTATTTCATTGACAGCATGACTATACTGGGCTCAGTTTCAGGAAACTTTTAAAAAAAATAATAATATAAAAATAAAAAAAAAATTTATAATTTGTATCTTTAAATTTTAGAAAAGTTAAACGAAAGAGTTTTTAAAAAATATAAATTATTTCCAATTTATATTCTCTAGAAATTTATCCCAAGTCTGGTGTGAAAGATTTTAGATCAGCACTTATTAAAAAAATTGTTGTTGTTTCTCTTTAATATGGAGAATTTTGAAACTATTTAAGTAATTAAGTGAATTGTTACGCGGGTATATTTGCAGGGTGGGGGGATGTTCTTTACTTCAATCTTCTCATTTAATAGTAAGAGCCACAGTTTAATCAGACATTACTCGGTGAAAAAGAAGAAGAAAAAAATAACTTTATCCAAGTGGATATCATTATTTTATAAAAAGAGACTTTATTACATCTAATAAAAGTGAACTGCGACTGTGTTATAATATCATTTTTTTTTCGTACAGGGTGTAACATCATTTGATTAGCATTGTCATTTTTGGAAGGGCGATATTGAGAGATTCCAAAAAATAAAGTATATATATTAAGCATAAGGGTCAGCACTGTGACCCACTTTGATAAGCAAGACTTGTTACCTGTTAGCAAGCAAACATTATTATTTAATGTCTTCTAAAATATTTATTTTTTCAATTTAAATAAAAAAAATGACCAAGAGGAATTAGCTAATAGTAATTAAAATAAATTATATTTACTGTACTTATCATTATATTATAATTAATTATAACCCCATCTTTTTCTGTACCTGAACTTCAATTTTGGTATCTATCCTTTGTACGAGGGAACGTCAATCGTGATACTATCATTATTTTGTGCAAAGCATTTTCCAAATATCAAAATCCAATGGATTCTGGTTGGCGTTGCGTAAGTATCTTCAGTTGATCTCTTCAACATTTGCTCCAGGTTGGCTTCGGTATGGCATAACATTTTAAAACGCATCTGATATCTGATATCCTTGAAATTGTATAAAAAAATTGTTTCCTATGCTAACATTCCACTCTTTTAACACACTTTTAATTAATTACTAAAATTTATGTAAGTTCCCTCTTAATTTTAATAACTCTTATTTTTAATCAAATAATTCTCATTTTTTTATAATTTTTAACAAATTTTAGTCAAATTGTGTTTGAAAATATGTTCTGTTCAGCTTTACCGGCATGGCACCAATATCCATGACATGCCAGCTTTGTGAAACCCGTAACGTTTGAGTAGTTTTCAAAATTATATTATATGCGAAATGGCCAGTCATTAGTGGTTTTAGACAAGGGGAAGATACCATAATCCCCAATAGGGCGTTTGATGGCATGATCTGCCTAAAGTTTCATTTCTAAAGTAACCATATCTATTTACTTCAAACGAAAGATTTGAATAACAATGCACCACCTATATGAAAAAGCTTCACCCGAAGGATGGAGTGGTGATATATGATTCTTGACAGGCAAAATATACGAATATCATAGTCACAACTTAAAAGGATGCTTATGTGTTCAGTGCTAAGGCCTTCTGGTCACAAGTCCGCCAAAAGATTCAGAAGATAACGTCCATATTATAGACCAAAATGATGTTACAAACTACAGCCACTCAAGGTTTTATTTAAACTATAACCACCACAAGAGGGAAAAGCAACCCAACACACATTCCACAGGAAACTAGCAAGGCTTTTAATGTGTTGCAAGCACACAGCGAAGACATCCCCCTTCATGCAAAAGATCAAAAGCCTTGTTGATCTCGGCAAGTGTCACATTATGGGTAATGTACTCGTCAACCTTGATTTCCTGCATAAATGAGTACAGCAGAATGACACATATTTAGCCTCATAACTAACCATGCTTTCCAATAATGTTGAATTAATGCACAGAACACTCTTGAAAATCCTTTTACCTTTTTCAAGTACTTGTCTACAAGCCAAGGCACTTGGGACCTGCTCTTGAAGCCACCAAAAGCCGTTCCTTTCCAGACACGTCCACTCACCAACTGGAAAGGGCGAGTTGATATTTCCTGCCCTGATGCAGCAACACCCACAATAACTGATGTCCCCCAGCCCTGGAAATTTTTCAAAAATATTTTCATGTGTATAACCATCACAATGTAGTATTTGAAAATTGAGTCAATGAGGCAGTAGCAGCATTCACCCTGTGGCAGCATTCCAAAGCAGATCTCATCACAGAGACATTTCCGATGCATTCAAAGCTATAATCAACTCCACCATCCGTGAGATCAATTATGACCTGCTGAATTGGTTTCTCATGTTCATTTGGATTTATAAACTCAGTGACTCCAAAGTTCTTTGCTGCAAAGTAAAATAGCAAAAGACAAGTCAATAACCGAATAAGTATTTATTATTGTGAGCAATCTCTTATGTTGCTCACTTCTGTAGTGCATTAGCAATATAAAACCAAAACTGAGAAAACAAACAGAAAATATCTCATAGTAAGGCAGTGGTATGCTTGTAGTATAGGTCTATAGCATCTATGAGAACAAAAAAACAATAGAGAAATAAATCAAGTCAATACAAATACATACTAAAAGAACATACATATTAAGATCATATTAAAACCATGCTATTCTGCCATCAGTAAAACTCTTTAAAAAGGTCATCATCTTCTTTCATCAAATAGATATGTTAAAATTTTATTATCGGACTGTCACAAGCCAGGTGATAATCACTATATCAAAAAACATTAATTAAACAAAACTGAGAAATGAGAAAAGAAACATGGACACAAATTACTTCATAGCATTAAAGACATACTATCCCAGTTAGGTCAACCAAGTTGGTGACATACCTACATCAAACTTCTTACTGTCAATATCTATGCCAATAATCCGTGATGCACCAGCAGTTTTTGCACCCTCTGCAACCTGTCAAGTGTTGAGTATAAATTATGAATCATAATAGCAGCCTACCAGTCAAAAGCATAAACATCAACAATTGTAACTTTAGAAACCTACAGCAAGACCAACAGTCCCAAGGCCAAAAATAGCAACAATTGACCCAGCCTCCACTTTTGCAGTGTTCCAGACAGCTCCAAGGCCTAAAAAGTGGGAAAAAAAGAAACAGATATCACAATCTCGTAATAGAAACTCAGCATTGTAAGGACAAAAGACTACACACTATGAAAGAAAAGAGACAAAAAAAGGGTCGATACAGCAACATTTTTATTAACCAAATTAATTGTTAAATCATCAAAACAAAAAGTGCAGGTTCACTTTAAATAACAATAAGCAATAACCATGAGCTATCATTACATTATACTCCAAACATACGGGGTTATGCCAGCTGACAACTTGGATGGAATTTGCAACTCTGATCAGAAACAGAGTTTAATATGATGTGTGTATGGCAATGAAGCAATGATATACATCTTGATGGTAAATGTAGCATCATTGTCCAAACAAATATCATGAATTCATCTGACAATATGCCCAGAAGGGATAAGTTCCTTCCAATATAACTAGAAAAATCGCAATACAGTATTTCATATCACAAAAAGGGGCGGTGCTCACCAGTCGCAACACCACATCCAAGAAGACAAACTTTGTCCAGAGGAGCCTGTGGATCAATCTTAGCTACACTAACATCGTGCACAACTGTGTATTGACTAAACGTGGAGGTTCCCATGAAATGATAGATGGGCTTTCCATTAATAGAGAAACGACTCTTGCGATCGCTGAGCATGACCCCAGCTCCAGTGGCACTACGAACCTTCCCACAAAGGTTTGTCTTGCCCGATTTGCAAAACTTACACTCTCTACACTCAGCCTGGTAACAGGGGATAACATGATCGCCAGGCTGAACTTCAGTAACACCGTCTCCAACACTTTCCACAATCCTACATTGAAAAAAACAACAAAACACACACACACACATAAACAACTCCTAAGTCCTATCCTATCAACAATCAATAATGGTAATTCTATATTATAAAATTCACTATTGATATACTATACCCTGCAGCTTCATGACCAAGAATACAAGGAAAGAGACCTTCTGGGTCCTGCAAAGCGAAAAAGAGCTTCATGCATAACAACACAACAACAATCTTATTCTCTAACAACAAGCATTTGGTATTCAACAAGGAAACATTGAGAAACAATTGGATTTGGATCCAGACCTTGCCGCCCCAAGTATAAGCATCGGTATGACAGAGAGCTGTGTAGAGGATTTGGATTCGAACCTCACCAGCCTGAGGTGGAGCAACCTGAACATCTTCGATGGTCAATGGCTTATTGGGTTCCCAGGCCACCGCAGCTTCATCAAAACCAAATCGTTAGATTAAAATTAGGGTTTGCTAGTGTTACTGTTAATGAATAGGATTTAGATACAAGTAGATGAAGAGAGTAACAGTACCTTTGCAGGTAATGACTTGACCTTGAGTTGCCATTGAGATGAGAATGAGAAGACTACACCACACAACACAACAACACAACACAGATAGATAAAAGTACAGCACCTTATACTATATCTATCTACCTGTTGTGGGACCAATGTAATGAGTACGTTTTTTGGTTGGAAAGAGACATTACTAAAGATGAGGTTAATGTAACTTCAAGATTTGACAGGGGATTAAAAATACAACGCTGCATTATTACATTTTAATTTCACTTTAATTACAAAGATAAGAACAAGCAAATTTGCTTCCGTTGTGATAATGACGGATCAATCGCTTCCGTTGGGCTTCTTTTCTTATTTGCTCATTTTGGGCTTCTATGGACATTTCTCTGCCTTTAACACAATTGATATCACCAAATTATGCTGACCACATAACTATTAACTTATTTTCACTTTTTTTTAATCTTTAATTACTTATTTTTACGTTTTTATTAAATAATCAATATTATATATATTACGTGTAAAATTAATTATATAATTACTAAAATTTAGAATACTTAGAATCACTTATCTATAAATTTAATAAAATTTATTAAAATTAATTATAATACTTTGCATAACTTAAAAATTATAATTATAATTAATTAATAATTATTATCTTTAAATTATATTTCAGAAAAATTCATTCGGATTAATTATATACAAAAATTTTATATTGATAAAAAAATCATTAAAATTACATTATTAAAATGATAATAACAATTTGTTATGAATTTATTTAATAAAAACTATTAAAATTTATTTTATATATATATAAAAGAATTGGAAAATTTTATCATAAAGTGTTAAAAATAGAAAAAAAAAATATTAAATTAATTATACAAAAATAACTTTATGAAAACTGAACGAAGCTTCTCAGTTACTTAACTAAAAATAAAATTACATCGTTGTTTTAATTCTATTTAAATTTAAATAATATTAATTTAAAGTATTTTTTTAATAATTTAATATATTAAATATTTAAAATAAATATAAAATTTACATACATTTATAGAACTGTTATTTTATATTGTATATTATTAAATTATAATATATATAAAAAATAACTTTTTTTGTATGAATTTTTATTTTTATATTTTTCAGTCATGTTATCTTATCAATAATTACTTATCCAACAAAATATATACATTTCTTGGGTTGATGTTTTTATTTTACTTTACTACATTATATTCATATATTTTATTTAAATTTGTTGAGTAAACATAAAATTGCATTATTTCAAGTAATATTATGTATTATGTTTTATTTTTTACTAATTAATTTATATTAAATTTATTAATATTTTTTTAATTAATACAACTTATAATAGTATTAATTAAGATTATCTAAAATTATATTATGGAATTGACATATTATTGTTTCATTATTTATAATAATTTGTATTTAATTAAATTGCAACTCAAGAAAGATAAAATAAATAATGCGCATAAGGTAGTAGTAGAATATTTAAAAGATTAAATAATTTTTATTGCATTAGTGTACACATATTGTTAAGACTCTGTAAGATTTTAAAAGTAAAATATTTTATCAAGACATGTAAAATTAATTACATTTGCTTATGTTATATGTATTTATAACACTAAAAAAAATTACATAAAAATTTAATGACACACAGATAAAATATGTTTTGGTGCATTTTAAAAATAGAAATAATATTTTGATTATGAATTACATTTAATAAAAATAAATTGAAATTAATTATAATATTTTGTATAATTTATAAATTTAAATTATAATTATTTTAAAATTATTATTTTTAATTTGTATTTAAGGGAACTTTATTATATTTAGTTGTATATAAAAACTTCACAATAAGGTGGGCTATACTATGTTGAAAACAAAAACAAAAATAACAAATTGGCTACGGATTGAAATTAACAAAAATTTATTGAAATTGATTAGATATTAAAAATATAAAAACTCTGTAAAATTTAAAAAAAAAATTAATTAAAATCATACAAAAATAACATTGCAAAAAGTAAACAAAACTCTTGAGTTATTATTTTATTAAAAATAAAATTATACCTTCACTTCATCTCTTATTTAAATTTGAATGATAATAATTTAAATGGTTTTATTAATTAATTTAATATATTTTTTATCCCCAAACATGCATTAAAAATTAAAATATTCTTATTATGAAAAATTACACAGACTTATAAAATTATTTTTTAATATAAAAATAAATAAAATATAAAAAATTTATTATATTACCTTTTCATCTTTTGATACACCACTAAATAAGTACCAATCTCTATTTATATAAATAATTTTTAAATAATTTTTAAAAACTTAATCATTGTTCTTTTTATATCTCTCTTTATTTTTATATTTTATATTGATTAAAAGGTAACATTGAAAGATTAAGAAAATTAAATAGTTTTCATTATAATGTCAAAATATTTTTAAGATTTTGTATAATTTAAAAAATAAAATGTGATCAACATTTTATTTTATTTTATTAGGATATTTAATTATGTTATTATATATTATTTTTACTTTCTTATTATTATATATATTCTCATCTTAATATAGATTTTATTATCAATATAATATTTATCTAAATTTCATACGTGATTCATATTTTACATACATTAACATTTTGTAAGTTCAATTAATATAAATAATAATTTTTATAATAAATAAAATATTATTTTTTAATTTTGTTATAATATTTTATTTATTATTAAATATTACAATAACGATTATAAATAAAATTTTCAAACTAAGAGTAATTAATTACAATAGCTGAAATTATTTAAATATTATTAAATATCATAATAATATATTTAGAAAATATATAAATATTATTTTTTATTTAAATTTTATAATAATTATTTTATTTGCATACTTAATATTTTTATTTTACAATTAATAAATTATATAATTTAAAATTTAAATTAAATTTAAATCTCATATTTATTTTTTTTATATATAATTTATTTTATAAATTAATAAGTCCTTTTACTTTTAAAAAATTTTCACATTAAAAATAATTAAATAATTATTTTATATTTTAATTACATTTTTAAAAAAATTATTTTTAAACTATATTAATTAATAAAATAAAGAAAGATATACTAGTGCAAATCCGTGCAAAGTAGTTAGTGTGTGTATTTATTGAAGTATTTTATTGATTCTTATAGATAAATAAATCTGTTTGGCTTTTGGGATTCAATCTCATTTGATAACTTAGTTTAGGACAAAGGTATTAAGTGGAATTAAAACATTTAAATTTATGTTTAATTTTTTAGATAAATTAAAATTTTAATTATTAAATTTGACAAATATTTTAACATAGTATTTGAAAATAATATGTATTAAAATATGAGAATTCAAAAAATATCTATCAATTTTTTTTTCTCAGCTGCAAAGATTCAGAAAGTAAATAAATGAAAATTTAAAAAAAATATTAAATTTTTTTTAGCAATTTTTATAAAAAAATTATTATTGAAGATTTTTTTTTAAAAAAACATCATTTTTATAATTTTTCTTAAATTGTCATAGTTTAGTATTTAATCTTTTTGCATATATTAAAAAAATGTCTGAAAACCAATAATTTTTTATACTGTAGGAGCATAATAAACAAAATTGTATGAAAAAAGAGGAATCAAAAAGAGTAAAATTACACGAATAAAACAAAATAAAAGTATCAAACAATTTAAATAAAATATATTAATTTAAACTACAAGAGAGTTGCATTGAAAACGGTACACTAAACGGAAAAAAAAACTAATTTATAAAACATACTTATTGTAAAAATAAAAAAACAATTTTGTTATGGTAAAGAATAAAACAAAATATAAAGTTACAATAATTAGAAAGTGAAACGGTGCGTTTAAACAGAGAAGAATTAAGAGGCGGGAGCATGGGTGCGACTTTCAAGGTTGCTCCCTGCGTAGGGTATATATATGAACCATGGCGTTGTTGATTATGGCTGTGTGTTAGGGTTGTAGCACTCTGAAAACACTCTTTCGCCGTCATTTCTGAGTGTATCCATTCTTCTATATAACAGTGTATCGCAATTCTTTTCTGCTTTCGGTTTCTTTCATCGTAAGTTCTCTCTAATATCTATCCCAATTCAATTGCAATCATCATGAAACCATTTACATTGCTTCAATTTATTATTTTTTTTACTATAATTATTGCTGATGTCGACTTTTCTGGTGTGCTTTTTGAATTGAATTTGAATATTTGTTTGTGATAGGCTATTTGCTTGCTAACTCTATGATTTCAATTTTGGCTTTGGTGATTGCTTGCACCGTAAGGCTGCACTGAACACTTAAATTTGTGCCATTAGACTCTTTGTGCTAAAGTGGATGTTTTTAATTTTTGAACCTTGTTGTGTGGATTAGGTGGTTGGTTGATTAGTGAATAGAGTTATGGCGGATTTAGAGAATTTGCTTTTGGAGGCTGCTGGGAGAAACCGACACTCTCGTCCACCTTCAAGAGGAGGACATGATTCCCATGATGGGAGTTATTCTAGGGAGGATGATTCAGATGATGAGTGTAATTATTCAGGACGAAAGCCCCCTGGCTTGCATGTTCCTCTAAAGAAGAGATTTGATTCCAAGGAAGGAGACAATGACGAGGGAAATGGGGAAGAAGGGGGCGATGATGTTTATGGCCATTCTGACCGCGAGAGCAATAGCAGTGATGAATCTAATTTTGGTGAGGATCTTTATAAGAATGAAGATGACAGGCGTAAACTTTCTGAGATGACTGAACTTCAAAGAGAGATGATATTGTCAGATAGGGCTAACAAGAAGAATGATAAAAGTTTATTGGGGAAGATAGCGTCAAACCGTGAGAAGCGAAAGGCAAATGTGTCCAGAGAACAGACTCCTTCTCTCCCTTCATCTCGTGTGCGATCATCAGCCAGATCTGCTGACAAGTCTGCTGCCAAGGATGATGCCTTAAATGAATTGCGTGCAAAACGTTTGAAACAACAAGATTCAGAATCACACCGCAGGCTAAGAGAGGTATCTAGAAGTTCACCAAAGCGCAAATCTTTAGTTTCAGCAAGTCTTAGTAGCTCAAGTGATAGTGAAAGTGAAAGCAGGTTCCACAATGATGATGAAGAGTCAAGTGAACATGGCGGTATCGACAGTGATGATGACAGGGTAGTGTCTGAATTTGATGGGGCTTCATTTCGGGATATAAAAGAAATCACGATTCCCAGGTCAAAACTTGCAAAGTGGTTTATGGAGCCTTTTTTTGAGGAGTTAATTGTTGGTTGTTTTGTAAGGGTTGGTATTGGCAGATCAAAGTCTGGGCCTATCTACAGGCTCTGCATGGTGAAAAATGTTGATGCCTCAGATCCTGATCGCCGGTATAAATTAGAAAATAAAACCACATACAAGTACTTAAATCTTGTCTGGGGAAATGACACCTCTGCTGCAAGGTGGCAAATGGCAATGGTTAGTGACTCTGATCCACTTGAGGAGGAGTTCAAACAGTGGGTTAAGGAAGTAGAGCGAAGTGGTGGCCGCATGCCTATGAAGAAAGATGTGACACAAAAAAAACAAGCTATGCAAAAGATCAACTTATTTGTTTACTCAGCAGCTACTGTGAAGCAGATGTTGCGAGAGAAAAAATCTGCCTCGTCAAGGCCATTAAATGTTGCAGCTGAGAAGGGTCGGTTGAGGATGAAATTGGAAATAGCAGAGAGTCAGCATAATGAAACTGAGGTGGAGAGGATCAAGAAAAGGCTGCAAGAGTTGGAGGCATCTCGACAAAAGGCAAAGGATGCCAAGGCTTTGAAGCTTGCTGAGATGAACAGAAAGAACAGGTTTGAGAACTTCAAAAATGCTTCTGAATTAAAGCCAGCAGATGTAGGTTTGAAAGCAGGGGAGGCAGGTTATGATCCATTTTCAAGGAGATGGACTAGATCAAGCAACTACTTTGCTTCCAATCTTGGGGAAGAGGTTGCAGCTAGAAATAAGAGTGCTGGTGGTGTAGTGGTTGATAGAGGCAGCAATAAAACAGGGGCAGCTGTGACCACGGAGGCTGGCATGGTGGCTACTGCTGCAGCTTTGGAAGCTGCTGCTGGTGCTGGGAAGTTAGTAGACACAAGTGCACCTGTGGATCAAGGCACGGAGTCAAATTTGCTGCATAATTTTGAGCTGCCAATATCATTGGCTATACTTCAAAATCTTGGTGGAGCTCGGGGAGTTCATGCAGGATTTGTAGCAAGAAAACAAATAATAGAAGCAACCATTGGATTTCAAGTCCCGGAAAATGATGGTAAGATGCATGCGCTGACATTGACAGTTAGTGATTACAAGAGAAGAAGAGGGCTTCTTTGAACTTTGTTGAAGTAACAACTTTCATCAGGTCTACTCTATGGGTAAATTGGTTTATATTATCTGTGGTACTGTCATGCCTACTAATAGCAAAATATCTTCAATCTTTTCTATTATCATCTAGTTTTCATTTCCTTTTTTCTCTTCACAAAAATTACCGGAAATTGTGAAGTTCAAGTGTACCATTCTCTATGATTTAAAAATGGTTTTCACTGGATGCTTGGAAGAGAGCTAGAATATTATTGGAAATATATTTCTATTTGTTTCAATCTACCCTGTCCTCTTTATGCTGAAAAATATAAAATTAATACATAAATTTGTAACAAAATAGAGAAGAAAAACTCAATAAAAAAAGAAATAAATAATAAATGGTGAAGGGAAATAAAAAATAGTGTATTGAGTTACTAAAAAATATTTAGGTCACGTTAAAATTTTTGTCAAAGATAAAGAAGACAACCGAAAATTGTTTAGTCCTGTCAAAAATTTTGCTGAAAATGAAAATGATTAGAAACATTTGAGTCACATCAAAACATGTTGCTAGATATGATAAAGATGATTAAGAAATTAAAAATATGATAAGAAATTAAATAAAAATTGTGACTCTTAATGTCATACCAGAGAAGTAAGAGGAACTAAAAGCATGTTACACCAAAGAGGCAGGAGGAACTGAAAGCATGTCGCACCAGAGAGATAGAAGGAACTCAGAGAAAATAGAGATAGAAGGAATTGAAAGAGAAAATTTTTAGGGTTCAATCGAAAAGAAGATATTAAAGTAAAAAGGGAGCCGAAACCCTAAAATTATCTTCCTTAAAATTCGGCCAATGTTCAAAAAGGAAAGGGTAAAATTGGAATTTGACTTAAGAAATAAAATGATAACTGTAGTTTATTTTATTTTTTGTCACAATTCGCGGGTGTGACGCGACAATGTCTTTGTAGCGGCAATTTACTGCCCGTGTACACGATATTGACCACTAATAATTATTATGTCACAAACTAAATAGGCTTTCTATAGAAAAGAAAAAACATCTATATTAAAGATTAAATTCTCATTTTGGTTCTAGAGATAGTTAGCGTTAGCTATTTTAATTTTTTAAATATTAAAAACATTACTTTAATTCTTAATTTTTATTTTTTTGAATATTTTAGTTCCTAAACACAAATACTATTAATAAACAGTAATAGAATATTTGCTTGTGTTATGTTAGAAAACTTTCTCATTTCTCTCACGAAAAATTTTAAAGTTTTTCTCCAAATTTGTTTATATAGATGCACCTCAGAGGAATTTTGTAGAGACTGTTAGTATTGGTAATACCAATATTGGGGAAGTTAATTCTTGGGCATGATCAAGGTTCTCGCATGACTGCCAACATTGGTAGTGCAAAATTTTTGAGTGATGGTGATGAACTAGTCAAAGAACTCTAGTGCACTACTGATTCTAGTGTAGGTTATTCACAACCTCAGCTAGAAGACCCATCATCATGCAATATTATCCTAGATAATAATATAGATGCTGATGCATGTCAATATGCCAGCCTTCAAACTCTTTCAATTGCAAGATTTGATCTTAGACGGAGAATCGTTGGATAAAAAAAAATTTGCTCATGAGAAAAAAGCACACAAGCAAGAAACAGAAACGAAATAGGAAAGTCATGAAGGACACCATGATGATCTCTATATTTGGAACAAAACCGATTAAACAAAGAGAAAAACGGAAGAAAAAAGAAATGGCAAAACTACGAAGTGATGAAGCGAAGAGATCCTCCGTAGACTTGTCAAGTAAAAAAGAGGCACATAAAGTAGACATTTAAGACAGTAGAAATTTGTTGAACCCAGTGGCTATAATTCTAAATTAGAAATCAGAAAGTTGATACCAAACCAGAGGCATTAAAAGTAGCTTTACCATAGAATGTGAATGGGCAAATTGATTTAGGAAAAAAATTTAGGGTTCTTTGTGAGAGAAAAGGGGAAGTCACGTTTAGCACTCTAAAACTACTACGTATCTACCATATAAGTCTTACGCACTTAAAGTGACATGTAGCATTCGTTACAGTTTGTTAACTATCTTAGGGATTAAAATAAAGGTTTAGTTCAATATTAAGAGGTCTTTCTAATTTTTGTTGTTCATGGTATGATTATCTTAATCGACTTGATGATATGGAAGTTGGGATGGAAGCAACCCCATCAATGGGTATATTTTGATTGTTCAATGCTCTTCCAAAGCTAGTTTTGTGAGATTCAGGATTTTGGAAAGTAGGTCTACTGTTGATTAACTTGATATGATTTTTGTAAAATATTGGACTAACTCTTAAATGTATTAATTACCGGTGGAACATATTCTTGATGATTAAGTAACTGTTTGTTTAGAATTCGTATTACCAGAAAATTGAAAATAACATCGCCATAGGGGTCTTCAAACCCAAAAAGAAAACATTATTTTTTACGAAACGCGTTTGATGCCTGCTAGAATCGCAGATAAAGAGGCATTAAGTTGCTAATTTATTTTAAAATGAAGTTCAGTATAAAAAAAAGATTTTAGAATGTCTTTTGTTAGTGTTAGTGATTTTTTCAGATTATAGTAAGACCCCATTGTGCTATTCGGCTAATTGTTTTAACAGTTTTAAAGTTTTTGAATATTTCAGCAGAATACAAGGTTTCAGACGTTATAATATATTACGACTGATTAACATTTAAAAAATAAAGGATTTAAATGTACGTAATTCATTAGTTATCTTTTAATGAAAATTACTTTTAGGCGTTAACAAATCACTTGGTCTCTATACCAAATTGGATTCTTAATTTTTTCAACAGATACAAAGCAAACACTTTAGTTATATCGCACTGAACTTATGCAGATTTCACACAGGAGAGATGACGCCTTTTAATTCTTTTATTATTATTATTTGCTTATACATATCAAAATTAGTATTAGTAAAAGCTTTTAATGCAATACCATTGGTCCTTGGCCATATACATATTGTTCTAAAATAACTTTTTATGTTCACCCAAGAAAAGGATTTATCAAAAGGAACAAGAAAGAAGGTAAATGAAACTCAAACAAATTCCATTCTTTCTAGAGGATTTTTATGGTTCACTTGTTCTGTTTGCCCTCTAGGAGCAAGACAATCCAAAGTACTCGTAGTGCACTTCTTAAATTTACAAACCTCCACGAGAGAAAAAAAAGAAAAGAAAAAAACCTAAGCAAAAATATAAGCCATTCGAAGTAACTATTTGTTGACTAAAATTCTTTTGATAAACAAGTGAAGTAAAATTAATGCTTTTTATTTTATAAATTTAGTGAAATTCATTTAAATCCATTTACAGCATTCTTTTTAATGGTTAGTTTTAGTTTTATTTTTGTAGTTGTGGTTTTAATATGTATTTTTCGCAGGTGTCCTTTTAGTTTCATAATTATTAACGCTTTGGTCCTTTAAGGACTAATATTTTGATAAGTGAAAATACAAGGGTTCATCTTTCATGCAAAAAGAGGATTATTTTTCTTATAAAGAAAAATTATAGAGATTAAAGCTCAAGTAATTAAAATTTAGGAATTGATATTCAATGGTAGAGATAAAAAAACCAAATTAATAAAAATATAAGAGCTTAATAAAATATTTTAAAGACTAATATTTAAATTAATCAAAATTATAATAATTTAATTTTGTCTTAAACTTGTTTTCTGAGGTCTGAATCTCTTTATATTTTGTTGCTATTACACATATATTTGCTAGCTATCTTAGTGAAGATAAACAAGTTTTACACGGAACTTTTGAAAAACCATATATTACTTTTTATTAGTTTTATATTGATTTTTTTTTCTAATTCACGGGGCTAAAAAGCCCAGTTTTATATTAATTTTGAAGAATCAAATTTTAAATATTAAAATTTTAAATATAAGCCTCATTTAAGAGTGTAGGAGAGAATAAGTTTAAGCTTAAGTTACCTATTTTTTTTTTAAATAACAATTTAGACTTGTAATATTTTGTTTATGTACCACTTAATTTGTTATTTATTCAAGTTCAATTATTTTTTTACCTAATTATGACTTGTATTTTAACCATTTTTATACTTGTACTCTTAGTTTAAATCTCTGCTACTTTTTTTTTTATTTCCTTGACTTAAGCTCCTTTTCTTTAATTTTTTTTACATGTCATAAATCTATTATTTGATCCTTTCTTCTTCTTTTTTTCAATTTGTATTTTTTTTTTTCTGTAAGTATGCTTTCTTTCTTAGAATAAAATATCATATTATGTTAAAATTATGAATGTAAAGTTAATCCAAATGTGTTTAGAGTTTAGATAATCCGTAATTACATGACAATGTAAAAAATATATATTAACAATGTACTTAAAATAAATTATTAAAGTAATTTGATAACTTAATTACTCAGTCAGTTATTCATTGAAAAGGCATATTGAACTTCTATTAAATATATTTTATTAATAAAAAATAATAAAATATTAAAATCTTCTGCATGTGTGTCATATTTAATGTGTAATTGTCTTTCATAAAAATTAGTTATAAAAATTAAATATTAATTCATGACAAAATTTTATTTTATTTTTCTCTTTTGTTAAACTTATTTGTAGACTCATTTAAAAATTCGATTTCAATGATGTGATGGTATTAGATTTTTCGAGTGTTTAGATTAATTTATTTTGTGAACATGATTAATTTTTTAACAGCCTAGAGTGGGAATAAAAAATCACATTTATTAAATTGTCCCCAATCATAAAATTAAAATAAAGTGTAAGTTAGTATATCATATGATGTATTGAGAAATTTAAGGATAAAGTTTTTTCTTTTCTTTTTTAGTCAGTTGAATAATGGTTGTGCAGAACCTTACTCTATATCTTATGGGAATTAATTAATTCTGTTTCTGTTTGACTAAGTAATTATTCATAGTTAATTTTAATCCATAATAAAATTTAAAAAGGTTTTATATTATTATTTACTTGCACATTATTATGCTATGCAAGTGTATCTTTATTTTTATATATATAAAAGTAAATGAGTTTTGAAGGAAAATTTACCTTCACAACTTCATTAATATTAATATATTAATGCATTTATTTTGCAATAATAAATATTAATGGTTTAATTTAAATCCGTTAAATATATTTATTTCTAATTTACAGTTTTGATATATTTGAAAGGTGTAACGTTTAAAATAATTTTAAATTTTAATATTAATAGTTTATTATTTTTACAATGTTTAAGGTAGTTTTAAATTTTAATATTAATATTTATTTTAAATTTTATTATTGAATACTGATAACTGATAGAATTATTATGAGTTTATATATTCAAAAGGTCATGCATGTTATATTTTAAAATGTAACATAGATAATTAAATGATTTTAATATTACAAATACAGTTAAATAGTGCATGAGAGCTATATGGATAGATATAAACCATTTAAAAGTGAGAAAGAAATTATTTTTTATTTGGTATATATAAAAGAAAGTGCTAGTTGTTTGTTCGAAATAATATTCCTCTAAAATGACACCTACTATTTCAATGCTTTCTGAAATACGATTTGGAAAAATAAATTGGAAGATAATGGTTTGAATCATTTATTTGTGATTTTCTTTTGAATTTAAAAATAAAAGTTAAGTAAATAACATAAACATGATTTTGGTCGATGAAAAGGTAAAGTTGTTATATTTCTTTAGTTGAAATGCATAAATTTTTTTTATTATTTAATTTAATTCCTTCATTTTATTTCATTATTTTAGAATTCAAAGATTTATTATACTGTTAGGAAGGATATTATATCACGTTATAAAAAACTACTGCACGAAGGCAATGTGTATATCATGAAAAATTTTATGGTAATTACTCCTGAAAAAAAATTATGGACCACTAAACACAAATGGAAGTTAAATTTGATGGCAATCACCAAAGTTCCATAGGTGAAATGTGACAGCATATCTTTTAATTATTTTTATTTTATTCCATTCTCAAAAAATTTTAAATAAACTGGATGAATTATATCTAATTGATGAGTTCTATTTTTATTATTTTTTTAATGACTTTCATATTTGACCATGTATGCTACTTTATTATTTTAAAAGAATATTTGATGCTTGTTCAATTAGATATAATTGGTTATGTGGTTGAAAAAATAATCTCAAAAACATAAAAAAATAGAAAGAAAAGTAAACATATTGATTTGGTTCTCGAAGATTTGAAGTGAGTATTATTTTAAAACATATTTTAATGGCTAAAATATTTATTATTTATTTTCTTACTTTCATTACTTTATACTAATTAAATATATCATATTGAATTTGTTTCGAAGAATTCAAAGAATTGTTTACACTTTATCAGAGGAATTTACTAAACAAATGGTTAATTTTTTAAACAATGAAGATTCTAATGTTTTACATATTGTAATTATTCAATTATGTAAAATAAAAATATTTGGTAGATGATTCTTTATCTGGATTGAACTCTTTTTAATTGTGTGATAGTTATTATTATTAACAAACTATATTTCATAGTTCTTTCAAAAATTTTAGACATATCAATTATAATAAGATAAAGTTGTATATCAATATTAACATAAAAGAGACTATTGATTACAAGAATAAATATATTTTTTAATTATTTTTTATTTATAGAAGTGTCATTATATTCTTTATAATATTTCTTATTTTTTTAAACTTATAAACTATTCAATATAAACAAATTTGTGTGACACACAAATATATTACTAAATTATTATTGTTAAAATTTATAATATTTAAAGTTATGTATAAATTAATTTTAATTGTTATATTTATTTTTTATAAATAATTTATATTAAAAATAATTATTTTTAATTTAAAATTTAAATAATAAATATTATACATATATTTCTACAAATCTGTGGAATACATCGACGTATTTACTATTATTATAGGTATATAGGATATGATATTGGGCTTCACTGTAGTGCCTCTCACGTGCATGTTGCAACGTGTAAATTGTGTTAAGGTTGTCTAATTAAGTGTCATACAACTGTAGAGATGTCACTATTTAAGTAGCTAGGATGCACCATAGATATATATAGATTGGTGTAATTAAATACGTTTGAAAACACATTTTAACTAAGTTTGAAAATCAATCATATCAAAACAAAAAAACCAATTAAAAAAATGAAAGACATGCATATGATTGGCTTGAAAACACATTTAAATTAAGCTAGAAAATCATATTGAAACAAAAAGCTAATTTAAAAAAAATGAAAGACATACATACGATTGGTGGAAATATAGTACTATTTCTCACCAAATTAACAGACAGACAGCACAGTGGGACAGACATATCCCACGAGGTGAATTAATGATTTCGTTGAAAAACAATATTGTGAAGCTTACGGGGCATCATGTGATAGGTGAACTCTTAAATTACAAGTACTCAATATCCTCATTATTTTTTGTCAAGGTCTTATATTATAAATATAAAGTCTTCTTATCCTCTTATATTACAATGCACAACAAGATTCCTTCTTTTTTCTCTCCAAAATCCCAGAGTGCATGTAGCCAAAGGGCGCACAGAATCTTAATCTTTTCCCTCAGGGGTGACCTTTTAACTTTGTTCACATTTTGATCTCTTCATAACTCCATGGCTGCAGAGTCCAATTCAAACCTTAGAATCATCATTGAGAGAAACCCTTCTCAGTCACGCCTAGCTGAATTGAACATCAAGTGTTGGCCAAAGTAAGTCTTTGATCTTTCTTCTATTGTGCCCTTTTTGCTGTATAGTATATATGTGTATTATGAAATCTAAATATTGACATGCACAACATATAAATTTTTTCTCTTTTTTTTTATGGGGATGGGATGTGAAAAATGAAAGATGGGGTTGCTCTCCAGGGAAATACCAGTTGAAATTTGATGCCAAAGAGACATGCTATTTGTTGAAAGGGAAGGTGAAGGCATATCCAAAAGGGTCATCAGAATTTGTAGAGTTTGGAGCTGGGGACCTTGTCACAGTCCCAAAAGGACTCAGTTGCACTTGGGATGTGTCAGTTGCGGTGGATAAGTACTACAAATTTGAATCAACAACTTGTTCTTCTTCATCTTGTTAATTAGTGTTGTGAATCGATCCATGATTATAGTAATTAGTTTTACCCTTTTTTATTTGATTAATCAAGTTATTATTATTCATTGAAATTTGTGGTCTAATTGTTCTTGTTTGGTTGTGTGCTTGGGAAATGAATTGAATTGAGATGCCTGACCGGGAGAGAGAGAAATGAATGATAATTATTTTAGTCAAAGAAGGAGAAAACAAATCAGTCAATGCATGTTTATGTTCAAACCAGCCCCTCTTTCTACGTGTTAAATTTTAAAAGACCGCTTTTATTATTCCTTTGACTGGTCAACCACTTGGATATTTATTTATTTTCATGTTATAATTTAATAATAATAATTATTCTTTAACGTCTCAATAAACTCAATATAAAAAATTACATATAATAAATTGTTATAAAAATATAAATATTATTCAATATTATAAAATTTAATAAAAAAATAATTGTTTTTTAATGTATAATTTTAATAGTAGTAATAATGATGAAAAGGAGGATCACTTCAAGGGAATTCTTGATTTTATAGTGGGAATAATTTGGACACGTCAACTTGTTTTCTCTTACAATCATGAATGCGATCTGTCTTCATCATCTGAAGACTACGACGACCCATTCCACTTTCTTCTTTTTTTCTTCTCTGCAATTCTCTTCTCATTTACCCGATTATTAAGGCGTTCATCATGCCTCCATGCTTACGCTTTCTGCTTTCTGCTTTCTTTTCCTTCTTTTTTTAATCTTTTGGGTTGTGCTCCATGCTCCCACCATAACACATTATAATTTTAATCATACAAGTTATTACCCTTTCGTCGTTATTTTTTCCTTCAAAATTATTAATAGGACAGGGATCCATGTTCATTTTACGTTAAAAGTAAGGTTTTAAATCATTTTTAATATTTTTATGTATTATTTTTTTAAAGTATAAATCAATGTTGACTACAAGACAACATATATATATATAAATGTTTTATTCATCTTATTTTGGTGTATAAGATAACCTAACTAATATGACATAATTTAATAAATAGTTTTTAAAATTTTATTTTATAAAAAAATAAAATAAGTGTCTAAGACTTACTCATAAGATAAGTAAATTTGTTGCCGATGATCGTAAAGATGATGATAATGTGTTTATATTATTTCCTTTTATGTTTAAAATAATTTAACAATTGAAATTTGATTAAAACTTCAAAAAGCAATCCTAACAAGTAATAATCAATTAACGAAGAGACGTATCGAATTTATTAAAAAATAAACAAACAAATAAGTAAGCATGTACTTAACCTTTTGTTCCCTTTAGATTGTTAAATAGTATATCTTATAAGAATATATAGTTACATGAAAATAGTTTAAATAAAGAGAGGAATAAAAATGTTTCAATAACTAATAGTGTTCAAAGTCAAAGAAAAATTGTATTTAAATAAATGTTTACCATTATTAATACCTTATTTATAAACTCTCTACCAGTTTTGGAAAAGAAATCTATAAATTTTTTTAACTAAAATTTTCTTCCTTTCAAGTGGAATACGGGAATATGCCACGACAGGCAGATAAGTACAAGGTTTCTAGATTTAGTAACTAGAGAAAAGGACTTGCACATGGCCCTTTATAATGGCTACGTTATTTTTTCTTTAGAATTCTTGTGTTTATCTTTTTCTTCTAATCATTTTATTATTACAATTATTTGAAGAAAAAAAAAAGGGTTCAGTATCGTTTGTTATAGCACTTCAGCAACCATCTATTTGGAATCTTATATTTAGACATTCCATATGGTTTTACTCCCGAAAAGTTGATACGAGTTGAAAAGATGTTACAACTCATGCAAGAGAAAATCAAATTCAACGAAAAACCGACCACATTAAAGAGGTAGAAATCAATTCAAACTTTTCCTATTTAGGAGGGAAAGCCAAAAACAACTTTTGCTATGTCCCACAAATAACACAAGCTCACAACGTGTCCCTCGATATTTTGTAAAATCCATGCCATGTCTCCATCCATGTTTCTAAGTTACGTATCCATTGTTTCGGTTCTATATTTTAATTGACCTATTTTGCTGATCTTGTATAAAATATAGGATTTACCTTCCACCGTTGAATTGATTGGAATTCCATGAATATTAATTTGGAAATACTTGCCCTTTTTCCCCCTAGAACTATTTCAAATGAAATCGACAACGATATATAAATATTTCCTCAAAATAAATTAATGTAACTAGGTACTAAGCGGCATTTTGAAGAACTTACTTAAGTTTACAAGCGTCCTATAACCTTATTTTCTTAACTAATTTCAATCAATTTCATAAAAAACATCAAATTAAATTTTTTAAACTTATAAAGTAAGATTTCTATTGAGCTTATATCATAAACTTCCACTAAAAATGCATCTAATTAAGCTGTATGTCTAAGATAGGACCTAAACAAACTCAGAATACTAAATGCCTGGCGTCAGCATGCGGTAATTTAGAGAATTGTCCAGTAGATTGAGAATTTTCTGACAACAAAAAAAGAACAAAGGAACTTTTTTTTAAAACTACAAAGTTACACATGTAGAAAGGGAGATGCCCGCTTATGGGTCGTGGGGAGAAATGGGTGGGAGGAGAGAAGAGGAAATACAAACATTTTTTTCACAAAGGATAATGTTAGTACATATTCATCATACACGGATAATACAAAAATATACATTTGCTAATACAGTGAGTGTGAAGTTCCAGCTCTTAGTTGCATAGGCTCATCAGCATTGGGTATGATGATGTTAAGTTTGTGTAGATTATGAGCAGAGATGGCTGCATGGGGATAAGATACATTTTAGAACCTCATGCACGTCAAAAGAAGGATAATTTCCATCAAGAGTATGTACCTCTCAAGAGTTGAGCTATAAATGGTTGAATTGGTTTTTCAATAACATCATTGGTTGAGAGAATCTCTACTCTCAATATACATTCTTATGGTGAGAAAGCTCAACTGCTTGAGAGGTCCACCTCTCCATAGAATTATCCTGAAACAAAAAGTATTTCTTATAATCTACTTATGCAGAGAAGTTTGCTGACTTGTATGGCTTTATATGTCAAATCCAACCAAAGAAGAGATGGACGGGTTGGGGTAGAAGGGCTTACCATATGGGTAGTATAGTGAATGTCAAGTAGATCATTGAATTCCATCTCCAATCCTTTGTCTAAACCTACAAATGGACAGTAACTTTGTAAGGATAAATAAACTAAGTCATGCATTTTTTATATAAAAACATAAAGGAAACAAAAGCTAATATGTTCCTTAAATTCACTCATCAGAGAAGAGTTAGATAAGGGAATGCGATATCTTCCTACAGGAAGACAAGCAAGAAAAAAGATCATTTGGATTGGAGGGCTCTCCAATTTCTTCAAGATCTGTCAATGACAGAAAGTTACATGAGCGCTTGAGCCAAAAGTGAATACAGCACAAAAAAGTCACAAAGATCTCCTCTTGAAACAATTTTTCATAAATCTCTTCCTTGGAAACCATACCAGCATTTGCTCCAACCAACTTCAGAGAGACCACACGTCACAAACCCCATCCTCCATTTTTACTTCTAACACAGGTCCTCCAAATTATATTAGCAACCCAATTTTCACAAAAATGAAAAAAAAATGAAGCGTCCAAGCATGCATAATCCAAACAAACATGTTTTGGCCTACAAAATTCCTATTGAACAAACATAAAATATCTTCTATACTTAATTATATTTTTTGTCTCTATAAATATTTTATATTTTGTGATAAGTCCTTATAAATTTTTTTGTTTAATTCCTAAAAAATTAAAAAATTAAGATTTAATTACTGTTATTAATTTCCCTCTGTTAACTGTTAAGTTGACAGATAAAATGTCAGCTCAGCACTATTAAGTGTCATACCACGTCATTTATTTTATAATATTTTATCATTTAAAATAAATATTTATAAAAAAATCTTTGAATATATTTTATATATTTGCAAAGGAAGTCTTCTTCTTTCTCCAACCCACTCTTAATCCCACCCTCTCCTTGGTAACCCCACCACCCCCAACTTCCAATTCCCACCCCTTCCCAACTCCTCCCCATCCACCTCCTCTCACCCCCCCCTCCCCAACCCTAAACTTCTCCCGTAATCCCTCTCCATCCACTTCTCTCCCAATTACAAACCTCTCTCTTAATCCCTTCCTCCCTCTTCCCAATCCCATACTATTAATCTCAAACCTCTCTTGTAACCCTTCCACCTCTCCCTACTCCTTCCCTCACTATTCAATAACCTCTCACCCTCCCCCTCTCCCAACCTCAACCCTTCCCTTCCCACACACTCAACTATATTCTGCACCTCTAACTCCACATTTTTCCATATTTGGCATCTAATCTTACATTTTTTCTCACTCCACAACCAACCCCACACTTTCTTCCATGAACATGTTTGATGTGGTATGGATTTTGGTGGTAGGATTTGGGTTGGGAGGATGGGCAAGCATGATTAATTTTATACACCAAATTGACACATTTGGATTATTTGCAAAGTGTTATCAATGTTCCCCTTATGAAGCTTAATTAGCTTCTTTAGTTCCGTATGATACTTTGAGATCATACATGTGTGTAAAGAAATTGGCTTTTGTATCTTTTTTCTTTATTTTTCTTATTTATTTTGTTTTTACTATATCGAGCCAAATCTTTTGATGGTGTCAACTAAAGCTGTGGTGGTGACCATCACTACCACACCCTATACGAACTTACAGTTAAAATTTTATGTGCTGATTAATATTTTCTTGTTGTTCAACTACCTTGCCATATGCCACACTTGCTTTTTGTTTGAGGAGAGGATGCTGAAATGAGGTGTGGGGTTGAAGGTTGGGGAAAGGTGGAGCCGCTAAGAGGGGGTTGAGAGTGGGATTGAGGAGGGGGGTTAGAGGAAGAAGAAAAAGGCTTTCTTTGCAAATATGTAAAATATATTTAAAGACTTTTTGCAAATATTTATTTTAAATAATAAAATATTATAAAATAAATAACGTGGTATGACACGTAGTTGTGCTAAGCTGGCTTTCTGTTTGACAGGTTAGCATTTAACAGAGAGAAGTTGACGACAGAGAATAAATCTTAATTCCTTAATTTTTCAGGGACTAAATCCTAACAAAAAATTTTATAAAGACTTAATCACAAAATACACAATATTTATAGGGACAAAAAACATAATTAAGCCTATTTTTGAGTGCAGAAAAATGCTATGCTAACAGTCACTGTAAAACTAATCCAAGAGCAGAAGGAAGAGATGTACAAAGTTTGCTAACCTTTGGAAAATATATTTAAAATACAATTTTCGCTTTCATTTTTCTAATTTATCAACAAAACAGAAGTTTAACTGTCATGGCTGTTTAACCAACCAACAAAAACATTTTTTCCAAGATTATTGCATCAGTACTAAGAGTTGTGGTGACTGCATGATTAGCATAGCCTATCCCTAATTCTCGTCTGACATTGATATTTATAATGCATCATTCATCAAGCATTTATTTAGACAAAAATCAAAACCATGCAATACTTTTTAGTTGACAAATTTAAATTATAAATATTCATAAAAAAAATTAACACTAAAAATCCCAAAAGAATCAATATATAACCTTGCTCACTGACTGACACCAATGATGGTCTCCTCAGAAAAGTAACTTGGTCCAGTGCCACTCACTGCATGAGCACCATCATACTGGAGGACCCTAAGCTTTCCTTCCTACAACCACAAGCAAAAGATCATCAATTAAATAATGTTAAGTGAAAGCATATCCAATTGGTCTCCCCCAGCAAAAGCATACCTTTGTTCCATAAACAAGCCCTCCCCCAGCAAAAGGATGAAAGCATGCCACATTGACCTCATCTTCTGCACTAGGAAGCACCCTAACAAGTTCCATATCCGACACTCTGTATACCTAAAAGACAAAACAAATTTCAAGACTCAAAATTCAGATTAAAACAATTTGAACTACAACAATGGGATAAATCATAAATGAGATGAATGACAGCAATTGGTGTCGGTTCATATATTAAAGCACAAATATTTGATCTGTAGTCAAGATAACATACAAAATATATTTTTTTAGTAACTAGAGATTATACAGACTACAAAAGGAGGACATATAAGAGAGCAATTCGGATGAGAAAAGTCAGAAATTGAGGGAAAAAGGAGAGCATTTTACCTCTAACACTGTATATATTGGTAATGTTGTTTCTCCATCAATGACAATACTTTTAAGAAGAGAACCGTGACGTCTACCATAGGCAAGCAGTATGTGCTCAGATGTAGGCGAGAACTACATATCAAAAGCAGTTGCACAAATTCAATCCACTAGGATAAGGGCATTTCCAATTACATTTAAGCAAATTAAGAAAAATGACAGATGCAGCTATAATACTTTTTAAAATTATTATAAGAATAAATTTAACAACTTGTATCATGAAAAAGGGGCATATATATCAATATATATGGCTGAGAGAGAATAATTCATAAAATGTGAATATCAAAATCGAGATACAAATACAAGTAGAGAAGGAACGACAAAATTATGATTATAGGAGAGCATATATTATGAAGAATTAATGCAATTTGACCCCTAAAATTTGCAATTTGTGTTACTTTGGTTGCTGGAAGTGCACATACATACAAATTGGTACTCAAAACTGTCAACTTGCTGAAGTTTACCCTTCTAAGTTGTCAGCTTTTAAAAATTTTCATTCCTCAGAGGACTAATTTATGTAAAAGAAAACTCTCAAGAACCAACACAACATGAGCTGTCGTTTTCAGGGACTGAATGGCATATTTATGATATGATATACAATAAGTTGCATAAAAGGAAGGAAAAGGGACACACACAAACTAGCCTGATGTTCAAGTGTAATTAGCTGACCTGAATTGACGTCAGACAATGAGCTGCTCTAATTGCCCGTGATGCAAGCACCAATCCAAATCTGTTGAATAAAAATTAACAAAAATTTACTAAGTTCACTTAAAAGTATGAGAGAATCAGAGAAATAACGCAATCTTGGCAGCAACAGTTGAAGGAAATGAGCCTTACGTTGCCTCCTCAAGGGAATATATTCGCAGCTCATACATAACTTGGTGTGCTGAGATTGGATGCCGAGTTGGTGATGTAGCAACTCCAGGCTCTTGGTGCACTGGAGGTTGTAATCCTGGGTCAGCTTCTATATGAGGAAGCATACATGCAACACAGGCAGCTAAAAATCTACCACATGGTGAAAAATGGGCACCCATTTCACTGCAAAGTGCAAACACAATTGTGAGTTAAAAATAAAAGTATAAGATTAAGTATAAAATTTGACTTCAATCCAAAAATTTATGTTCTAAAGTTAAGAATAATTCTATTTCCATGAAGTAATGAGTAATGAGTTCATAATCATTCACAAAAAAATCAGCTCCCATAATGCATGCAAGATATCTGTTCTAAATCGGCAATACACCATATCAACCACATGCTGGATTGGATAATAAAAGTATATAACATCCGAATGTACCTGCAGAGGACAGCATGTGGTATGGTGAGACGGCATCTGTCAGCATTAAGTGGGGCACAGGGGTTTTTTATGTCATGTGACCATACCCTTAACTTCACAGTGCAAGGCAGCTCTGCAGCAGCTGCAGCAGCCACTGATGGGGCAAGTTCTGACTGAATTCGACTTATGATTGTTTGGATATTGGATCCATCGTGTGGGCTATTAATAGAAGCAGCAAGATTGCCAGATTCAGATACAGGTACACGGGATTGTGAAAAATGATTCCGTAAACCCGATCTCATAGAAGAACCAGGTATGCTGATGCTGCCAGGTATTGCTGAAGATGGCATTGCTACATCATTAGAGGTGGAAAGATTAGCTGCCATAATGGAAGAACCAATCTGTTGAGCTAAAATGTCACGACTAACACCCATGGGAGGAAGCATTGAGGGAACGCTAACTTGGCTTTGACCCATTAACCACCCTTGAAGAAAAGGCAACTCCCATCCACTTGGGTCTCTTGAAGGAAAAAGCTGATGAAATTGACCAAACTCTGAAACAATTCCACGGTTTGCATTTTGTCTAGATAGTCCATGCAGCACACCATTAAGAGAATAGGAATTAGTAGAGTTCCCATGGTGGCTTCCTTCAGCAGGTCTGGCTTCATCAGTCTCCATACTATCATCCATTGTGAGGTTACTGAGGCCAATTCTCATTCCATTAGAGAAAGTAGCATGAGCAGGATATTCTGTAGCAGTTTGAGAACTAGTGGGCATCTCAGAGAATGTATCCATGGGAGACACTGTAACATCATATTGCTCTGTTGCATTTGTGTCTGCTTGTAACTGCACCATGGCAGAAGACTCGATTTGCATGCTATCTGAGCTAACATCATGACTAGCATGCTGTAGTTCTGTTCTTGACTCATCAACAGTACATGAAGGTGTGAAGAAGAAAGGTAACGACACAGGTAGTTCACTGGACAAACTAATATGTTCTGTAGGATGAATATTTGTGACAAAAACAGCAGGTGGAGGATATTGTAAGTAACCAAGAGATGTTGCCTCGGTCATTGAGGAATCTGAAGAGTCAAGATCATTGACCTACACATTAACACGAGTATTTTAACCAAGTGGAAAATTCAAAAATTAACATTCTGTTTAGCATGGGTAGAAAGGCAACCAAAAACATATCAGTGCATTCACCTCAGCAGTTAAAAGGTATGGTGCGGCATGTGGGTGAAAATGCACTGCCCGAAGTGAGCGCTTTGTCTTCAACACAAATATTGGTGAGGACGCTTCACCTTTCTTGTTGTAGTGCCATATGTACAGCTGATACAGTATACCATATCACAATATAAAATCATTCAAAAAAAAAATGTCACTAAAATACGGATGATTAATTAAAGACTCAAACAATAGGGGATGTTCCCAGAAAGAGTACTACCTTGTGGCCTGATGCAACAGCAATTATTTCCCCTTTGGCATGAAAAGCAATAGATGCAATGGGGCGGTCTATGAGAAAAACACCCAACAAATTCATCAAACAGAATCCAATATACACACGAAAAGGAACAATGAACAAATTTATAACAGTTGCAAAAGTAATTTGGAAAAGAAAAGGGAAAAATAAGTAAACATACAGAAATGATGAGATATTATGCACTCTGATGTGTTAGCATCCCATAAACGAACTTCTTGATCCAAGCTTCCACTAGCAAGTATTTGTGGATGCAATGGATGGAACCTAACCTGTACCCATTAGCACATAATTAAAATAGGAAAAAGAAAACACTACTTGAAAGTTGAAACACAAGAATGCTTACAGAAGGAGAAAGGGCAGTCCACATTAATTACATCAAAGAATCAACATTAGTTACACCTAATTTATATTAACAAAGCATTCAAATTTCAGTAATCAATATATAAAAGAGGCAGTCACACACAAAAAAATCAGAGGAAAGTCTCAGCGATCGCCAACACCTGCGATTGCCATGTTCATCAAACTGCTGTTGCCTGTTCTTCCTGTCCCCTTGCTATGAGCAAATGACAATCTTACTTTACAGAAAATTTTTCAAAATTCATATATTCTAGCTCCAGGAAAATATCAAATTTAACATAAATCTCAGAGGAAGGAAAAATCAAGAGTCTCAAATCTTTCAATCAAATAAGATCACAATAACCTTTTTCCTCCCTCATTTTCTTTCTCCAAAACTATAATGTAAGCTTGCTTCTCCTTTGCCTCTTCACTGAAATTCATTTGCGGGTAGATTCCGAAGGATTGCACATTTTTATCTAGGCATTTTTTGGCATGTTGTAGTAAGAAACGAATGGATGCAAGTAACAACAGTTGACCATAAGCTTCAAGCAAAATTTATGTACCATGGTGATTGGATTCAGAGCAAAAGGAAGGATTTGAGACAGAGCCCAAGGTGGGCATATGTAAGAAGGGAATAAATGGCAAACAGAGTTAACTGGTGTTTAAATGGGTAAAAAAGAATGAGACGTTATTTTTAATTGAGTTGGTAGGTTCTAATTGGGAAACAAGGAACGGGACTTCGAATGGAAACATAAGATCTCTGTTCTATGCACATTATTCAAAACAAAAAAGTGCGGAATACTGATTCAGAAAGCAACAATGCAGCAGGATATGACTTTGTTGGATAACAATGAGAATTTTGTTAACCCAATTTAATAGAATTGTCAATTATTCAGAGTTCAGAGCATGTCTCATCAAACTTCATGCAAAAACGATTTCTTCTACAATGAGCAATCAGTACCCAAAGAAAAGGCAAGAGAAAGGTAAAAACATAATAAACACAAGAAATTAAGGCAGAGAGGAAGATTTCAAGCTTACCACCCAAGGTGTCCTCCTATGGCCAACTAACACCTTTAAGCAACTTCCAGTTTCACAATCAATTATCTTTACTGTGTGGTCACCACTACACAAAGCACATAAACAGATTCAATCACAAAAGACTCTTCAATTCAAATAAGCAAAGAGGAGATGAACTAGCTACAACTTACTGTGTGGATGCAAGAACTTTCCCATCTGGACTAAATGCTGCTGCAATAGTAGAACGTGGGGGAGGCAATAAAGGGCAATACTTAGCTGACAAATGCCGCAATGACTCTGCCTCAACCCTGACAATCATTGTTAGAGACGTTAGTCCCCAAAATTGACTCTTGAAGAAAGTAATATTTCACATTTTCAAGAAGAGACTGCAATATAATTTATAGACTAAAGAAGTGTAACTACCATGAGAGGAGACCACGCCTTGCATCTCTCACAACTACATTTTTAGGACGAGAGCAAGAACTAGATTTTGATTTTGAAGCTTCTACCCAATGCCATTTTGCCACATATTTTGTCCTTGGCGAAATCTCTCTCCTTGCAAGCAAGTTAAATACATTGCTACCACTGGCCAAATTCAACAAATCAGATAAGAGAAATATTGTACAGAAAAACATTCAACTTGAAAGTGGGGACAAAGTGTATTTCTTCATCGGTTGATGAACACAAACTCAAAAAGATGAATCATGTATCGAGAAATTTATGGATTCTTAGCTTATAGTGGAATGATCAATCACAATGTCAATAACTTTATGGATTCTTAGCATAGTTTTGGAAGGTATGATGTTCAAAGAACATGAACCACAAATTATGACAATAACTTTACATGCTCCATGACCCATCCACCCAGATCACGCACAATAATTCTCCGGTGAGTGCCACATATGAATCCAATCGATATTCTCCATTTTGATTAGGTAATATGCATATCATAATATCATAATGCGATGATCTCAGCACCTAGCTAAGTTCACACGACTCAAAAAGACCTCAGGACATAACTATTGTTGGTTTTGAAGTCAGCAACTGTGGATTTAAGTTCATGAACATAATACATTACTTCAACACAAAACAGGATCCAACCAGAAAACCATGCAGTAGACAAAATCAAGCCTCGGAAACAATAAACATACACACATCAAGCTCAATTTCAGCTGACTCTGATGATAATAACAGCATCATTATCCTAACACCGAAGATATCTAGAATAAGAAAGTGATACTGGCTCAAACACCGTCGTAGAAAGGAAAAAAAGAAAACTCAAATTTTGCAAATTTCCATCCAAATCACACACCCCATAATTCAAAAACCCCATCTGCCTCACGGGTCACCTCGGAATCAAAGCCAAACGAGAAATTAAGCCGAGATGTCAGAAGGGCAAATATTTTTAAAAAATATTTTTTTTATAACAAAGAAAAGAAAAAGAGAATGTAATAAATAAATCTATGCAAACAAAAAGGGGTAATCAGAAAGAGGAATAGATACCTGCTGTTTGAATTATGGGAAGAAGAGGTGTGATCACGAGACCTAGCAAATCCCGTCATTCTGTGATGAATCAAAATTCATAGAAATTTGGAGAACAGAGGATCCAATCTGACAGAGTCACAAACAGAGGAGACTCATTGATTCAAAGACGCATCGAATACCTCTCTCTCTCTCTTTCTCTCTCTCGATTATTGGGTTTATGTCAGAGCCTCCGCGTTTGATTTCAAAGGGGGCACGCACAGAGAGACCTAAGGAGACGACGGTAAAGGAACTACTCGAATGTTTTGGGGTTCCAAATAGAATTTTGTTGAATTTGAGGGGAGGAAAGTGTGAAAACAGAAAAAAGGGTTTTCATCTCTGCATCATTGCCGTTGGATCAGAGAAACCTAGGGATTTGTGAAAATCAACTTAGGTTTAGGTTAAAGTTTAAAACGCGTGATAGGATACAAGAGAATAAGGCAAATGTATGAGTAATGAAAGATGGATAATGCTTTGTAGTTTGGTGTGCTGTGATTCCAAAATTTGAGAATTAGTTTTGCCTTAATATTTTCCATGTTTGACAACCGTCTTAGTTGAGAATTAACAAATTATAATTATAATTTTAGGTACAGTAATAATTAATGGAAAGAATAAAGATAAAGAAATTATTAAAAATATATATTTATAATATAAAAATATTTTTTATTTTTATGTCATTAAAAATATTTAAGAATGTGTCTTTATAAACAAATTTAAAAATATTAAAATTTTCTTAATTTGTGTATTTAATACATAAATAGAAATTTGACTTGAGCAAAATTATCTATTATAAAAGATATATCTGAATTAAAAATAAATAAATATCATTATAAGTATTATGAGCGAATAAAACTTGGATAAGTTCTTTTTAGATATTAATTTAATAATTGTTAAAAAATTCAATTTATATTTTTTAATATTGCAAGTATTTTTAATTAGAGGTAATTTTGTTTGACCCAAATAAAACTAATGCAATAACAAAATTATCTTCGATAATTCAACATAATTATATTCGGTAAAACTCTGACTACATATTAAATTTAAATAACATTTTATCAAATGAAAAAAATATATATTTAAAAATGAGTTTTAAAAAAAATATAATAAGATTAAAATGAAAACATGAATTTTCCTATAAGATTTAAAAAGATTTTGAATGTTTTGATAAAATTTCAGTTGCACACCTAAATGAGTTTTTGGTAGGGATATGTCTAAATTAGATTATAATCTCCCTTCAAGGAGGGCATGTCATTGGGTAAATATCATAGTATATTCAATATTTGTCAAAGTGAACCATTTCAGGTTCAGAAATTAGATGTATTCTCTTGAATCCTGACACTGACAAAGTTAGACCCAAAACTGGAGAATATCTAGCAGCCTATGTTGAGAGAGCCTAAATCTATGGTGTGTGAAAAAGGCTTAAGGTCATCCAAAATTGCCCATAATGCAGCCATCAACAAGATATTATTTTTGCATTGCAAAACCTTTATTTCAATTATTATTTTGGGTTTTATGTAATGCATGCGACTTAACATATCAGGTTATGACGGGACAAGATATTGTGGACATCACCGTCAATGCTTCATCATTTACTTTTAAACCAGATATCACCACTTTACCACAATAACTTTTGACACATTTCTTACTATTTTGACTCCTACCTTAGAATTAATGAACCACTTCTAAAAATACTTGTTTATCAAACTTCTAAACTTTTGCTTATGACTAAATAATTAAAAGTTTAAACTATCCATAAATATGCACTAATTTGCCTATAAACTCAAAGTGGACGTTTAATTAAACTTACTTTATTAAAATTTCATTTTTTATCATCTTAAAAAAAATCTTCAAATTTCACGCATAGTACATAGAATGCTTGTATGATGATGGCTTGATTCCTATCCCTGTCAAGAAGGGACCTACCCAGAGCACATGCTGCCCCCAGAACTAGTAAACTTATTCTTGGAAAGAAAAGGAATATGCTGCTACCATTTCATAACTCAGTACAAAAATACCAATTGATATAGGAAAATGGTTGATATATACACATAGAATAAACCTTTATTTTATTTTTTATTATTCTATGTTAAAAAAACCTAAAGAAACATTGTTTTACCAAAATAAGAACTGACAAAAAGTTTTGTATTTTAAGAACTTAAATACCTCACTCATATCATTTGAAAAGATTAATATGGGCATTTACTCAATATAAAAACTTAAAATGACAAAGGAAGATAGTTGTTATACACTCATGGAATGTATTCACCAAAAAAAAAAAACAAAACAAAATAATAACACGAAAATAGTTTACTCATGGAATTTTAAGAGCATGATATTTTGTTTGTTAACCGTTGAAATGAAATAAATGAAAATAATGAAGGATAAAAATGGAAAAATTCAATCCATTTTTGTAGTTTGTTTTTACAATAAACAATAATTATAATTTAACAATTTACACCGGGCTCACTAAATTAGAAGGATGAAATGAACTAGAACAATTTCTAAACTTGGGAGGAAAGATGTCGAGCTTTTTGTAATATCTTATCTTACTCTTCCAAATCTAAAAGAAATTTCTTTCATTCTTAATTCTATTAATTTAAACAACGTATCTTTTCTCCTATACTTCCTTTTTGATTTATCTCTCATTCAAACACACCATAAGTCCATCTTTGACATTACATGGTTCAAATACTGTAGTGCTTAAAGCACAAAATACCTCACTCAATTTTGACAAATACCTCACTCAATTTTGAAGATTAATATGAAGGATTAGTCGATTAGTCATATAAAGCACAAAATAGAATGTATTTACTAAAAAGTGCCATGTTTAACGTGATGTAATAGAATAATTCCTGACTTGAAGGAATCTGTTTCTACACATACTGTGACAAATCAAGGATACAACAAAAAATGCATGGGCAAACTAGGACTGTACAAACTCATGCTGTGATCATATTAACAAAGTTTGGATGGGGAAAAAAGAATATAAACTTGTAGACACTGTACTAGACTTGAAATTTTAATATGTACATGTGTGCTCATCTAATCACTCAATTTGCCTTCTTGTTTATCAGAAGCTGAGCTGGGTTTGCCTTCTTGTTTATCAGAAGCTGAGCTGGGTCCCCATATACGAATCGTATGATCATCACTTGCAGACGCCAACATGTGTGGAATTTTGGGGTTCCAGCTCACACAGTTTACAATCGCGGAGTGCCCACATAAAATCTCTATAGGATTGGAGTGCCGCCAGTTCCAAATGTATACCTGCATTAAATAAACTTGGGAGATGAGCAAAGGGAAATATTAACCTCAACGATTAGGACAAGAAATGAGTAACTAAAAGTGATGAATTTTCATAAGAAAAGAAGTATTCATCACTTAAAAAATGTTATATTTTTTAATAAGAAATATTATTTTAGATGCTTACTCAGTGCTAAATACTGATATTAGCAAAACCAATAATAAAATGTTCATTAACAACGCCTTGTAATGCATGTGAGTAGGTCATAGGGAATGTTGATTGTTAATTTCTACCTGTGAGTTCTCACTACCACTGGCAATAAATGAGTTATTGAATCCACCAAAGCAAGACCTTATCGCAAATCTTTGTTGCTTGTGACCCATAAACTTCATGGGCTTATCCCATTTCCCGGCCACATCCCACATGTGAATCTCCTGGCTGCTTAGATTGACAATGAGGAACTTACCATCTCCTGAAAGTGAAAGGGATGCCATTGCATAATCCTCTTCAATGACTCGCTCAGTTTTGGTTGGTACATGCAGAATCCGAATTTGTAGATCCACGAATATGCTGATAAGATACCCACCATCCGGAGTAATAGCAACATCTACAACCTTGGGCTTCCTCCTTCCTTTCCATGCACTGACCTCTTTTCCATCACAATTCCACACGCAAATGCCCCTTTCATTGTGAGAACTGCCACCCATGAAGTGTTTTGAGTCGGGAAACCAGGCACAAGAGTTCACACCAAAGCTTTCACTCCCAAATGTGTGCATGCACGTACCTGTTTCAACATCCCACAGTTTCAAAACTTCTAGGTTCCCACATGTAAGCAATTTAGTGTCATCAGGACTCCATGCTACATAAGATACCGCAAGTCGGTGACCAGAAAGTGTGTGTTTCAATTTGAATTTCCAATCCTCCAGCATCTGGCAGGAGTATTTCAGAACATTAGAAATGTTTGAAATAGTGAGAGCAATTGTGTTAGATTACACACATATTCCAGTGTTTATTGATTTATTTGCTACCAATTAGAGAGAGTAATCTTAGCTGACAAAGAATTAACCTCTAGCTTAACAATCAGCAATTAATTATTCTAATCATACCAACATAAATATAATTGACTATATTCTAACATAAATGCTAATATTCTAACCAGAAGCTGCACCAGCTCCAAAATGAGCCTGTCTTTGCTAAGCAATCTGCATTCGTTTTAAAGAAGTAAATCTAGATACTTTGCTACACCAACATCACCTCAAAAGATAAACCCATCAGCTAAAATTGAATAGGACCCCAATGGGAATTTGGGTGGATATTTTGCGCATCTATCCAAATATCCATGAATATCGGATAGGACACCAGTGTAGGAATAAAGATATTGAATAAGTATGACTATGATCTCATTACAGGAATATGATATTTCAGATCGAATAGGACAAACATAAAAATATAGTAATTTTTTGGATGGATAAGATTTGTATATTGGTAGGAGATTTGTGATAGAATAGGAATAGCTTATAAACAATTCACCAATTCCCATATCAACCTATGCAACTCTTACAAAAAATGTAATACACCGAAATGCAAGCCACAAGGGAGCTTCATGCCAATCAAGTGACCACTATTAGGGCCTTCATGACATGTATGAATTTGCTAGACAATTTTTTTTAATGCATATTGACAACAGCATAATACCTCCCATATGATGGCTGTGCAATCATTGGATGAAGAGGCCAGGTACATCCCTCTATTAGAAAATTGTACAACCCAAACTTCATTTGTATGTGCAGTCAATATCTGCAGCAATGGAAAGGAAAACAATGTCATTTAATATCCATGGCATGTAATATCACAAGTTAGAAAAGATTAATTTGGACTTTAGGTCCGTCGTTCCAAATCTAATGTATCCTCATTTGCCACACTAAAGCAGTCACTGAATCAATCTCTCGAGTCTTGACATATACAAAGGGGGAAAAGTCCAAATTAGGGATCCCACAATCAGGAAAATAAACTCGTATCATACCAATCCTTGATTTATCAAACAACTGTTACCACCAATCTCGTGACTTGCTATTATAGGAAATGCCAATAAACTTTGGCGCAAAAAAATGAGCTGTAGATAGTGAACATTTATATGTGTGATTCTTTTTCTTTTAAAAAAATCCGTGTAACTCTATCTGATTTATAACATTAAAAGAAGATGAAGCAATGTTTTTCCCCCTTCATAATATATAATGGGAAGTCCAAAAGATAATCTACACCCTAAACTGAGCAAAACAAATATAAGATTCTTAAAGGGGGGGGGGGGGTTTGCTACAAATTACAACAGTCAATAATTGAATATGATAAGGAAATAGATCTAAACATGTCATTCAATACAGTGCTAACTCACCTGAGTCGTTGTAGTAGGAATATGATCCCTGCTACAGCGATGATCCTCGTAGAGTGAAATTGGATTCGATGAACTATGATATGTACAGGAATCAATCCAGAATGCAACAGTACTTTCAACTAAGTACTCCAGCCTGGCTCCAGGCAATGAAATGGGTGGAGCCAACAAATTTTCCAAATCTTTTAATAACTTTCTTCGCAAATCTTGTACACCGTTGTCATCAATTGCACCTAACTTCCTATCCTTCGATGAAATTATGCTATTTACAAGGATGTACTTGTCAACATCCGAGACTGAAACCTCTTTCTGTAACACACCTAAAGCTAAAGTATCCTCACCCCGATTCATATACTCCACAACAAGCTGTTTCAATACAAGAAACATCACACATTCAATAGTTTCACCCAATACATCCTTCAAAGAATTAAGATAATCAATGCAATCACTCCAATTCCCATTCAGTATATGTGATTCAATCATCTGAAATTCTGTGGATTTGTATGAAATGCCAGATTCGGACTCCAAGCATGATGCAGTGTTATTGTATCCTAATGAATATAGAGATTGAATTATGACCCTCACAAATTCATGCTTTCTAATCAACCCTTTGGAACCAACTACCTCAGAAGGATTCTCCATTAATGAAAAAGAGACAAACTTCTAGCATGAATCTTGATGATTCAAAGACACAGTTTCCCGCCAACAGAAAACACTTCTTCCCAAAGCCTTAAAACGCGTAAAAAACAAACTTTGAGCTTCCTCGAGATCCCAAGTGAGGCAAAAGGATCAAAATTTGCTACAAGAAATTCAAAGAATCTAAAAAAAAGAACAAAATCATGCAGTAAACGCGAGATGCTGAAAGATTGGAACTTTTGGAAGGGATTGGAAGGACTCGAAATTAAAAGTAACAGCATTGACCAACACAGCAAAGTAATCAAGTAGAAGCTATAAGAAAGCACAAAGATTCAATAGGATCAAAAGCATAACCCAGAACGAAAATTGAAATGGAAAAATAGTTTTACGAGAGTAGAACCTCATAGCAACTGGGTTTTATAATACGGGTCGAAGGCTGATCCGAAACCGTCATGTAAAATTGTGCTTTAAATTTATAAAATTAATTTTGATGCAAGTTAGATTTATAAAATTAAACTTGAATATTATTTTTACGAGTCTAAATTACATTGGAAAATTTGTCCCAACACCAATAAAGCTTGTTATTCATCACGGTGAGTTCAAATTTTGCAGCTCAATTCGTTACTAACCATTAGACTGTTGAAGAAGAAAATTTATCAGATATAAACTGTGTTTTTTTATTTCGAATATCAGAAATAAAGGATAAAATAAAAATTTAAAGATTAAAATAGAATAAAATGTTTATGTATTTCATAATAGATCATTAACATACTATAATCTTTTACACCATGGTTAACGAATAACTGCTCTCGTGGTATATGAGCTGCACAGGTGTGTTAAATTTAAAATATTAAATTTTTATATCAAAGTATTCATAATATATTAATTATGTGATAATTTAATTTAAATAAATAGTATTTAAATTAAAAACACAAATAACTTGATTTACATCAAACAACTTTGTTAGGTGATAATTATTCATACAGAAATTAATTCAAATATTATTATTTGAATCATTTTTAGTTAGGGGTATATTTAGAAATAAAAATAGGATTGATATACATAGATTAATTATACACAAGTGTTAAACTTTAATTAATTTATATTAAATGGACATTAATATTTGACCATGTATAAAAAAATAAGAAACTGTATTTTTTCATTAAAAATTATATAAATTTAACAATAAAAATATATTTTTATGAAAAAATATTTATGAATATTTAAACACAACACATGAAAACATTATTATTAAATTTAGAGTCATCCTCTCTATAACAATTAAATCAAGCAATTTAGTAAACTTTATTAAAAGTTAACATTTTAAGATGCCAAGTCATTCATAAAAACTTTATAGAATTAACTTTTGTCTCGATTAACGTTTTTTTTCCTTATGAAAACATTGCAGAATCATTAGGAAGGGTCAAAGGGAAATATTTATGACACTTAGCTTCTGTCGCAAGCTTGTTCTTGTTGATTCAAAAGTCAAATTTACTTTCCATTATTATTATTATTTTGGGACATTGTTTTCACTAAAAAAAAAATGTTAAATAGAAAGCCACCTTGTTTTCATTGCTTTCCTCTTAAGTATTGACCATTAAGTGGGAGAGTATATCAGTTTGAAGAAGCGTTTTCAATTTGTATTTCTTGAAAACGGTTTATATTTATTGTTTTTTTAAAATATGTTCCTGAAAACGTATTTGTTTTGATTTATTTTGTTAATATTTTAATTTTGTTATCTGACTTAAATAACGTATTTTCGGCAATTCAATAACTCTAATATCAGTGATTTAAGCAACACTATTGTCAACAAAACACTTATCATTTAATATACAATCTGTAGGAACTAAAAATAATAACATTTTATTAATTTCAGCATTTTAAATTAAAAATATAAAATGTGATAGATATTTTGTATTAAAATTTTACTACTGTGAACAACTTAAACTCAAATTAAAGACCATAATAAAAATAGGGACAGTTAAACTAAACAGTGTCTGGGGTTAAAAGAAATGCAAATTGTCAACAAGTTTCGGCACCAAATCAAAAGAGAAGAAACAAGGGATGGCCTACGAAGACCTACCCAAACCTTTTTCTTTAATTAATTAATTCTCAAGACGTAAATATCAATTTCATTTTCTAAACTAAAAAAAAACAACACAATATAAAACAACCAATACATTTTTCTTTTGCATTTATTTATAAACAGATATATTAAATTTATACTTAAAATCTGATCCTTGGACGGTTGTAATTTGGAGGGAAAATTGGCACAGCCATGACCATCATTACAAAGTTAATAAGACAACAATTAATTAATTTTGATATATTATATAGATTTGCCAATGGACAAGAATGGGCCCACCACGAAGTGATGTTTAGAGGAGAGTGGGGGAAACGGGTGTGGCAGTGTCGTTTCGTTGACCCCACGCTCGCACACGTAGCGTGTGCGAGGCATGAAAAGAGAGCGATGATGAACGTAGCAAAAAAACTGAATGCATCACTGTATCACTGTCAACAACACTCCCACGAGCATTTAAGTCTCTCGACTTCCCCTTCTTCCTCTTTCCTTTCCCTTCTCTTCCTTTCTTCACTCACTCTCTCTTCTCTTCGCTTCTTCCGTTTCATCTCTCTCTCTCTCTCTCTCTCTCTCACTCTCTCACTCTCACGCTCTTTGAGATCTCTCTCTCTCTCTTACTTCCTTCGCACGCTCATCGGTTTCGTTACGCAGATCTTTCACCGCATTTCATGGATCCAGAAACGCACTCTTCTGCATTGCCTTCTCTCTCCTAGGGTTTCCATCCTTATTCTTCTTCCTAGCCTTTTTCAGCTATGCCGTCTCTCTCTTCCGCTTCCTTCTGACGATGCTTTTCGCCGGTTTCGCTTTCGGCGAGAGAGAATGCCGGTGTCGGTTGTCTTCCTCGTTGCTCTTCTCAACTTCCTTTTCTCTTCCCAAGGTACTTCCACTTTTGTGTTTTTTCATTTTCTGCTGGAACGAACTTGTTTCTGTGCTTCTGTCATGTCAATTATTATGCTAGAGTAAATACCTTTTCTGTTTGTATCTGATCTTTCACTGACTTGTGGTAACATATGTGAGCTATGAGTATATTGAAGTAGTAAATGTGGAGTAATGGAAGAGCATCGTGGCATAAGAGGTGGTTCTTTAGCACTAGTTCTGTGCTACTGTACTGTATTGCTGTAACTTTTTATTCTGTGGCACTGGGAGAATGTTTTGCTTACATGGTTTGAACTAGATGTTGGCACTCTCTCCGGGAAGTATACTCCGCACATGCCCATGTTAAGTAGAATGAATCACTTACCGGGTTCATGGTCCATGAACCTGAGACCGGGACAGTACACATCTGCTAGTTTTGTACCTTAATAGTAATTGAATTATTGCAAACTATAATGTTTTCTGCTGTGTTCTTGGAATATGGGTTGGTTGGTCGTCGTCAATAATGATGTAGAACAGCTCTTCTAATGTTTTTTCTGCTTGGTAATTGGTAGTTCTCTGCTAGTCTGTACATGTGGCATATCATTGTTTCCCCATAACTACTCATCCGTGTTGACCGTGCACAAAACCTAGTTTTCACACGTAAACTTAAATTCTTTGATGCAGTATTATATTGAATATTCAATCTTTCTTATATTTGGTTGCTATATATATTTTTTCTACCATTGGATTGCCTACAATTTATTTATTACTTAATCTAATGACTCCATTCTGTGTAAGCGGAGCTAAGACAATTTGATCCATATACTGATATTCTCACATGCCATCTCTCTTCCCTGTTTATAACAAACTCATTGTGACTAAACTGGGTATTGCGTGTTCATTATCTTTTATAAATTTCACCGAAAAGGTAGTTATGGGAATAAGTTTTTGCCAAGTATAATACTGGCTGAAGTATTGGATAGAATGACTGTGGAAAACCCCTACTCTTTGAATTTGATAAGCTTTTGTCTGAATGAATCCAATGTAATATTTATGTGATGTGTGCTTGTGCTCTACTCTATTTTGGATTGTACTCTGTTGATTTATTTTGGTGTTACAAATGGTAAGAAAAAGAAAACTAATCTCTAATGAAAATAGAACCAGCAAAAATCCATGGAGAAACAGGGACTCATTCCCAAGCAAATAGTCTGCCAGATTGTTCAACTCTCCAAGATTTGTCATGATGAACATCCCATTTAGATAGAAAATCCACAAACTTGGCATTTTTGCGCTTCAAACTTACTATCTCACTTTCTGAAGTCTGCTGTTATGTATGACATAATAGGTTCTTTGCTTGCAGTGAAGTCAATTTCTCTGAGTGTGTCGTTTACATCATCAGAACAAGCTAAAATGTGGTTAGTTAAACCTTCTTCTGGACCATCTTCTGCTCCTGTGCCATCTCCATCTTATCAAGGTATGTCATCGTCCATTTCAATACCTTGCTGTTAAACTTGAAAAGAGCTTTGAGTATAAGGAATATTCTATTATTTTAGGTCCTAGTGCGACTCCAAGACTAAAACATCATCATCACCATCGTCACCATCGTAGCATTAGACCTTATGTGGTGGCTCCACCCCCTTCAAAGGACCAAGGTAATTTTTGGAATTTAGATACTCATCTTTCTTCTACTCTTGATGTGGGCAGGAATAGTTACAAGGTACTGCATATAAGGAGAAGAGAAGCCAATAAAAGAAGCTGGGCTAAATGCTAACTAAATATAATATCAGCATTGATTGATCTTTCCATTGTTAGGTGTTTTTTCTTTACATGTTTCTCTGAATTCTCTATTTGGTCAAGTGAGATGATCATTGGAGTCATGATTATTCTTTTAACCTGGTAATCTAAATTAGTCATGAGTCATGAGTCATGATTTGATTGTTTTTCTGTTGCCTTCTTAGTCTTTTAGTGCATGTTGTAAACCATGGTAAGATGATATAAATAGAAGTGACATAAAATACATAATTATTTGGTAAAAAAATTTTAATGAATCAGTTTGCTTCCTTAGATTCAAGTCAGTAAACATTTTCATGTGGGAAATGTTTATTTATTTTAAACAATATTTGCCTCTTATTTGTCCAAGCTATATGTGGGTATCTGATAATGATTTCTCACTTCTTATTTATGGTAAAAAAATTATACTATATTTTGCTTTTGGATGTACAGCAGCCTGTGCCATCTGAAAATTATGCCATATTCAAAGTTATTGGAGGGTGTAATGAGTTTTAATAAATGATAGACCTAATATTTATTTTTCATGCATAATCAAGTTAATGATTTTTGTGAAATATAGCTTTTCACTGATTGATAGGGTTTCTGAACCTAACATTTGTTTTTGGCTCTCCCTGTTAGTGTCTCATACCATATACTCATTTGTAACGAATTCTCTGACAGCTTGTGACCAAATCTGTTCTGATCCACTCACATCAACTCCCTTTGGTTCACCTTGTGGTTGTGTGTTTCCCATGAAAGTCAGACTTACGCTGTATGTAGCTCCTTATGCTGTGTTTCCAGTAATGACTGAGTTGGAGAATGAAATTGCATTAGGCACTTATTTAGAGCAGAGTCAGGTGAAGATAATGGGTGCCAGTGCTGACAGTCAAAATCAGGGAAGAACCATTGTTGATATTAACTTGGTTCCACTGGGAGAAAAATTTGATAATACAACTGCAGCTCTGACATACGAGAGGTTTTGGCACAAGAAAGTTCCTCTAAATAGGAGCCTTTTTGGTGATTATGCTGTTGTGTACATAACTTATCCAGGTACGTGTGTTTCTCCTTTTAATATTTTTCTTTGTGGGTATTGTCTTGCTGTTTGAGACTGAAGCTGTTGGTATCAGGAATGCCATCTTCGCCACCATATGGAACTTTAGTTGGGAGCGGTCCCAGTCAAAGTGTTGATGGTATTCTGCCAGTCAGTGCCAACTTTGTCAGCAAGAACCAGAAAATGAATCTTAGGACCATAATTATCATTGCTTTATCTTCCTTTGTACTCTTGCTGGTTTTGGTGGGAGCATTTTCCATCACTTTGAAATGGAGGAGGGCTAAGGGACCATTAAGTGCTGTTGGCCCTGCTTTCACATCATCTCTAAACAAGAGATCTGGTATAATTTTGAACTTCTTTTGACATTTTAAAAATAATTTTATGATGTTTAAATTGTCAGAATTTTTTGTTTGATTGCTATTCATTTATTGTATACTCAACTATGGCTATTGCCTAAAATAATTATATCTCAGGTTAATTGTGGCTTCTTTTGTAGCTTCTTTTTTCAGTTTTCAATGCTATTCTTGTGATGTGCAGACAATTATATTTGTTGAGCTCTATTTGTTGGCAAGGTGAATTTATTTGATGTTTGGAAGTTACAAATTTGCAGTGTGTGATCAGTTTGACTTTGAAGATTTTCCCACAGTCGTTACTCATTGATGTAGCTTTTTATGCCAAGCTTTAATTAGGTTTCCTTGATTTTCATGTGTTAAGTTTTGTGAATTATTTTTATTTTTTACATGAAAAATTGACAATTGTAAAACAGACTTTTTCTGCCAAATACAAGCTACATTTCATGCACAAGACCAATAGTACAATGAGCTTTCCTCTGCCTTTGGTGGTTATTGATTCATACCTGCCGCAGAAATATAGTAGCATAGTCATGGGAATCTTTTATGTTATGCTTACAAATTCCACTTTGTATACTATGTGAACTTTCATATATGAGGTGCAAATATTGTATTTACATGTTTTTGTGTAAAATTTAGTGATTCTTTTGTTTTCTTGGTTATCTTTATTCTGCCAGTTGTATATTGGTTGAAGTAAACATAAATGGGTTGATACTTGTCCTGCAGGCTTGGGATCCATGTTGTCAAGCAGTATTATGAGCTCGACATCAGTGTCACTTATGTCCACAATGGCTACTTCCATTCTCTCTGTTAAAACATTTTCACTTTCTGACCTTGAGAAAGCAACAGATAAGTTTAATTCAAAAAGAGTATTAGGAGAAGGAGGATTTGGACGTGTTTACAGGGGTACATTGGATGATGGGGCTGAAGTTGCAGTTAAGCTGCTAACAAGGGATAATCAAAATGGAGACCGTGAATTTATTGCGGAGGTTGAGATGCTAAGCCGTTTGCATCACCGTAATCTAGTGAAACTGATTGGTATATGCATTGAAGGGCGCAGGCGATGCTTGGTGTATGAGCTTGTTCACAATGGCAGTGTTGAGTCGCATCTGCATGGTAATATATTTTCATCAGCTCAAGTTATGCAGCCCACAGATAATTTGTATTTCTTTGCTATCTGTTGAATCATTTAAATGCTTGTTAATGATCTTGCAGGGGTTGACAAGAAAAAAGGAACGCTTGATTGGGAAGCACGGATGAAAATTGCCCTAGGAGCTGCTAGGGGATTGGCCTATCTTCATGAGGATTCTAATCCTCGTGTAATTCACCGAGACTTCAAAGCTAGCAATGTGTTATTAGAGGATGATTTTACCCCCAAAGTTTCTGATTTTGGCTTGGCAAGAGAAGCAACTGAAGGAAGTAATCATATTTCAACACGGGTGATGGGAACTTTTGGGTGAGTGTTTAAACAGACTTTGTCTGCAGCATTTTGATTAAATACTGTCTTAGTTCCAAATTGTAAAGTTCTTCAATGACTTCTTATATATACCATTTTAAATTTATGTACGTATTCAATTCTTGACTTTCTTCATTTAACTTGTATATATAAGTTAGTTAACTTGTGAAAGATTCTAATAGTTAAACATAAATCTTGTACATACCTCTGGTTAACCATTGTGAGATTTATCTCCTCTCTACTAAATGATTTAACTTTATTAGGTGTAATTTGTATGTCTAATAAATTATGGGAGGGCATTCTGGTTTTTCATGCATTACATGTTCTAGGCCTTGATTTGATGCCATTTCTATCTGATGTACAATGTTGCAGGTATGTTGCCCCTGAATATGCGATGACAGGCCATTTACTTGTCAAAAGTGATGTTTATAGTTATGGCGTTGTGCTGCTTGAACTTCTCACAGGCAGAAAGCCAGTGGATATGTCCCAACCTCAGGGACAGGAAAATCTTGTAACTTGGGCACGGCCACTGTTGACAAGTAGAGAAGGTCTAGAACAGTTGGTGGATCCATCTTTGGCTGGAGGTTACAACTTTGATGACATGGCAAAGGTTGCTGCTATTGCTTCAATGTGTGTTCACCCGGAGGTCACACAGAGACCTTTCATGGGTGAAGTTGTGCAGGCTCTTAAGTTGATATACAATGACACAGACGAGACTTGTGGAGATTATTGTAGTCAGAAGGATTCCTCTGCTCAGGAGTCCGATTTTAGAGGTGACCTTGCCCCTTCTGATAGTAGTTGGTGGAATGCTGGAGGGTTAACCCCCCGATTAACTTATGGGCAAGCATCTTCCTTCATCACTATGGAATACAGTTCTGGTCCGCTTGAAGATATGGAAAACAGACCGTTTTCAACGTCAAGTTTGATTGGAGATGAAATATCTTTACCAATTAGGCATGGGAATAGATCAGGTCCCTTAAGAACAGTCCGAAGCAAGCTCTCCTTATATAGATTTACAGGAAGTCGGAGTGAGCATGGAGCACTTTCTTCCAAGCGTAATTGGAATGATGGTTCATGGGTTTGAGTTTTTTTTCCTAGTGTTTTTAAAATGTACAGTTCCTAAAGAGATCAGAACTATTGATTGAGTGACTGATTTAGCCTAGACTTCTCAAATTTCTGCAGTTTCATGTTAAGGCTGGAGAGATACAGGACATTGACAAATTTTGAAATATTGATTCATTACACAAGGAGGAAATGTAACTTGAACAGTATTGTAAATGCCTTGAATTGTATCTCGTGGTCCTGTTCCATTTCCATATCTATTAACGAGGGCGTGCCATACATTCAAAATGTGACTCCCTTTGACATTCCCTTCACTTTCTGTTTTTGCAAGCAGCTGCTTTTTCAATGCTAGTGTAATAGACAGGTGTATAATGAAAAGAATGTAATTTAATCCAATAAATTAAACATACTACTATGTTGCCTTATTTATTCAGCCTTCTAGCATTTAAAATTTATATTTTCTATTATTAATAAATTACTAAGATCTTCTAAGACGTGTCAGAAGTTTACGAAGTGACTTATGAAGTGTACATCCAGATATTGTGAGGTTTGGTGGAATTTCCTTAATGTTGTTAGAGACCCAAAAGGATGGGCATAGAAAAAAGCCGATTAGCAAACTGTAGTTGGTGGATACTAGTTAATAACCGGATCCTCTGCAGAGGTTGGCCTTCCCCCGTGTCTAAATTCTGGATACAAGTTGGTTTCTTTTTAGTCTGATCCTGCCCCGTGCCTTTAGTTTTAGGATTAAAATCCTAATTTAGTCATACCCAAAAAAAATACAAACCTAGCACTTACCCGCTTGTTCTGTTCTACTACGAATGACTTAAATTAAATTAATTATTTCTTATAAATTAAAAAATTGTAAGATGAATTTAAAATTAATAAAAAACAATAGATGCAATAGTGTACTGTCGTTCAATATTTTAATTGGAATGAAAATGATATTGGTTGATCCATTCTAGCCTTTTGGGATTCGAATTGAGTTGGTGCCATCGAGGTTTAGGGGTGGCGTGCTACCATGTCCTGTGACTGCGATTTCGTTCCTGAAAACTGCGTTGTTGTGCGTTCTCTCTCTTTGGCTTACGCTTCTTTCCATCGTAAATTTTGAAGCTTAGTTTGTGTGTGAGCTCTGCAGGTGGGGTGTGGGGCGGTGTCGGTGGATTTCTTGGCTACTGTTGCTGCTTATCCGAAGCCAGATGACAAAATCAGAAGCACTTCCTTCAAGGTTACTCTCTTCTCTTCAACTATCATCTTTCTTTCTTTGGACTTGAAAACAAAATGTGCATTGTTTAGGTTGAAGGAGGTGGCAATACAGGTAATGCCTTAACCTGTGCAGCTCGCTTGGGCCTCAAGCCAAGACTAATCTCCAAGGTTTTTAACTACACACAATCTCAAAGGTTTTTCCTCATTTGTTACCAACCTGTTTGTTTCGCATCCATTAGGTTGCAGATGACACTCATGGCAAGGGCTTATTGGATGAGCTAGAGGTTGATGCTGTAGATACATCCTTTATGGCCGTAATTTTCTCTCTTTCCAGTCTCTGTGCCAACCTCTCTTGCTTTTTTAACTGCTGCGCTATCTTACCTACTATTTTTAAGCATCCTGTCATATTTCTTAGATTGCATTTAAATTTGAAACCTTTTAGTATATGGCGATGCATAATTACACGGTCAAAGTTTGCCCTCCCTATTTATGGTTTTTTAATATATTTTTAATGCTTATGTTTTTTTTTAGGTTAAATTAATATGTAGGTTCCTAAATTATTTCAAATTTTTAAATAAGTGCTTATACTTTTAATGTTCGTAACTAGGTTTATAAACTTTTAAACTATTCTTAATTGGATTCCTCCTTTAGTATTGTTAAATACATGAACCTAATTAAAAAATTTAAATAGTTGAGGATAAGTGATTAGTTTAATTATTTGGTAAGTCCCCAAATTTTTTAAAAAGATTTAATTAAGTTTTTGTACTTAATGAAATTCTAACAGAAATGTGGTTAGGGATTCAATTAAAAATGATTTAAAAATTTGGAGACCCTTATAAGCTTTTTTGTTACAATTTAAAATTTTTTGAAGTATAAGGACTTATGATCGAATTTGTGATCCTCTGGTATGAGATTATTCTAACTTAATCAAACGGTATTGAATTCGATTTATGGGTATGCAATTGCGTTAAATATTGGAAGATGAGTTTTGTCACTTATAATTATCTTATCTAACTCAAGTAGCATAGAGAATATGTTGGGCAGTGGTCTTGACCCAAAAAATTATAGGAACTTATTTATAAATTTTCAAATAGTTAAGGAACTTATAAATTAATTTAACTTTTTTTATAGTTGTCATTGTTATATTTGTTTATTATGCTTCTTATTTTCAGGTCTCTAAAGAGGGCACGTCACCATTTACCTATATCATTGTGGACAGCCAAACGTAATGGTCATTTACTTTTTTTCTGTATAATATACCCTCTCCCGAAAAAAATATGATAATAAAAAAAAAATCCATATTTTCATTTGCAATGGGAAAATCACTTAACATGAGATTTCTAATCTAGTTGTTTCATTAGAGTTCTTTTAGCTGTTGCTTTTTTTGGGGAGTGTTAGTTTTAGCCCTTGCTTTTAACTATTCTCTCCCACTCCCTTTCCTTTTCAATATTTGTTGGAAATTTAATCTATATCACAGTTACTTCTTTACTCTCTCCTGCTGTTTAACTAACTCTATTGACATATGGTTACACCATCTTGACTTTCTCCATTAAGTAATATGATCCCAATTTTACCCCAAATTTTAGAAGTGAAATGACATGAATTAGGTGGATCTAAGCCCATGTTGGATAAACTTCTCCATAATTATTTAGACTTATTGGAGATCAAATAAAGAAATAAAATGAATGAAATTCCTACAATAAGTTAACATCAACTTATGATCTACATTTTTAGAAACTCTCATTTAATTTCTCCAAAATTTGAGGTGATAAAATGATTATAATTTTTCCTTATAAATACTTGTTTAAAAGTTTATTCAAACTGAACCCTGATTATCATTTTCCTTGTCTCCTGTTTCTTCTCTTTATCAACTTTACATACTTTACAGTACCCTGACACTGTTGCTTTAACCAGCGATCAGTGCATATGCAAGAAGGAATGTAAGAAAAAATATCGACAATTATGTTATATATGATTCATAATATTAATGTCGTCAAGCAGTTGCTGTTAATGAAGCTGTTGCTTATTTTATTTGTGACCTGACTAATTTTTATTGTAATTTTTCAGCAAGTCCCGTACTTGCATACATACCCCAGGATTTCCTCCAATGAAGCCAGTTGATCTTCCTGAATCAAGTTTTTTATCTGCATTGAATGGAGCAAGAATTGTTTATTTTGATGGGAGATTTCATGAAACTGCTCTAGTTGTTGCACATGAGGTTATTTCTTCTATAATTTGCTTAATGTTCTAACTTGAATGCTGAGAGCCTAAAATAATCATATTTAAAAGTTGAAATTTATACCTAAAAAGAACAGTTGAAGTTGAGCAGGTGAAACTTTCTATATTGTATTTAGTGAAAATTAACTTAATCACCATTAATAATCTTCTACTAACACGGTAGTAAGCACACAAATGGTTGAACATGAGATAGCAATAGCTTATATGATGGAGATTTATAAAGGTGATAACATTGCAAGAAATGTAATTTGCAAATATTCATGTTTTCTTTTATTTGTGAAGTATCCTAAAATATCCACTTTAGAGTCTTTTTCTTTTTCTTCTGGTAAAGAAGGTTGAGGATGAGAGAACAGAGCTTCATCTGAAGAGAGATAAACAAATTATCATATTTTCCGTTACAGGCAGTTAAGAAGAATGTACCTATCTTAATGGATGCAGAAAGGCTGAGAGAAGGGTTGGATGATCTCCTGAAATTGGCTGATTATGTTGTTTGTGCAGCACAATTTCCACAGGCAAGGGCATCATTTTCTCTATAAGTGATATATTGTAGGAGAAGAATATTAGCAGTACACTCTCCATCACAACAAACTCTTGCTAATACATTTTTTTTTAAAATTAGCTGAAATTTATTAGGTCTTGAGATCGTGGTTGACTTGTTAAATACGGAGTAGCAATTAAAAAAAATGTTAGAAAATATGTTAATATTGCTATTATTTATCATTGTAAGAAATGTTTAATACTAGGGTTCTCTCATCAACCTTGTTGATACTTGATCCATAGAAATGAAATGATTTTAACCAACTGCCTTTCTGTCCTGTCCGAGTAAATGTGCTTTTCGCTGAGTAAAATATTGACTCAGGGCATCAGAAGAAAAGAATCTCTCTCTCTCTCACTCTGGGTGGCCTGATGATGAAATTGAATTATGTATACTTGTAGATTTGTTCTTGCATAAGCTGGGTTTTCTTTGATTATATTTCTTTTTGTGACAAATTGACAATGAAGGGATATTACTTTTCTAATACCAATGATACATTCATTTTCATTTTCTGCTTGCTATAGGTTTTATAATATCAGAAAAAATATTTGCTTTTTCTTTTACATAAAAACCTTGTTTTAGTTCTGTTAGACAGGATTGAATTTTTTCATTTAAGCATATCATCATACACAGATGATGTAGCCATCTCTAATGACAGGCATGGACAGAGGCATCAACCATTCCAAAAGCACTTGTCTCTATGCTCTTAAAGTTGCCCAACACCAAATTTGTCATTGTAACTTTGGGAAAAGATGGTTGCGTTATGCTTGAGAGAAGCATTGATGGTACATATTCCCATTTCTTCCAATTTTTCTTTCATATATCTCGAAGGTGATCATATCGCAGGCTGTAGCCCTGGTCAGAATTGGATGTTTGCATTGCATATTCACTGTATGTTGTCTAGGCTTCTAATTTAAACATGTTCTCACTAATTATACTATTTCTGACAGATGGTTCATCCACAGAAGAAGTGGATGTTGACAAAATACTGGAATCCCTGGAGATGAGAAAGAATGGGAGCATATACATCCCAACCTGCATATCATCAGTAATCACAATGAAACTCAGAACACTCTCTCTGCTGTGGTATTATTGAAGTGATTGGCATGAGCAAATTTCCTACGTGTTTTCTTTGGACAGTAATGAGGTCCACATGGGCGTTTCAGGCCCTTTGGCATGGGCAGGCCTTTTACCAAAAAAAATAAATAAATAAAATTCCTATAATAACCTATATAACCCATCATTTTTTCTCTCTCTCTATGGTACTGAAAACCAACTAGATTGAAAAGAAAACCCAAGGCTTTTTTGGTTAAGATGTAGGTGCTAGATGATCTAGCAATATTGGGAAAACATTCAAAGGGATACCAGTAAAGCTTCGCAAAAAAGTTGGTCTCATTTACCAGCCCTGCATTCATTTGCCAATGTTTGACATCTTCTCTGAAATATCTGAACAGATAAGGAAATCGTTATTTAAAAAGGAAAAAAAATCATATACAAGCATAAAGCAATCTTTGAACAACTAGGATTTATTTTTCCCTGTTATTGTCTTTGTTATAATATTCCAATCAGTTACAACGGCAACTTTTGGACTTAATTATATAAATTATTTTCCCAAGCCAGCTAGTCAATTACACAAACCGATGAACGAGTGCATACCATAGAGCAAAAAATTTTTCTGGATTTTAGTTGTTCGATGGTTAGATTTTGGATAAATGTCATCTTTGAAATTATAGAAGGGATTGTAACTTGGACATTACATGCTTATTTGCTTGTGGTAAAGTTTTTATTTATATGCTTCTTTTCTCTTTACTTCCAGTCAGTGACAAAATTGCACGCAGAAGGTATAGGAACAGTCTGTGGCAGGTTATACGTTGGAACAGCTGAGAACATACCACCATCAGAGCTTGTCGATACAACTGGTGCTGGGGATGCATTTATTGGAGCCGTTCTCTATGGTAATTTACCATCTTTGTTCTATATCTTTTCCTTATGGCCCTTGAAGGGACGTACATAATCGTTATTAGTTGCTATGCTTGCTATTTCATTTACCTTTTGATATTAACTTGTCAGTCATCATTAATGTTTTCTATCCCTAATGGGTTGGTATACACGCGCAATAAGTTTTTCACCTTTATGATAGATGCTCAATACCATGCCAGTCATTATGGTTTTTACTGTAATTTTTTGTTTTCCATTGTTCCCCAAATTCTCCACCTCCTCCCCACATTTTTTCACCACCAAATTATTCAACTTTCAAAAAGGTTTTACCGGCTGCACCTTTAACTAGTGTGAAATATAATGCTGTCTTTGATTCCTTGCAGCTATCTGTGCCAACTTTGCAAAAGAGAAAATGCTGCGGTTTGCTGCGACTGTGGTAAGTAGTCTTGCACTCCAGGAATAATACAAAACGTCAAACTCTCTCATCCTTTTCACTATTTATACTCTACACTCTCTAACTAACATATATCAAACTAATTTTTTTTGTCACCTCATGCTCTGCATTTTGATGCCAATTGTAGGCAGGTGCCAAGTGCAGAGCTCTAGGAGCACGAAGTGGTCTTCCTTACCGCACAGACCCACGCCTTGCATCCTTCATGCAGTAGCATTCCTTACCAGTGATATTGGACAATTCTTCTAGACCTTTGTTTCAACAGTTAAAGTTAGGCAGTGAATGTTCACTGTTTACCTCTGCTAGTGGAAAAGGAAGCAACCCTTTCCCTGGATTGTTATCAACTCGTCACACTGATTTACCTCTGCTAGTGAAGGAACACATGGCCTCGAGTATTTAACGTTTAATACAAGACATGCCAAAGTTCCATTTTCACAATTAATTTCCTCACGAAACATATGCTATCAACTACTCAACATTTAATCACTTTTGAAAGGCGCATTAAACATTAATTTTAGATACATGGAAGAATGAATAAGCGAGCTTTGTGAAATAAGTAAATTTAATAATTGGATAAAAAAAAAGTTCAAAAACATTACTATCGAAAAAATTAATACGCCGTTGCCGGGGATCGAACCCGGGTCACCCGCGTGACAGGCGGGAATACTCACCACTATACTACAACGACCTCGTTGACAGATTGCTAGTTCGTAAAATATATATTATGTAAAATAAAGAGTACGAGAAAATGAATGTTGTCTTGGTCTCATCGCTGCTCAGTCACGGTCATGGTCACAGTCAAAGTCTTAGTCAGAGTTCGGTTAGATGATCTGCAACTGGAGCGCCAACTAAACCGCGACCACGAACCGTTCCTCTCTGCTACGATGGCTTGCATGTTCAGTCCTTTCGGTGTATTCAATGGAAGCATCCTCAACTTCAACTCACCTCATTGCTTCAATTTCCGTCGCACAACAAAAGTCAAAATGTCCTCCGACGCCCTTCCTCCTCTTCCCGATAACCGCATCGTCGTGCGTTTTCTCTCTCTCTCTCTCTATATATATATATATATGTGTGTGTGTGTGTAAATTGTAAATATGAGTTATTGATATATGGTGCAGGTTGGGTACGGAATGACGACGGTGGATTTTCTGGCCACGGTGGATGGATATCCGAAACCAGACGACAAGGTGAGAACGACGTCTTTCAAGGTTCAAGGAGGTGGCAATGCCGGCAATGCTTTAACCTGTGCTGCTCGACTCGGCTTGAAACCCAGACTCATCTCCAAGGTTGCAGATGATGCCCAAGGCGCCAGCATTTTGGAGGAGTTAGAAGCCGACGGTGTCGATACCTCCTTCATTGTCGTAAGATTAACTGTTTGCACTTCTTCCCTCATTAGTTATCGATTTCTCAATTGAATTTTTGTCGTTTTCATTTTTTAGGTATCCAAAGGAGGTAGTTCAACATTTTCGTATGTGCTAGTTGACACCAAAACGTAAGACAGGTGTTGGTTTGTTTGTTTTGCTTCTTACTTTCCACCGAAATTAAAGTTAGTGTGAGTTTCTTTGACAATATGAAGGAACTTGCTGATTTCAGGCTTGAAATGGCATGTGATGATCTTAGGAAAAGTTTTTTCAGAAAACTTGGTTTCATGACGTTATGTCTCAGCTCGAGTGTATTTTAGCATGTTCCCCACTTATTTAACGTATTTTGATTCTGAACTTATGCATAAAGGTGCATTGATTTGTTAATATTCGAGAGAGTGATGTCTACTGCTTTAAAATACTCATGCCAGTGCTGTTTGAGAAGCTTTCACTACCTCCCTGTTTGTAATGTATTTCAATTCTTTTATCACATCATGACCATTACAAGTGACTCTACTGGTTTGAGAACTGCAGCAAGAAGTATATTTTGTTCATCAAACTTCTATCCAATATTTTCATTTTTATTTTTGTAGAATTAGGTTTGATCCTTTTTCGCTAAGCTTATGCATTAAAACAGAAATGCATTCTTAAATATGCTTGAGCTAATCTGCCTTCAATTTATATAATTTAATTGAATCAACTAATTATAAGCAATACGCCCAGAAAAACTCGCACAAGTATATACACCCCAGGAGATCCTCCCATGATGCCAGATGACCTGTCCCAGTCAACATTATTCTCTGCTTTTGATGGAGCAAAATTGGTTTATTTCGATGGAATGTTCCCCAAAACTGCTTTATTTGTTGCCCAAGAGGTAATCATTATCTAATTTTTGCAGTTTTTTCCGACAGCAGGACATTTTTAAGCCATGCTTACTGGTAAATGATAAATTACAGTTTCAAATTTATTCCAGAAGGCCAGGAATTGAGCTTATAAAAACTTCTCCTTTGTAGGCTTTGGTTTGTCTTCTTGGTGAACTTCTGTTTATCCAACTTGGTGAATAGGAACTATAATATTGGGATGGAAAAAATTATTCACACACATCCTGCCCGAACATGGTCTGTCCTGGGTGCTAGGGAAGGGGTGAAGTTTTGGAAGGAGTTGTTACCAACACTTTGGTTTTGAATAATGGGCCTGTTTATTTGTGTTTTCTTTAAATAAATAATGTTTGTTAAATTAAAAGATATGTTTTAAAAAAAATATTATACTTATGTAAGCTTTTCAAGGACAAAAAAGTAATAACCTTAAAAAGAGTTGTTTTGCTGCTTCTCTCAAGAGCTAAAAATAGTAGCTTTTGAAAACAAGCTTTAAAAGAAGATGTATCATAGAATCACTCCTTATTAAGCTTAGACAAACTGGTCATAGTCTCAGTGATTGAATTTTCAAGTACAGGCAGCTCGCAATAATCTTCCTATTTTAGTTGAAGCAGAATCACCAAGGGAAGGGTTGGATGAGGTCTTGAAGCTTGCTGATTTTGTTATATGCTCTACAAGGTTTCCACAGGTTATATCAATATGAGGAACTCATAGCTCATCTTTAATCAGCTTATCTTTTGGCCAATGTGCATTTATTTGGACTATGAAAATTTGGATTCATTAGAATGTTGATAGTGGGACTTAACAAAAAATGGGAGACACTTGTATTCAAATTCCATAGTTTGAAAATGCACTTCATAGTGTTTTCAAAATGTTCCTTTCTTGGCAGTCAGCACCTCCTCATTTGACGCAGTGAAATACTTTATTTTAAACTCATTTTTTATGCCATGATTCTCCCACTTCCTTATTTATAGCAATATAATTTCCTTCTCCCACCGTATTGGGCATCACTATTTCTCCTACTGTATATCTTAATTGGATGTCTAACAGTTAGCTGCTTCTCTAATTATGTAAATGTGTCCATATGCTTCCACTTGTGCTTTTTGTTGTAGTTTATTTGGAATTTGTTTTGTATTTGTGTGTCAGGCTTGGACACGAGCACCATCTATCCCGAGTGCACTGGTTTCCATGCTTTTAAGGTTGCCAAATATCAACTTTGTGATTGTGACTTTGGGTGAAGATGGTTGTCTAATGTTAGAAAGAAGTGAAAATGGTAAACACAATAATGGCCATTTCAATTTAGCCAATGAAAGTTAATCCAGTTGGTAAGGATTGGATTCATATCCCACAAAGATATGGGTTCAAATCCAACTGCTGATGTGAGGATTTTATTGGTGGGTGGTCTGTAAGGACTAAGAACTATTGAGCTCTAAGACATATCTTGACCCTGATGAGTTCTTAGAACCCAACTCACCTAAACTTTTTTTACCAATCTATATAATGCTGTAAAGTTATTGCTTTGAGTTTCACATTTTTCTTCAAGCAAATACAACTTACACATTTCATATTCTTTTGTGGCAGTGGATGCTGACATAGAAGAAAGAGATGTAGAGAGTTTCTTAGAATTCTTTTATAAAGAGAAAGATGATAGCTTGGCTATACCTACCTGTTTATCATCGGTAAAATATTGTTGAACGTAAAACTTTTATAACTTGTATTTTAATGCAAAGATATATTCTAAAATTCTGCATTGAGTATACAAACATACATTTCCTTTTTTTTTAAAGAATTTTCCTGATTCAAAAATAAAAAAATTAGAGAGAGAAAGAAAAACCATTGATGGAATAAAAGCACCTTGTTGAATTTCGTTTTTTACTGTTTAGCATATAAGATACAAATTGTGCAAAAGCGAGCATACAAGTACAACCATGTGCTTAAATATTAGGATGTCTCAAACAAATTATGTCTTTTGGCTTTTTGGCATGAGATAAATTGTAAGGAATCACATCATTGATGCATGAGATATGTTATGAATGCTTTATATGATAACAGTATTATTTTCTAGTTTTATTTTGTCTTAAATTGACAATTTCAATATAATGACAACAATTAAACTTTATTCTACTGGGCAGAGTATGTGGGTCAATCGACAGATAATTTTTTCAATGTATTAGTCAAAGCAAGTCAATACGAGATTTTTTTTTTAATCTTGATATCAAGAATTGTAATCTGTACCAAATTTGTTTTTGTTCACTTTTGTATTCGGCTTCATATGGATTATGTAGAAGTCAAATGTGTATAAATTAAGAAATTATGAATTGAAAGAACATTAAAAAATAAAAACTGAATATGCATGTGGATTATAATACCAATCTAATTTGACATAGTAAAAATGTAAAATTAATAGATATCAATACTGGATTTTATATATATTATAGATAGACCTAAATTAGTCCAACCCCATGTCAAGTAGATAATAGTGATAAAGATTATTTTTTTTCTTTTTTATCTTTACCCATTGATTTTCTCAGGCGGTGACCAAATTCAGAGCAAATGGAGTGGGGACAATTTGTGGGAGATTCTTTATTGGAACAGCAGAGAAGATACCAGATTCTGAGCTGATTGATACAACTGGTGCTGGGGATGCGTTTATTGGAGCTATTATGTATGGTAGGTGGAGTCACTGACCTAAGATTTTTTATTTTTCTGTCTAAGCCTGTTACCTGAGACTGTAACTGGGTTTGTTTTCGCTTTTGTTCTTTTATATTTTTATTCATATTACTATTTATGATAGAAACACACAAACGGAACAAAAACATCCCCATGAGGCAGCTCAAGGGGTTAGTGCTACGGGACATTATATGAAGTGTGAGGAGTTCCATCTTTGCCTCATACACTTCATCCCGCCTCTTCCTCCTGGGGCTCCCCCTAAAGCCCATTCCAGTGGTGGGCTCTGCCCGTAACTGGAAAAGAAAAGGGACAAAAATGTTAATGTGGGTTTAATCTTTCTTATTGGCAAACTTTTCTCGGGTTCCATTCCACCTCAATTTATCTAGGTCTTAACTTTTCGTATTCCCCATGTGTGTACAAGGTTTGTAAGGTCATAAACTGATGCTTTTACCACATTTTCCTCTCAGAAATCTTAAATCAGGTAAATCTAGAACCATTGTTTTACTAGCGCCTTTGCTGTAGTGTCTATTTAATTGACATTATTTTTCTTATACAGAATCAGTTTACATGTGGGTTTGCTCTTTTTTTTGGGGTGGATGGTGGAGGGTTCTGTGGTTAGCAAACGGTTGTAAACTTGTAAGTTGTAAAAGAACAATGATCTCAATGGATGTAGACATGGAAATTATTTGGTTCAAAAGTGATACTCTCCTAATATCTAATCAATGAAAGCTTGGATTAGCAGGTGTACACTCTGAGAGACAGTAGTAAAGTTACCATAAATATGACACGATTGTAATTTTTGTGTGTGTATGTTTATTAAAGGTTTTCTTTCTGTTGCATTGGAAGTTAAAAGTTCTGGATAATTAATTATGCTCTCTGACTTATTTTTTAGCTATATGCGCAAACATGGTCAACCCAATATCTATAGTGAAATCAAAGTTATTTCTACTTCATTGGATCTCATGTCTCAATTAAGAGGAGTCATGGAAAGAACAGGTTCAAAATCTCGATCAATTCCTTTTTCAAATCCTGCGGCAGCTGCGCGAGCTCTTCCCGCGTGCCATAAATGACCTACAAATAGGAAGAATCCTAGAACAAAATGAGAAGTAGCTAACCAACTTCTAGGAGAGACATAATTGACTGCATTGATCTCTGTAGCTACGCCCCCCACGGAATTTAAGGAACCTAAAGGCGCATGAGTCATATATTCCGCGGAACGACGTTCTTGCCAAGGCTGTATATCTTTTTTCAGTCTACTCAAATCCAAACCATTGGGACCCCTTAGAGGTTCTGCGAATTCAAATTCTTTTTTAAACAATTAAAAAGGTTAAGTGCTAAAAAAATCAATTCTATATTGTTTCTGATTATTCGATTAGAGTGTGTAATAAGGCTTGTATTTATTAAACATACGTAGATCTAACTCCAACTCTATCTATCTATCCGGAGAAAATGTTGCCATTTGCTGCTCAAGTGGTAAGTTGTCGCAAAATTAAAAACAGAAAAAAAATTAAAAACTATCATATTCCAGAACGACATGTTAAAACGAAAACAAGAAAATAGAATGATGTTCTTTTAATTTCATGGTGATGAGTGTAGGCAGCCGCCAAGTGTAGAGCTTTGGGAGCTCGAACTGGTCTTCCACATCGTACAGATCCACGCTTGGCATCCTTTTTATGCTAAAAAGAAACAATCGGTTTTCCCCACCAAGGAAGCTCAACGCTCTTCCATCTCTGCTTTTTGATTCATCATGTTTACTTTGGGGGTCTTTGTTCATGTCTTCTTGTAAGATGTCCAGTAGTTGTACATAAAATCATGAGTTCAGTGATGTAGATTACTTCTTTCAGTGTTGGAATTGTTCTTTTGCTGATGTAAACTCTCCTGCAACTATCAATTTTTTTATTGATCCTTTTATGTCGTGTATGAGATTCACGCAGTGGTTGAAAAAGTGGAATGAAAATTTCATATGGGTGAATACAAATGGGAATACACAGGACTCGAGAGACTACACTTGAGCGTCATGCACGCCAACAAGAACTTACACAGTTTTTACGATGCTTTCCCTCGCTCATTGAAAAATTTCACGACGTTTGTCTTGCGCATCGCTAATTTGACACGGGATGATGCTGTTGGTTGGTTGTATCATGAAGCAAATTTACTTCTTTTTGGGTTGAGCTACCCAAAAAATAAAAAAGTTGTTTAGTCTTTGTTTATCTATTTGACGGCTTAAATTTAAATTGAATTAACCTTATCTTAAGATGTAAACTTGATTACATAAAATTGCTTTTTGTAAATGTTCAACCAATATTTAACTCCGAAACCTCCCGGGGTTGACACGTGGTGTAAAGTTTCATTTTGTTCGTATACATTAAATCGATAGATTTAGTAGAAAGTTATGTGTTCAAATCTTGTATAAATTCTCTCAAGTTAATAGATTATTAGTACTTGCGTAATATAAAACTTGATCAATGATTACTTTTTTTTTGGTCGTCAAACAATGATTACCCGTGTAAGTGCAACACACGTTCTCAAGCACCTTGTATATACAGCACGAAAATTGTTATAAGAATACTTAAACAATGATGATACACAATAAGTCAATAATGATTAATGATTTCGAAGCACCCTTTAATTAATTTAAATCACTTTTATTTATCTTTTTTCCATCCATTCATACTCATCATGTAGGCTTTTATATATGTCATGTTGAATGGCTTTATGCCATCTGCATTGAACTTTTCCCGGGTAAATTGGACGAGATCTCAATCATTAAAATATATTATTTAGTGAATTTAATTAAAATATACTAAAATAAAAACATAATTACATTATTATTAATGACTGCTTAAAATAAACATTCATGTAATGTACGTGTATTTTATTTACTTTATCAGAATTTTGTATTTTTATGAATAATTACGTATATATAATTATAAAATTTTTATAATAAAAAATTATAATTTATATATTATTTTCAGTTAATTTTAATTTTAAAATATATATTTAGCAAATTCTGAATAAAAAACACATTCTTATATTATTTTTTATTTTTAAAATAAACATAAATTTAATTAATAGTGTAAATAAAATATACATTAAATTATCATAAAGAATAAACATAAATTTTTAAAAGAAGCATCTATTTTTTAAGAAATATTAAAATTAAATATAATATCAAAACATTCCCACAAATCATTATAAAACATTTAGAAAGACATTTAAGACAAATCAAACATATTTTTAACATTTCTAAAGCCGAAAAGAAAATCTGCAAATTAAACACCCTCTTGTCTCAAATAAATCACTCAAATTTATCCCTTGAAAACATAATATAACCAAATCCATTTCCATCTTCCATATAATGATTATGAGCTTGAAATTGACATCTGAGTAAGGCACTAACCCCTTTCTAGGTTAGTGGTTGGCGTTTTGTATTATGTAACCATTACCAACCCAGAATTGTCTATTACATGAATAAGGTTTGTCAATATTTGGGTTATTCAGAGGATATTCATTGGAAGAAGAAGAAAAAAGAACATGTGATGACATTTCAAAAGGACTTCCACATATGATATTGATGATTGGGGACCCTTTTTCTATTTTTATTTTTTGCTACAAACTATAAAGCAGAATTTTGTCTCTTGTTTTAGTACTGAGGCTAAGAATCCTAGTCTTGCTTGTTTCTACTGTGATTCAACTTATTTGGATCTATCCCTTTAATGCTTTAACTACATTTTCATTTTCTATTCATGTTTGTACTGTTGTTTGCTTACTACTAACCCCATCCTCCACTTTAGGTTTAAGCATTTTTAGCTATACATTTACTTTATCAGAGACAAGGTTCATCATTCAACACTTGAATTTTATTTATCACATTTCTACTATGATCAAGTTGCAAACATTATGAATTAATATGGATAAATTTTAACAAAATAAAAAATAATAATTCAAAATCTTCACATAAATTTAAATTATTTTATATTTTTTAAAATTTATTATATTTTGTTTCTTTTTTAACTTAACATGTACAAGTTAATTTAAACTTAGTTACAAAATATTGCATAACGACTAAGACACGTAATTATAGTTTATTAGTTGTAAGTAGGGCTATTCTTCAACTAATCTAATTAAATTAAAATCACAAAAATAGAATTAAAAATTTGTAAATTAAATTAACTAAAAACTAATTTTTTTATTTGATTAAATTTTAAATCTCATTTTAAAAACCGATCCAATTCAATTCAAACTAAATTTATATATATATATATATATATATATATATAGTTATATTTATAAAATTAATATTTCACTTATTTTTTAAAGATTGTCTAATTTAAATCATTTTTAATTAAATCATATTAGATCAAATTTATTTATTTTTAATTTGATTCAAATCAAACTACAATATAATCTTATGATTAAATTAATTTAATTCAATTTACCAACACCTTTAATCATAAGAGATTTTGTGAGTTGTTTGTTTATATTTTAGTATCTTTTTTTAAGGTTGTCTCAAATATAGTTAGCTAACTCCGGTGCTTTGTATTTTCAATTGTGCCTAAAAAAGTTGGTTAAAAAAAACATTTTTCAACTCAATTTCTTTTAAATTTGTTTACTTTTTTAAATATTAAAGCTATAGTATTTCAAACCACTTTAAATAAATACATGTTTAAAACTTAATATTTTAATAACGTATTTATTATTATTATTATAAATAATATATATTTTTCTTCTTTTTTTTCCATAAAATTTTTCTTCCGAACAACCTAAATGTGTCAATTAGCATGTCACTGTAAAATTTTGGACATAAAAATGTAGCTGTTTGAGAGTTGATTTTTCTAGACAGTGTCCTTTCCAAATTTGGATTTGATGTACATTTTCACTCTATTGGCGTATTATCCATAATAAGAATGGTTGGTCAACACAAAATACAGTTTGTGTTTCTTTTTTTATTGGGTGTGTTAATAAATGAGAGGATAATTTAAATTACACTCATAACCATTCTCAATCTCATATACTCATACAGCGCGTGATGAATGCGCGTTCCAATATACCCTTCTCATCCAAAATATTTAATGTATTATTAGTTCGTTAAATAAATAAATAAATAAATTCAAATCACATTACCACAAATGGTATAATTGCATTTCTTAAATATATTAATACAAAAGTTATTCTTAACTCTGTGTAGAAATATTATATTTAGAAAGATAAAACCTACCAATGTTTTTGTAAATATTTTATTTGTGAAAAAAATACTTTAAATTTCAATTAACTTGTATATAAATACTTTTAAAGAAATGAATCTAGAACTAAAGTTCTTTACGACTTTGATCAGAAAAATAATATTTATTTTCATTAGTTAAAAGTTTATTCCAGTATGTTAAACACAATCGCTCGAAACCAAATCAACTTAAATTTCTTATTATACTTTGATGCTTTTTTTGACATGTATAATGCAAAAGAAAAAAGAAATACAATAACAACTGAATCAGCGTGAAAAATTAAATAAAACATGTACCAAAGATTTTCACTGGGCCATAAATTTATTTAATCATTGTAAATTTTTCCTTTATATCTTTTAATTTAAAATAATAACTATAATTATCATTAATTTATTACTGTTAATACGCGTTATACTTTAATAAATTTCACGTACTATAATAAGTTAAGAGAAGATAAAATAATAAAATTTGATACCAACACTGCACTAAGTTTGATTTCAACCTAAGTGTTATAGACCAAGATAAAAATTTATAAAACAATATAAATTAAAAAATAAAAAATCGTTAAAATGTAAGAGAGAAACATATTTAAGTCTAAATATTGTGATTATTGTTAAACAACACTCTTTTAAACAAATAGTTTTAACTGTAGCCATTTATTTAATCTATTCTTTAGCATCCAATATAATTAATCTAATTACAACACAAATAACTAATAGCATTTGAAGATTTTTACTGTAAGGATATAGGTGCTGCAACCAAAAAAGAAAATAAAAAAAAGAAATCAAAACAAAACAAAACAAAATCCATGGAAGCAAGGAAAGAGGATTCGGACCACTAATTAGAGTGGCATCCGAAGATGTTGGCGATCATGTCCATGTTTACATGTTAGCGCCTCAAATATTTTGATTTTTAATGTAACATCTTTGACAACGTTTGTCTTTGTCAAGAAATGAAAAGATACCGTAATTCTTACCAACATTGAGGGGTATTCATGGAATGCCACCCACATAAGCAAACGTTTCATTTTACCTCAACTCAACTACGCTGCAAGTGCTGCCAAATCCTAATGTCATGAACAACAACAGCGTCTGCGTTTTTAAACCAATAAAACTATTTGCCCTTAAGCCAACAAAAAACAGGAAATACATAACACCCGTAACAAAGATACCATAAGGGGCTTAATCTCTTCTTCAAAAGTTTTGGTCTTGTTGAAGGGTTTTAAGCTTCTCTCATTCGTTTCGTTTTCCACATTGTCTTCAGTTCATATATATAACTCTACGCGTATATGTGCATACCCTTTTGTTTTTTCTGCATTTGATTGTTGCAAAGCACGTATTTTTGTTGAAGTTGTGGTGGAAAGAGTGGAGGGGTAGTGTCAAGATCTTTCATTTTGATTGGTGGAGTAGCCGTTGGAGGTATTGCCTGTAGATCCGGTTGCAAGCTGAGTTTTTGATCCGATCTCTCTGAAAATGGTATTCATTTCTCATTCATTTGGATTTTTTCTTGTGGTCTTGGTTGAGTCAATTTGAAGTCTTTCACTCTCTTTCAATGACGTGAAGCTCACTTTGTTGAAATGGATTTTTAGTTTTGATGTAAATGGGGTTGAAGTTCTTCTATTTTAATGAACTGATCTACTATAGCATAGAAATATGATTTGGGTCTTTCTTTTATCTTAGAACTGATTAATG